GTGTCTTGTCTTGCAATGTGGTGAATTTTATTGACTTTCCAACCCAAAATTCACTCTGCTAAGACACGAATTTACATTTTACATATAACGCAAAACTAAAAGTAGCAAACGGTACATATATCAATAAGATACGTATTACCGTATAAGGAATGTATAAGAATTAAAGAAGATAGTAAGTAGTCGAGCAAAGATTTTTTTTTTTAAATGTAAAATGTAACTTCGTTGAACATACTCAAAGCAGAATATCAAATGTTAAATTTTTTTTTGTAGCAGGAAAAGTTAGAATGTTTACATGTGATGATAAAATGCTCACTTTATAGTCCTACCAATCAAACACATAAGCATGCCCAAAAACTAAGTAATATTGGAAAAGAGACGCATTTGTTTTTCTTGTTAGAAATGCCACTGAGAGTTCCCAAGGATAATGTATTTGACCAAAATATCATTAACAGTCTTTAGGAATCCAAATCAAATAAAGCTCTATGTCTGCATACCACAGGAACCGGAGATTTAGACTAATTGAGGTAATAAGCATCAATCGACAAATAGTGGATCTTTCACAAACCATAACTCAACTACATAAAATGAAGCAAGAATCTTAACAGGTTTCAACTGACCCGAGCATAAATCACCATCATTAGCACATAAGAGACGGATCCAATCGTTACCTTCTGAAGAAGCCTTCTCTTCGGCGACTTATTGATACTTTTGCAGGCAACAAAAACTAATCTTCTTGTTGTTCCTTCCCTTATACACAGTCCGATTTGAACAAAAAGAAAACACAAACTAATTTCCGAAACTAAGATTTTAGGGGAATTGTTCTGGTTGAATAACTTCTACTGCACCATCGATGAGAGAAAAAGATATAGTCTCATCGAGAGGTGTTGATAGTACCAAAAACCCTTTATGACATGGTTGAAAAGATTTAGATCAAAAAGTAAAAAGAGTAGAGAAAAATGCAAAAGCAAAGGATACAGGTGAGGACTTTAACGGATCATCAATGGTCGGTGACAGAAGAATACATAGAAAGCTTTTTCCTGCAGAGCATAAAAGAATTTGAAAAAGTTTAAGAAAAATAATTTAGACAGAGACTACCATAATAAGTTTATAAGAAACGATGCAACAAAGAGCCAAAACAGAAGTGGTTCACGGATCTCACTCTGTTCTCAACTGATCCCGCTCTTTCCGCCTAATAGCTAATATCAGTTCTTAAATTAGTGACTCTTGAGATGAAAGATGAAAGATCTTTTGCTTTGAAGATGAAAGATCCGGTGAAGCATATGTTGTGTCTGCAACTAAATCATCATGCGACCACATTAGCATAATTAAACAACAAACAGTATACACATTACTCTCATTAATTAATTCCATATATATCTATTTGAAAGAGCTAATAATTATATGACCTTTGTATACGAACTTGTTTGAGAGCCATCTCGTTGACGATCAAGTGAATCTACCTCCTCCGAACTCTTTTCCAATACGATTTCTGCACCAACAAAGACAACACACAAATATGAATCTATATGCATGCAAATATATAACTGACAAAACATGAAATTGGAATGCATTCTTGGATAGTAGAAGGTAGCGTATTGCCTACTACTTATGCTGGACCCTGTTTTTTGGCCACTGACGATGTTTTTTCTTGCTCGAGTATGCCACAGGTCTGCCACGTTTCTCTTGGTCTCCTTCGTGATATAGTCTCCTGTTTGCACATTCGAAGAGCAGAGTGATATACTGTAAGTTTTATTTTTGGCAATGAGTAAAGTGACTGTTATTTCTTGGAGTTGTATGAATACCATAAACATTTATTCTTGACGACAATGTCTATGGTCTTTCACTGGGCTAACAAGAACATCTCTCTAGTCTTTCTACAATTACACAATCTGAAAAGTAAGAGTCATGGTTTCACGTTTGTTGTGATTTGTGAGCAAAATTTTAATCATCGGAAGGTAAAGATGACTAAGAAGAAGGGGATCGTTCGTCACTTACTGTTTCTAGAAGTGCAGCTTCAGTGAGCTTGTGGCTGCCTTTAATAGTGGCAGAGTCGTTTTGAGCAGCACCAACACTGTGTCTTTCAAACTCTTTCCATGTAAAATCAGCAAATTCTGTATATAGATTCATAAACATAATCAATATTTAAGCTTCTCAACCATCAAGCCTGAAACCATTACCACATGGAACGAAATTTCACTTGCGAGGTTCATTTTCAAAGCAAACAATCATTTCCCTTGGCAAGTTTCTATCTAGTTGTAAAAACTATTTAAAACTCTAAACCATTAACAATCCTCAAGTATATGTGAATTGAGGGAAATCTCAAATCAAGCTTTTGATATTCTCATATAAGGAAATAGACTTACGATTAACAGAGAGTCTGTCAGGTAAGTTCTCCTTGAAAACCGAGAACGGAAGCTTTAACTCCTCTGCGCTTTGATACGCATCCCATATCTTCATCACCCAAAACGTTTTTCATCCCAAATTGCAAATTGAATTTGTTGAAATTCATCAACGGAGATTTACCGGTGAGCGAAGCGAGAATATGAGAGAACATGAGGGGACTGGGAAGGATTGCTAAGTCATTTAAATTGTTAGGTCGGAGTATATCGGAGAAGACAGATGCGATGTCTCATGTGAGAAAAAAGGAGCTGTGGAGAAGAAGGAATCGACGATTTAGAGGAATGAGGGAGGGTGTAACGCTTGTTCAGGGAAGAAGAATGAATCGCGCTTTCAGATTCAGTTTTTGTTTTAGTTTTTCTTCTAAATTATGTGAGAGTGACACGTGGTGCTAACGTATTGATCAGCAGCTGGAGAGAGATGACCTCTTATTATATATAAGATGAATTCTCCATTTTTTGGTTCAAGAGTTAGTTTTGTCACATTTTGAGTTTATCATCATTGTAAAATTAGAAATTCATTATCTTCATCTTTGAAATGCAAATATAAATATTCATAAATGAGACTTTTTGCCACTATTTTTCAAAAATTTTAAATTAATCTCATTAAAATCAATTTCGTCGAAATCATAAATCCCTATATCTCTTTTATCACCCTCGACCCTACATAAAGCTGGTAAAACATAAAATTACGCTACCAAAAGATATATAAAACTTGAAGGTCACATGTTACTAAATGTTCTTTTAGCTTATTGGCAGCTCTTCATTCTTCTTAATGTGGATGGTTTGAAACTTCCCAACAACAACAACAAACTTTTCAATCTATCATTATTTTTGATTTAATAATTAAATAAATTTACTGAAAATATAATATATTTTAAAATTTGAGGCCACCAAGAACCTCGGGCTGACCATGATCACCCAATTTCTCATCTGCTAAATTAAAATGCACACTACCAAACATTTCGATTCAGAATATTAGAAGAGATTGCATGTCTTTGAAAGTCATGATTCATACCAAATCCTCTTAGCCTTAAATCTTTCTATAATTTCCAAACATCCATTAGTTACACTTAATTAGCTTCATGTTTCATCACCGAAATATCAAATTTCTTGTTTTGGCATATACTTGAATTCAGCTAGTGGTTGTTCATGCTGATCCATTTTCCGGTTATTCAATAGCTTTCCAATAACTATAAATAATTACAGTTTTTATTTTCTACTAATCTTAAAGACAAAATATTATTTTTATTATAACCCCTAATATATTAAAAGAGAAGACAAATATAAAAAAACATTTCATTCATGTGTTATTATCAAAAATGACATGCTGATATGTTATCACATGGTTTATTTTCAATGCATTTTTTACTTAAGGCATTATTTACTAAACTATTTATATACTACTAGGGGTTATCCCACGCTACGCGTGGGTTTTTTTTAAGATAATTTTGTTACCTAAACTTAATTATATGAAGAATATATTTTGATGAATATGTTTTTAGAAAAAGATTGCAAAATCATTAAGAATACAACATGTGTAGAAACAGAACCGGTTTTGAGCTTTTATCCATACAAAAAAATGGTTTTCAGCTTTTATCCCAAAAAAAAGGTTTCGAGCTACTATTGTTTAACTGTTTTGAATGTACACTTTGGAAGTTTTATTTTGAAAAGTATCAACAATACTCCCTCCGCCCCAGTTATAAAGGAGGGAATTTGTTAAAAGGCACGATAACATAGAAAACACAGTTGTAAACACAAAAAGTAATATATTTTAGAAATGTGAAAAAGTACATTTATAAAGCATGTTGAATTGTTGATGATGAAAGAAGATAAAAATTATTGATTTAAAACGTAGATGCTGTCTATACTTGTATTATATGTCAAACCTTGAAACTATGAACAAACAAAATGACAGAAAAATGTAAAAGGAAAATAGGAAAAAGAAAAAAATTTCTTTGGCAGCTAACAAACCATCCTTACTTTGAATACCATTTCAATCCATTGAGGTTTGAAAGACCTAACAATATATCTTCCTTGTCAACATTGGTTTGTGAAAGACATTTCATGAGTATTTTTTATTGACTATCTTCAAGTTCAGCTTCTTCACCAAAGAAATCGTCAATTTGCTTATTTAGCTACTCATATTCCTCCAAATCTTCTACTTCATTCTCTGTCAATCTGAGGCGATAATCATCACTCTCCCTCCCTCCAGCCTCCATATCATTGCATTAAAACTTGTCCCAGTTCCTTCGGCTTCTCAGCAAAAGTCTGAATCCTCTCCTTGTCTTTAAAATGTTACCAAATATAGATAAGAAACTGAAATTTAAGTCGTAAATAGAAGCAAATCAATATCAGCAAATAGCCAAATGGTACAATTCAGAAGAACTTTAAAAATCTCCTCATCTAATGCAAACGTAGAGTTACCATTTTGTTTAAGAAACACGGACACAAAGATCATACGAATCACAAAGACAACCATGTAGCTAAAAAATGTGAAAACTCACAACATGAGGACTTCATGAAAGCTTGGTGTTAACATATAAATTAAGAAAGTGTGTTCTTTATGTTTTTGTCCAAACCTGGAGATAGCGCTGCGGATTATCATTCATAGCTCCTGGAAAATAGAAGCTGCGGTTCAACGACAACATAGACTGGTGATAAGATTTTGGGCACCATCTTTGTAAAGAGTCTCTACTACACAATAGGCACGGCTGTTTCGAGCATTCTAAACAAATGTGTATGAATGGGGTTATATGAGTCTATGATAACTTACGTCACTCAATAAACCCAAAGCCTTTGCATTCGTTGCTGGTCTCAAAATTTCCCTGTAGTAGAAAACAGTTTGCCAGTTTAAAAGAGAAGAAATAATCAGGTCTCGATTGAGAATGTTATAGTGATTGAACCTTCTTCAAACCATAAAACTTTTGAAACTCACGATAAAGTTTTCCTTCTCCAGGGGAGATGTATAAATGGAAGAACTAAGAAGAAACTGATGTCTCGGCAACATGTAAGAGCTCTAAACATTCTCTCATTCTCTCCAACACTCAGCACCATGCCTGGACAAAATTTCGAAAGTCGATGGAACTTACAACGTTTTAAAAAGTATATTCGAATCTAGACTTAATCAGAGTATGTCTAAGGAGGAACCAGCTTCACAGATGGAAAATTTCATTCACCTTTTGGAGAATAAGGGTGACGGAGCCCTCCAGAAACTCCAGAAGCCACACCTCCTAGGTCAATGTCATCGTAGACATTAACACAGTTCCCACATCCTTTGGAGAGTCTTGTAAACCAAAAAGAATCAAAACTTTCTTTGTTAGTCGCCAAAATTTTAAACTCAGAAGCAGTTTTCACAACAATTTTGGATTAAGTCATTTTGAATGGACATAATGAAGCTGAGATTCAGGGATACAATGAAAGAAATAACTTAAGACAAAAACCTGAAAGCTATTGATGACTTTTATAAAAACTCTTCTAAGAACCAACCAGGAAAACTGAAAAACTCCTCAAAGATCAGAATGTTGATAGTTAAAACTTCGATAGCTAAGAAGAAATAAAACCAAAACCAAATTGCAGGAGATGTTTGGAATCTAATTCTAGGCGAAATTGCAGGAGAGAACATATTGAGTACAAAACATTGATGTAAACAATGCCAGTTAGCATAGACAGAAAGACACAACATACCTCCAAAGTCTGACGGTTAATAATTGGATTTCTAATAGAATTTTGGAGGTTGATTGAGAAGCTGGATCAGCTTGTTTCCTGAAAACCATTCACACTACTTTGGTACATTTCAAAGCCAGAGAATCAAAGCCAGATGAAAACATTTGTTGTGTCGTACCTGATCTATGGTCACTATGTGAATTGCCTGTCTCCAAAGAACATGTTTATGGAGTTAGCTCACCCTCTCCATCCTTACACCTAATGAATTTTTTTAAAAACCCAAATGAGGATAGCATTCATGTACCTGAAACTTTGAATCATTGAAATTGTAAACTAAACCAACAGTAAGTCACATTAACTAAAACGTAGCAGTAACAAATCGGACGTGGCTTCCATGCTTACCATGTCCTGACAGTAGCAAATACGACCAGTAAAATCGATAACTAAAATTGTTGAAATTCTATCGTTCGGGAGACCTTTTAGGATATTTCATTGCTGCTAAGATGTTATAACCGATCTCTTGCTGGATTGATAAACAGCAAATGAGTGATATAACAGTTCCAACAATTAAATAACCTTGGATTTGGTCGAGGACCTGGAAAGTGAGCGGCTTGGCAGAGGAAGAAAGAGCTATGGAGGCCATCGCTAGATTGGGCAAAGACGAATTCAGGGTTGAGGGAGAAAGAGCTTTTCAGATTTGGATGAATTTCGTGGGTTGGATGGCTGAGGGATTTATAGGATTGCAGAGAGAGAAGTTCAACAGAAGCAGCCATAAATTCGAAAATTTGAGTGGGCATTGGAGATGAGAAACGGAAGGGAATAAGAAGAAGGAGAAGAATCGTTTGATTGTGACGAAAAAGAAGAAGAATCGGCGAAAAAAGAACATATTTTTTGCAATTGGGCTTCAATGATTTCTTTTTAAGAAAGGAGAGCTAAATAAAAAACCTAAGATGGGCTTACATGGGCTCCACAGAAATGCCTAAAAACTTTGCAAAAAAAAATTAGTGACAGGTGACGTGGCAGCGTGGGAGAGAAGCATAAAAGTGCTGAGCGGGGTGCAGCTGCTATCATTTAGTAAAGACTAGATGATATCCCGTGCTACGTGCGGGCGTATATTAAATTTATTGTGTTAAAAATATTAAAATATTTAATATTACACATCTACTGTTTATATTTAATTGATTAGATATCATCTTTTCAAAGTGTGTTTTAGTTTATGGAAACAAGTACCAAAAGAAATACTCATTTTCCTCTAATTTATTTTGTTTAACTTCTTCAATTTATATTCCTACATTTAGTTGGCCTTAATTTGACACCAATATCTCTTATCCTAATCAAATTCAAACCAATTGGAACATACTTAATAATAGCAACCCTCTTTCTTTACCCAATTTTTCATAGTTTGTAAATCTATATTCTTCTTCTGAGTTAAATGTCATGTGAATTAGAGCCTATTACAGTCGATAGTTTTGAATAATATTTGTAATGTTAAGTATGTATCTTAAGATCCGGAAACTATATAATAAAAACCCTGCTATTGTATTTGATATATAAAAGAAAAAAGGTTTATTTATAGCATCTTCGGTAAACATTACAAAGCTGTGGGACATGTTTTTCAAAATTTTAATACTTATTGTATATATGTGAAACATATTTAATTTAGGTTTGTTTCTATGTTTGTTTTGTTTTGTAAGTTATAGCTATCGTATAGCATATATAATAATAAGGGTTTCTTTAACTTTGTAGGAAATTAGATCTATAAAAGAAATGGTCATTCTCTTTCTAAATTGTCATTTCCTTTTTAGGAAATTTTAATTGGCGGCTTTTTTATAGTTAATCTTTATCCTTTTTCTGTCCATAATTATTTAATTTTTCTTCTTATTGGTCTTCTAAGGTGTTTCGCCAATGTCTACACATTAAGTTCCAAAGTTTTAAGAAGTAAAAAAGAGAATGAGTTTAGAACTATCACGCAATCACTTTTAGACGACCCCTTTAGGTAGATAGGAATGTCTCGTTGGTAATATATTTCCATTTAGAACATAATTCAAGAGTTATGTCAATGCTCTTTGTTTGTTTTTTATATGCATTGTATATATTATTTATAAGAAGTTGAAGCAAAGTATGGAATATATGAATTTTAGTATGAATTAAGAATATGAATTTAATTGGTTTATAAAGCTTCGTCCGCATCATTTCCCTCCTTCGGCTGCATTTCACTTATGTTCATTGATCGCTCAAATTTTCTTATTTTATTCAAGTCCACAATGGTACAATCCATCTTAGTTTATAGTGAAAAAAACTGAACAATAGATATTTATGTCTAACAAAACAAAACTTTAAGCAATGCCTAAACACGAAATGTAACCAACTTTTGTCCTCCCTTCTTTCATCAAGAAAGTCTTTGCCTTGCCTGACTTTAGCATAACCATGATGGCTACTAATAAAATCTTCTTAGCTTACCAGAATATCACATAACAGTTGGAAGAAAACCTTATAATTTCTGCAACAATGGAGGATATTATTCTACGAAAAGAAATCGGATCATCATTTGACAAAGCCTATTCAATAGCTACACTAAGGGAGGTAAAGTAGTTTATTCGTACAAATTGGAGAGTTCCTTTTGATTCTTCAATATGATACTGCACACACAATCATTTACCTTTGATAAGTCAACTATCTCAAATCTTGCGCCTCCGGATGAATAATGAGAGCCAAGAAAATGCAAAACCTGACCACAAAGTCACTTATTTTCCCTAGAATCAAAAGCTGCGAGAAACCATGTCTGATAGGTTCTCGCAATCTCAAACGCCTCCGCTACACGCCACTCAGCGGTTGGGACGAGGATTGAAGTCCACTGCATACTCGTCTCACGCCGCTCGTTGAACCAAGTCATCAACTGTCTCCTAATACATTCCATCATCTGAATAATCGGAAGTCCAGACGCTTCAGCGATCCACGAGTTCAGCGACTCGACTATATTTGCGTTAAGTGACCAAACCGTTGCCCTTCGAAGTACGCTGTAGCCCACAGCCGAGGAGGGATCCTCCGGATCCAGTACGCTGCATCTTGAGAAACCTCTTCGATCTCAAGAATCTTGGCTTCAAACTCAATCACCGTCAAAACATAATTCCTCTTCTCCGGCTTCACTGCGTTATTCTATAAAACCTGAAAAAGAGATAGTGTGTTAGACGCATGGAGATACGGTGGTAAGAAAAATAAAAAACACAACAATGAGTAAGATTAGCTATAACACAGTTGCAGGTTTGGGGCTTTGACACATACGGCAGTACTAAAATATCATGTAAACATCAGGAATGGGAAACACAGACAGAATAGGAAGAATATATACGATATCAAACACAACAGAGACAATTACATTACTGCTTAGGAGAAAAATGCAGAGTGGGTGTAAGAAATAGTAAATTATCATGGTAACACCAGTCAGAAACTCAAAGTCCGAGTTGTTATATTCAATACCATTTCTCGGTCTTTAATGATAGTCTATCAAGCTTATCTTTTCAGTCTTCTAATTACGAAGAAAGTATAGAACACAACAAAGAAACTACAGAACGCAAAGGACATTCAAATCCACAACAATCAGTTCCAATCCCAGGCAAATTTAAGTGAAAATTCGATTTGGAAAATCTTTACAAAGGACATTCAAATCCACAACAATCAGTTTCAATCCCAGGCAAATTTAAGTGAAATTTCGATTTGGAAAATCTCTACCGAATGACTAACAAAGCAGATACCAATAACTGTGGCAGGAGGAGGAGATGAATTACCTCGGCGTCAAGGAGGAGGAGCTCGAGACCCATCAGGATGTTTCCTTTCTTGAAATTGCGGGCTTCCCAGAAATGAATCAGACGAACGACAACCTCGTCGTTGCAGAATTGCCCATCAATCTGGCTGAGAACTTGGAAGGTCTTGGACTGGGCAGAAGGAGCGTCAGCTTTGGATGCCATGGTATCGGGAATGTGTGAGGATCTCTGCGTTTTTCGGAGCGTAGTGAGAGCTGGACTTCCCAGCGACAGTATTTAAAGGGTTGTAGGTAGCAGTCATTAATAACGAATTAAAGAAGAAGGAGAGGGCAATGAAGCCGGAGAAGAGGAATCGTAATCGTTGCATGTCGGAGTGGGAAAGGGAATCGGTGGAGAAGTGAGCGACGGCCGACGGGGGAGAAGTAGGAAGGCGAATAGAATAACATAGTGTTAGAATGGGGCTCCAAACGGGCCAAAGCGATATGGGCTTCGTGATCTGAATTTTTTTGAAGCTTGTATTTATCTGAATTTTTAAGGTTTTATTTATTTTGGTGGAAATGCCACGTGGCATTCAGAGAGAGAATCTGTGAAGTGCCTAAGAGACTCCAAACAGGTGTTTTAAATTAGTAAAGATGTCATTGCATTAATTTGGTTAGAGAATAGTTTATATCAATTATTTATACAAATTTCAGCATTTAGTCATAAAGATATTCTCATTCTTTCCATATTTTATCAAATAAATCAAATTAATTGTTTACTTAAATACTATATTTTCTCTCATTTCTTTCTTAGACTAAATTTTATAAAAATAATTATATTATCACATTACCCATATATAAAAAAAATGTACATTTTTTTCTGCACAAATACTAATTTGAATTTTTAAAAACAAATATCAATTACTAAAATGATGAAAATAATAAGTATATCATCAAAGTCCCACATTGGAAATGAAGGTATGTGATAGTTCATAAACGTATTATAAAAAGGACCAAAATAATTAGAAATCATAAGACATGGAAGCTTAATTCAATAAGCATCCAAATTTATCAGTATATTTGATTTCATATTGTTTTTAATAAAATTATATAATTAAATCAAATAAAATTTACATTATTATAAATAATTCACAGTGAAAAAGTTGAAAATATTTATATTAAGATATTAAAATATTTGAAATAGTTTATTGAATTTTTTTTAATCACAAATTTGAATATTAGAACATTTCTAACTTATTTTATTTTAAAAAGAAGAATGTTTTATTTTCATGTGTTTGTTCTTTTGAAATATCTTATTATATTTAATCATTTAAGTTTTATATATGTTTAAACATATCATGTTTAGTATGTGGTCAATGCTTTTCTATTTATATTTTTTTTAAATGTTTTTAAATGCTTAATTTGTAAATCATAAACGAAGATAAGAACCAAAAAATTAGGTAAACAGTTAAATAAACATTTTTAAAATAAAAATACAAATTTAAAAACCATCACACCGCAGAGGGCGTGGGTCAAACTCTAGTATATAATATATTGCATATAAATCAACACTAAGTGGGGATGCTCCCGCCAGCATGAGCGAACCTTTTCTCCACTGGTTAGGAATGAGTTAAGAGAAGAAGCCAAACAAACCGACCTATTAAACACAGCTAAGTTAATATGTGCCGGGAAAGTCTGGTGCCGGAGGTAAGCTTGATTCGGCCCGGAGCATTGATTCCCCATAATGAATAGGCTAGCTCTATCTTTCAATTGCTCAAAACCAAGAGAATTTTCTAAACATCTTTTTTTTTTCTATTACAAATTTATATCTTTTATAAGCAACTCCAATGTATTATTTCTGTTTTACATTTGATTAGAGCTATTATATCATTTTAAACGCCAAAAAAAAAAGAACAAAATGAAATGTGAGAGTGGAAAGGTCCAAAGAAGGAAAGTATCATCAAACTGGGTAGTGTTATGGCAAACTACGAATGGTTTTATTAGTATGCAAACGGCTGTCTAAGAGCGAAACGCGAGAGAGAGTGGGCAATGCACCGTGGTCACTGTCCTGACGATGCCCCTGAGCTTCTTGATGGCCGAGAGAGAGACCTCACAGAAGGCCAAGTCGAGGTGCCGAAGAGCACGGCCAGCACCTCCCCTAGCGATCTTGATGAAACCATTGCTATTGATCTGCAAACACGTCTACAAAGCAAACAATCATATTAGTGTAATATATGTGACATGTTCTGTAATAGCAAAACGATATTTAGTTTACCTCTATGCGTAGGTACACAATTGGACACGTGTGTACTAGATCAAGGAGACTTTCCGACGTAATTTAGTCGCACGCTAGTAGACTGAGGCTGCTAAGGCTGAGAGGAAAGTCTGTAGCAAAAGTCTCGAGGTGCTCGCGAAGCAAGTAGACCTCTCCCTTTCATGTTGCCCTAGTCGTCTATCATTTTACATTCAGAATTAGTTAACTAGCCACAAAATAACAAACATAAAGGGTCAAATTTGGTTGTGATAAATTTACCAAGTGAGAAGTTAATGTTGGCGAAGTGAGACTGTGATCGATGATCACAGTTGTAAGCTCTGTAAATCCTCGTGACGTAAGTGGAAAGACCACTTCTGGCATGTCACAGATGCACAGAGGATGCTGATGCGGGATCAGGTTTTACCTATTCCTATCCCTGATTCTGCAAGTGCACAGGTCAGGTGTAGTAACGGGTTATCGAACACAAGGAGCAGATAAGTGCACTACAAGCTATGCAAGTCTAACTTAGCTAGGACAAAAGGATGAATTGGGGTTTTGGTATGCAAAAGAACTAAACTAAAAGAAAGCAATATGAAAGCGGTGTAAGTTCAATGTGGGAAAGACGCTAGGCAATAGGTAATTCGCAGAGATTCATATATGATAAGATTGATGATTGATTTATATCTATTTAGGGATATGGGATGTAAGATCCGTCTAGAACACCAAACACGATTGTAAAACCATTCCACTGTCGAGGCTCCGGTTCCTTTGTTAATCTACCTAGTCGCTAAACTTTTGGTATGTCCCTAGGTGATTAAATCAAGCATTAGATCGAGCAAGTTCGGATACAGTTCACTAGGTTAAGTAAATCAACTTTCGCAGTCTAAGAAACCTAGCTTGTCAAAGAATATGTCCGGCGAATGATACAACACTTTCGAGGCTCAAATCAACCTAAGATCGAATCACTAGATGTACGGTAAAGTGATTAGCATTAATTAAGTGTGCAAAACGAGACAAAGACTCTAATGATATCCCTAGTTAATTCATCAAATCATAATCAACACATGAACTCTTTGAAACCCTAAAACCTAACTAGAAATCTACTCAAACATGGTGCAAGTAAACAAGCATAGATCTGAGATAGAAATCATATTAATATAAGGAGAAAAGGGTTTAGAAAGCTTCTCTATGTCGAGATACAAAGAAGGGATCTTCTCCCTAAGGAAAACAATGAGAAAGAAGTAAAACAATGGAAGATCCCTCTAAGGGGAGCTCCCTAGTGCGCCTCTCTCTTGTAGCTCTTCTCTTGTGACTCTCTATGCGGCTCTCTCTTCTAAAGAGGCTAAAAAAGAGTATTTATAGTGCCCTAGGTCTTCACAAGTCGGTTTAGGTTAATTGGGCTGAGAATTGTCAAAACTGCATAAGTGGGCTTCTTGTTCGCGGAGATCGGGTCGACGCGGTCCTTTGCTTGGTCGGCCGTCGGGGTCGGCCGTGATGTGATGATCTCGGTCGATCGTGGTCCATTGCCTCCCGGTCGGACGGTGCGGTCGTGCGGCCGGATCGGTCCTGGAGAAGGCCGAGCGAAGCCAATTCCCTTCCTGTCCGGCCGAGTGCGTTCGGCCGGCTGTGGACCAGTCTTCAGTACAAACGTGATATCTCCTAAACGGCTTATCCAAATTGCATACTTCCAACGGCATTGGAACACTAACTCATCTGCTATCTTGGTTGAGTTTCATTGAAATCCATTGAGTTTAAGGGTCCAAGCCGCTGCTGCCCGTTTGATGTACTGATGCAGTCCGATAAAGCTCCTCGTATATGTCTCAGGGAAATAGAGATATCTCCCAATCTACTCGGTCAAATTGATTGATTCCAGTTGCGTTGCAAAGCTAACTCACGTATGCATCGCCTCGAACTGATTTGATGAATTCCATTGAGTAGATGTTTTAAGGCCCTTCTTAAGTTGATGCTACGTCCTGGAGCTGTCTTGAAGTCCAAATCATGTGTTTTGCTCCAAAATGCATCTTTTGACCTGTTTAGACTCTAAGTACTATAAATCCATAAAAACTACCTTTTTAGATCAGAAAGCCATTAAAAACCTTATGAAAAGCATAGTAAAACCATATAAAAAGCATGTAAAATAGAGGTATATCACACAGAATTTTCTGGTTTGAACGTAGAAGTCTCCAAAAGTCAGGGGAAACTTCCTTCATGATCTTCTTTTCCTTTTGGGGTAGCCGATTAAAAATATAAGAAGCTGACGATCCTCAGGTAGAGTTATTATCAATGATTGTATATATGATGCATGAATGATATTACAAATTGATAACTTCGAGTGGAACGCAAAATACAAAAGAGGCGTCCTTGGCTTCTCATCCTCGACAAAATTGTGGACTCTTCTTTGAGTTCACATATTCATCAGAGCTACGAAAAATGATCTTCTTCATGCTTCCAAAAATCATCTCTAGGTCCTCTTTGATTTACCGGTTACTAATATTTTATTGGTCGATGGTCATAATATATAATCCGATTTGGTTAAATTCAGTGTGTGAGTTTAAAAGCTATATACAGTTAAGTCAGTAGCCAACACTAATCAGTAATCATAGGAGTAAAAAAACCCAGATACATATACATCCCGGTTCAGAAATTCGTCTGGTTTACTCTGCCACAAATATCAAAACAACAACACGTGCATGAACAAAATCAAGAACCAGGACGCAATCTCGTATTCAAAGTACTTTTTTGCTATCCAACTACACGCCGTCTTAGTTTACCCGAAAGGCAAAGTTGCCAAAGTGGGAGATAAAAGGAGCTTTTATCCAGACGACAAAAAAATAAAGAAGGAGCTTTTATCTAATACGATGACGTGTAAATGTCAAACCAAAGCAGTCGCCACGTCTAACCAATCATTGTTTGACACGTCTCTACCGAGCTCTTGCTTTTCACGATGCATACGTCATTGCACACGTCAGCATTTGATCAAAGTGATGTTAAAGAAGAAAAGTCGTAAATGGCGTCGTCACCCGAGTCTCCCACTATTTTAAAACACCCATCCAGTGACACTCCTTTCCTCTTCACTAAACTCCAATTCCATTTCTCCTTCTTCCACGTGATATCTACAGTTTCTTCTTTCTCTCGAAAATCTGCATCTATGGCTCCATCAACGAAGACGGTGGCTTTTCTTTTCCTCCTCGAACGTAACGTTTTTTGTTTGATCTTGTAGCTCCTCTTGATGAATTTTTGTTTGACGTCTTTTCAGGTTTTGATCCCTATTGCGCATGGAACGGAGCCTCTAGAAGCGGTGGCGATGATCACCGTGCTGCGTCGAGGTGGTGCTGACGTGACGGTGGCGTCCGTCGAGACTCAAGTTGGCGTTGATGCCTGCCACGGCATCAAGATGGTCGCCGATACTCTCCTCTCCGATATCACCGACTCTGTTTTCGACCTTATTGTGCTCCCCGTAAGTATCTCCCCTGAAACGAGTCTATATATAGATTCTTGTTTGTTTGTGAAAGATTTCAAGAACTCGCTTTGCTGATTATTCGTTATGATTTGGTAAAAAGGGAGGGCTTCCCGGCGGCGAGACGCTTAAAAACTGTAAACCTCTAGAGAATATGGTAAAGAAACAAGACACAGATGGAAGACTTAACGCAGCTATCTGTTGTGCTCCTGCGTTGGCTCTTGGTTCTTGGGGTCTACTAGAGGGCAAAACAGTAAGTCTCTAGTGATCCACTATCCAATATTGTTTTCAGTGGTCTTTGTCTAATGGTTTCTTGCAGGCAACGGGTTACCCGGTTTTCATGGAGAAACTTGCGGCTACTTGCGCCACTGCTACTGAGTCAAGAGTGGTGATTGATGGAAGGATTGTGACCAGCCGAGGACCAGGAACCACCATCGAATTCTCCCTCACGCTTGTGGAGCAGTTGTATGGCAAAGAGAAAGCTGATGAAGTCTCTAGTATCTTGGTATGCTCTGTCTTGTCTCTGCTTCTTTTCATCAAACGCATAAGTGGTTTTCATTCTTCTCTTAGACTTGTATGTTCTCCTTTTGTCATCAGCTGGTTCGTCCTAACCCTGGTGAGGAGTATACTTTCACCGAGCTCAACCAAACGAACTGGTCATTTGAAGATACCCCAAAGGTATATACTTTCTCTGTTTCTTTGAATTTTATAGTTTTTTCACATATATTAAGAAAAAGCAAAAGTTTAATAAATTTTCTAAACTAAACAACTTTAAACCAATGGTAATGCAAGAAAGACATTGGAATCTGATCTTTTTTTACTTTAATCAAGAAAAAGTATATTGAAAACCTATAAAATTTATGTAACAATAAAAAATTGCTACAAAATTCATCTTAAAGAACGAGAGATATGATCAAATGGATAACATGTTTTTGCTGTAAAGCTTTTGTCTTTCTTTATCAAGAACTGTTTATGAGTCAAGAAAGATGACGCTCTTCTTGTTTCAGATTCTCGTTCCCATTGCGGAGGAGTCGGAGGAAGTTGAAGCTATTGCGCTTGTAGATATCCTGAGGAGGGCAAAAGCAAATGTGGTGATTGCTGCAGTTGGTAACAGTTTGGAAGTTGTGGGATCTAAACAAGTTAAGCTAGTTGCAGAGGTGCTTCTCGATGAGGTTGCTGACAAGTCCTTCGATCTTATTGTGTTGCCTGTGAGTGCCAAACTAACATTTGTATTTATCAATCTCAAAGAAAGTTGTGTGATTCATCGACAAATAACAAAAACAATAATAATCAAACTTCTCAGGGCGGTACTCTTGGAGGTGCTAAAAACTTCGCAAGCTGCGAGAAGCTGGTGAACATGTTGAAGAAACAAGCGGAAGCAGACAAGCCATATGGAGGAATCTGCGCAGCATCTGCTTACGTCTTCGAGCCTAATGGTTTACTCAAGGTGTGCATAAAACCAAATCCTTGAAAACGTTATGTGGCACTTCTTGTTACATCTTTTGTCATGAAACTGAGATACATGGACATGTTTTTGTATATTAGGGCAAGAAATCAACTACACACCCAAAGGTGAGCGACCAACTCGCGGACCAGAGTCACATTGAGCACAGAGTCGTGGTCGACGGGAATGTCATAACGAGCAGAGCTCCAGGGACTGCAATGGAGTTTTCACTTGCGATTGTCGAGAAGTTTTACGGGCGAGAGAAAGCTCTTCAGCTCGCAAAGGCTACACTTGTGTGATTTTGCAAACGAATCAAGTGTGAGAGAGAGACTTTAATAAATAATAGGCTTTGCCTTTTACTTAGTTATCTCTCCATTGGTAATGGAGTTGCTTTGTGATATGAGTGTATAATTTATGTCTTTATATGAATGAATAAATGTGATTCCGAATTTGTTATTTAAACCTCTGTTTGAGTAAGAGGGTTTGGTGGTGGTAGATATTTTATTTCACCTTAGATATTTTATGTAGACTTTCTTCTCCAATTTGATCTTACAAGATTCACAAAATATGAATTCGCCCCAATGATTCGTTACCATTTAGTAATTTAATTATGCCAAATTGAGAGCAATCAAAATTTCAGTCTTCCAAGAACAAAAAATAAATTTCATCATTTTTCAAAACTTAAAAAGCAGAATAAATCCTAGCGAAATGGGATTTATTTTGTAACTCAAAATAAAGTTGGGGCCATTGTGTTAGGATCTGATAAGATCAAGGGGTGTGACCGAAGATTTCGCTGGTTGTTCCGTTCGGTTGTGAAATGCCAAAACTACCCTCGATTCATTTCTTTATCTCTTATTAAACCCTCGCCAAAACCCTTGCTTTCATTTCTCAGCTCATCCCTTTCACACCTCCTAGGGTTTCTATCCGTCGTGAGATTCAATGGCGACGCATACCATTTCTCGCTCGATTCTCTGCCGACCGGCGAAATCTCTCTCCCTTCTGTTCTCGAGATCATTTGCTTCATCTGCTCCTCTCGCCAAAACCCCAGCGTCTTCGCTTTACACGTCGTCTCTACTGAGCAGATCTCGCCCCCTCGTCGCCGCTTTGTCCTCCGTTGTTGCCCGTGGTGGCCTTGTCTCTGCGAAAGGTCTTTCAACGCAGGCTACATCGTCTTCTCTGAACGATCCGAATCCCAACTGGTCCAACAGGCCACCCAAGGAGACGATCCTGCTCGATGGCTGCGATTTCGAGCACTGGCTTGTCGTCGTGGAGCAACCTCAGGGTGAGCCTACTAGAGACGAAATCATCGACAGCTACATCAAAACCTTAGCCCAGATTGTTGGCAGGTAAACCCCCAAATCCGAAAATCTCTTATGCCTTTTCTTCTAGGAACTTTATAGACTTGTTATTTAACTGAGAAAATCCACTTCCTTGCTACACTGTATGTGCTTCTGGGTTACTATGTTCGATCTGTTTGTTTACTTTAATCATTTTGAAACCATTCTCTCAGTGTGGAAGAAGCGAGGATGAAGATCTATTCGGTTTCAACTAGGTGCTACTTTGCTTTCGGAGCCCTTGTGTCAGAAGATCTTTCTCACAAGCTTAAAGGTATTCTTTCCTTCTAGTTCTCGAGTTTCACTTTTCCACATTTCTGTGTTTATAAACCGCCTTGTAATATCTCTGTGTAATTTTACAGAGTTGCCAAATGTTCGCTGGGTGCTTCCTGATTCTTACCTGGATGTGAGGAACAAAGACTACGGAGGTAAGGCTTAGTGTGATTATCTTTATTGACAAACGAGAATTGAGAGGGATGTGAGCTTCTTTGTTCTACCATTATACTTGCTGGTTCTGAATCGTCGATAAGAAGAAGTACCACTTGTTAGTGTTTTGAGTAGATTCGTTACTTGCTCAATGCATTTGTATTAGATTGACACATTGGACCGACTTCTATCTATAGTTATTTAACACTTCTGGAAATAAATTTTGGTGCATATGTTTGGTGGTAGTAGCAGTCTCTGTGATGTTGTTTTGTCGAGAGTTAAATCATTCTGGTGATACTATCAGAGAGAGTTGCTTGATAAGTTTGTTTATATATTGAATTGCAGGGGAACCTTTCATTGATGGGAAGGCTGTTCCTTATGATCCTAAGTACCATGAGGAGTGGATAAGGAACAATGCTAGAGCTAATGAACGGAACAGGCGCAATGACCGTCCTCGCAACAATGACAGAAGCAGAAACTTTGAGAGGAGAAGAGAGAACATGGGAGGAGGCGGCGCTCCTCCCCAACGTCCTCCCATGGGAGGCTCTCCTCCACCACCTCACATGGGTGGCTCTGCACCTCCTCAGAACTACGGCGGACCACCACCACCGAACAACATGGGAGGACAAAGGCCGCCACCAAACTATGGAGGACCACCACCACCACAGAACAACATGGGAGGTCAGAGGCCACCAGTGAACTATGGAGGACCACCACCACCTAACTACGGGGGAGCACCACCACCACCAAACTACGGAGGAGCACCACCACCGAACTATGGAGGAGCACCACCGCAGAACAACATGGGAGGAAGCCCACCACCATCAAACTATGGAGGAGCACCACCACCGAACTACGGAGGAGCACCACCGCAGAACAACTACCAGCAGCAGCCACAGTACCCGAACAACTACCCACCTAACCGGGATGGCAGCGGGAACCCGTACCAGGGTTAAAAGGAGTTGAACCCAGTCGTCGGTTTTCTTTTTAATCATGCACTCTGGACCATGTATAGATAATGTGAGGATGGGAGCGGAGAGTGGAATAACTTTATAAGTCCGTTTGTCTTCAGTGTTTTATCAGTCTGGTATTGTGCGAAAGAGAATAGCTCGAGTTACTCTTGCATGGTTAGACAACCTTTTTACGCTTTCGTTTTCTTTTTTAGTTTTATATCCTAAATCGGTCTCAAGTGCTTTGCTAGATGCTTTCTGTTGTGGGTTCCTCTTGAGTCTTGTTACAATTCGTCAACTCTTGATTCTGCTTCTGAATGCAGCATGCATTTAGTAACTTAAATTACTTAATTCAATAACTGTCTTTGTGTTGCCTATACAATTACCTCGTTCAACTGCACAAAAAGGAAAGCGAGTAAGACAGATAGATGGGCCTATTATTGGGCCCATCGTTGTATATCTCAGCCGAGCCCAAAAATAAATTCTCGAACCTCTATAAACTGCTCGCTTCTCTTCCCTCTAATTTTTTTTCTGTAGTGTTTTGCGACTAATTTTTCTTGAGTCGCTTTCTCTGCGGCTGGACTTAGGGTTAAGGAATTTCCGGTGAAAGAGGAACTCGAGAGAGAAATCAATAATCATGGATATGATGAAGAAGCGAAAGCTAGATGAAAACGGTGGTGGACTCATAACCAATGGTGGTGGAAACATTGGTCCGACTCGATTGACGCCGCAGGACGCGCGGAAGATCATCGAGCGATTCTCCACTGATCAGCTGCTCGACATCTTGCAAGAGGCTATCGTAAACCATCCCGATGTGCTTGAAATTGTCCGATCAGCTGCTGATTCTGATATCTCGCTGCGGAAGCTATTCATCCGTGGCCTCGCGGCGGATACCACATCGGAAGGTCTCCGTTCGCTTTTCTCCAATTACGGAGATCTCGAGGAAGCGATTGTGATCCTCGACAAGGTGACTGGGAAATCAAAAGGGTATGGTTTCGTCACTTTTATGCACGTGGACGGAGCTATGCTCGCTCTGAAAGAGCCGTCTAAGAAAATTGATGGGCGTGTGACTGTCACGCAGCTCGCGGCATCTGGAAATCAAGGTACGGTCTCTCAGGTTTCTGATATATCGATGAGGAAGATCTATGTGGCGAATGTGCCGTTTGACATGCCGGCGGATAGACTGTTGAATCACTTTATGGCGTATGGGGATGTTGAGGAAGGTCCTTTGGGTTTTGATAAGATTACTGGGAAATCAAGGGGCTTTGCGTTGTTTGTCTACAAGACAGCAGAAGGTGCGCAGACGGCACTTGCTGAACCGGTCAAGATGATTGACGGAAAACATTTGCAGTGTAAGTTGGCTGTTGAAGGTAATAAGAAAGGAGGGAAGCCTCTAATGCGGCAAGCTCAGGATGGGGGTCCTGGTCATGGACACGCTCATGGTGAAGGAATGGGAATGGTTCGTCCTCCAGGACCTTATGGTCCTGGTGGTGGTGGCTTGAGTGCTTACGGTGGGTATGCTACAGGACCACCACCACCGCATCACATGAATTCCACACCGTCCTCAATGGGTGGGTATGGTGGACACTATGGTGGATATGGAGCTCCAGGTTCTGGTGGGTATGGTGGAGTTGGCGGCGGTGGCTATGGTGGTGGTTCTGGTGCTGGAAGTGGGCAGTATAGAATGCCACCGAGTTCGATGCCTGGTGGTGGTTATCCCGAGAGTGGGCATTATGGTATTTCATCATCTGGTGGGTATCCTGGACAGCATCATCAGGCTGTTGGAACCTCCCCTGTGCCAAGAGCTCCTCTTGGGGGAATGTACCCCAATGGCCCGCCAAATTACTGAAAAGGTGAAGCTGTTCTTCTTTTGTTTTCTTCTTTGCTTGCTTTGTTTGCCTGGTGTCAAGGGTGTTGAGTTATCATGGTCCTTGCATTTTTACATATCCTTGCTTGATTAAAATTCTCTTGTTTTTGCAAGTTGTCATAGTTTTTTGCTTGCTTGAATTTTTTTCTTTGGTTTGCTCTTCCCTGAGTCCCTTTTGGGATATTTGCTCGTTTGTGTTGTGTTTACTACATGATGAAATGCCTTGGAGTCTGGGTTCATGCCTTGATTTTTACGCACCTCATACAAGCCAGAAAAGTTGCCTGGAGTCAAGAGTGTTGAGTTATCATGGTCCTTACATTTTGACATAGCCTTGCTTGATTGAAATTCTCTGGTTTTTGCAAGTTGTCGGTAGTTTTTGCTTGCTTGAAATTGTTTTCTCTGGTTTGCTCTTCCCTGAGTCCCTTTTGGGATATCTAGTTATCTACTCGTTTGTGCTTGTGTTTGCTACTTGATGAAATGCCTTGAGTCTGGGTTCATGCCTTGATTTTAAGGCACCTCATACAGGCAGAAAAGTGGCGCCTTAAGACCCTTTTCTGGTGAGTGTTTGGCTAAAGCACAAGAAATTCATGGTGTTGTTTCATGCATTGTTGCCGTTTGTTTGCTTAGGTTCTCAGCTAAAATAATCTATAGCTGCTAGTTTGTGTGCGACCGACTAGTGGCTTTTCTCTTTATAATTTTATTTTCACTCAGCTAGTCAGCTGTGATGCGCTTGGTTGTGATGACAATCGCTAGCCCTCGTTTGCTTTTGTAAATCTTCTTTTAAAGTTTACGTGAACGTTGATTTATTTGTTAATGCTAATGACCAAATTGAGTTGTGAATGGGTGTTAATTCAGGTTTGTTGACAGCATATTGGACGAAGATGTGCTTTTTGTGCTTAGTGGTGATTGCGTGATTGCAGCCTCTTTAATCTCTGGAATGATGAATATATAGCTGCTTTGACCTCTCTGCACTTGACCTGAATCTGCTTGGCCTTTGAATGCCTGGTTGCTTAGAATAGGATGTTATTTCATGTACTATTTTTATTTTTATCATAGACGTATTTGGCAGATAAGTTTTGTTTGTCAGATTAGGGAGTCTTAAAATAATATGCTGGATGTTTTTTCCAACACCGTTTCCTGGTTAATTGATTAGTTTATCTTTCTGAAACCTTGATACAAGTATTTCACTTGGCTGTGACTTTTTGAGGACATCTAAAGTGGCTCTAGAGGCTTTAAGGACATCTAATATGCTGTATGACTACTTTCCAACACCCGTTTGTGTAATATGCTGTATGACTTTCTAACACCGTTTGTGTTGTTTGACATAAACTGTGTTGTTACCGTGATTTCAAAACTTAGTGTGATTCGCCGTGGTCTTCCAAGTGTAGTAACTAGTAAGGATGTATCGAAGTTGTGGATTTGCTTGTTTTCTGGCATTATGGTCTTGGAAAAATCTCATGGCTTTACCCCAAGATGCAAACTTTGGTTTTAGGATTTGGGAAAGTGAGATTTTAGTTCCTTTTATTTTGTCACTTGGTAGAGATGTTTTTAAGCGCTAATAGCTTCTTGCTTCTTTTTTTTGTTGTCACAAAACAGAGTAATGTTGTGTGTTTTAGGTTTCTTTCTTTCATTGCGAGAGCTCTTTAGCTTGTATATACACCAATGACCCATTCGTTTTATTTATTTTCTTGCTTACATTTTTCCTTTTGATGGCGAATCTTCGATGCTCCTGCCTGAAAACGGAGCGGACTGAAGAGAACTCTCAACGGATGGAGGCGATATATCGAAGACTTGTAATGGAACGGCGACGTAATTATGTAAACAAATGTGTTGTTCGGTAGTATCTTCAAACTTTGTACCTTGTCAAAACTAATCATTAATGAAACGACCCCCTGCACACAAATGACGACTTATAAGTGTTTTTTTATCTGCCAAATAATATTTTATATGTTAAAAGTTATGGCAAGATCGTCCAAAAAAAAAAAAAAAAAAGTTAAAAGTTATGGCAAGATTGACAATGGCATGTTGCAAACCTGACAATACATGAAGCGAATCATGCCGGTCTTGTAGATGTGTCATGTGACTCATGACTAATGTGTATAAGACTATATAGTAGCTTATATTAATTAAAAGCCTTTAAACTCAGAGGAAACCTGAAATTGTAAGTGGAGCCCACTCCCTTGACTGGTTCACCACAAACCGAAACAGAGGAGGCCTCTTTATTTTTCTGATGATAATTGTCCTTCTCTCTCGCACTGCTTCTTCCTCGCTTTGATTCTCTCTCTCGTTTGTTTCTGCTCCTCACCTAGAACCCTAAACGTCCACCAAAAATGTTCAGATCAATGCTTGCTAAATCCGCTTCCCCGGTGAAGCAGGGGCTTCTCCACAGAGGATTCGCCTCCGAATCTGTTCCCGATCGCAAAGTCGTCATTCTCGGTGCCGCCGGTGGGATCGGCCAGCCTCTTTCTCTCCTCATGAAGCTTAACCCTCTCGTCTCCTCTCTCTCCCTCTATGATATCGCCAACACTCCCGGCGTTGCTGCTGACGTCGGCCACATCAACACCCGATCTCAGGTATCCATTTCCCCCCCTTCCTGATCGCTTTCTCGCATTCCGAAGAGAAATTCGAATGATGTGCATTAGATTCGTATCATACCTCTTCATGTGGCGATTGATCTTCTTCACTGTCAGGTTGCTGGATTCATGGGTGATGATAATTTGGGGAAAGCTCTTGAAGGAGCTGACCTCGTCATTATCCCAGCTGGCGTCCCGAGGAAGCCAGGCATGACCCGTGATGATCTCTTCAACATTAATGCTGGCATTGTCAAGAACCTCAGCATCGCCATCGCCAAGTACTGCCCACAAGTAATTATAAATCCTCTCATCATCATCTCTCTAAACTGTGATATTACTAAACGGTAATGTCTGTTTCCGCTTGCTAGTTTGCTTCTTCTATTAACCTTACTTTTGAATTAGGCACTTGTCAACATGATCAGCAACCCAGTGAACTCCACTGTTCCGATTGCAGCTGAGATTTTCAAGAAGGCTGGTACGTACGATGAGAAGAAACTCTTCGGTGTTACCACTCTTGACGTTGTTAGGGCCAGGACTTTCTATGCTGGAAAAGCCAATGTCAATGTTGCAGGTTGGTCGAATGATTAGCTTTTAGTTATTAAGTTATCTAGCTTGAAACAATATAGTAATGCTATGAGTTTCGATGTAGCTTCTGATGTTTAGATTCGAATGCTTGTATATGCAGAGGTTAACGTTCCAGTTGTTGGTGGTCATGCTGGCATTACCATTCTTCCTCTCTTTTCTCAGGTTACCTATCATCATCTTCCCTCCTTCTCTTATACTATTGCTAAATTGGTTATGATTTTTTGGTCTGTTTTTTGGCCTCAAAAGTGTTTTGTTTGATGATATATAGGCAAGTCCTCAAGCCAACTTGTCAGATGATTTAATCAGAGCCCTCACTAAGCGTACCCAGGACGGAGGAACAGAAGTCGTGGAGGCGAAAGCTGGGAAAGGTTCAGCTACATTGTCAATGGCGTAAGTTAAATATTATGTCACTTTTATTCCTTGCAAGTATTGTATGTCACTCTCCTCTTTCTGGTAGTCTTGTTTTACACACACAATAGTGTTGTTATTTGGTCATGTGTTTTGTTTATTCTCTCTCTGATGAAACCTGATTTGTGTGGGAAAGCTATGCGGGAGCACTGTTTGCTGATGCGTGCTTGAAGGGACTCAACGGTGTTCCAGATGTGGTGGAATGCTCATTCGTCCAGTCCACCATCACCGACCTTCCTTTCTTCGCCTCCAAGGTAAAGCTCTCTAAGAAGCAACCATCAATCAAAATCACCAGATTATATTAGATCAAGATGGTCATTCATTAACTGCATTTCTCTTGTTTTTATTTTTGGGTTTGGTAGGTGAGATTGGGGAAGAACGGAGTGGAGGAAGTGCTTGATCTAGGGCCACTCTCAGACTTTGAAAAGGAAGGCTTAGAAGCCCTCAAGGCTGAGCTCAAATCCTCCATCGACAAGGGTATCAAATTTGCCAACCAATGAGTCTGCTTTCTTTAAATTCTTGATTTTGGATTAAAACTTTAAAGGTTCTTCTTTCTTGTCGTCTTTCCGGCTTTCCAATTTTCCGGTAGAGTTGTCTTCTTCCGCTGCACAACTTATGAAAATTCCATTAATAAACTCACCATTGGGGGGACACTGTAATAATAACAAGTAAACAAAACTACTGTTGCTATCTAGTAATGTAAGCTATGGATTCTTTTTTCTTTTGGCGCTCAAATTCTTTTTTAAGCAAACACAAACACGCAAAAAAAAGGCTCTCTGTTGATTGATATAGGTTGCATTTATCTGCCTGAAGTATTTATTTATTTCAGACAGATGAAAGTGTACTTGTTGTTAACTTGTTATCGTTGGATCACGAGCCCTTCTGTCTTTATGAGTCTTTATGAGTTTTTATTTTCTTACTTTGATGAATAAATATAAATACATGTGAAAAGAAGTAAGAGCGTGAAAGGACATTATGTCCCTTCTCCATGTCTCACCTTTTCCTTCACTTTTTGTAAATAAAATCATTTATATGTGGAAAATTGAAATAAATTACTTACTCTTTATACAATTTTTTTATAAAAAAATAGTGTGCTAAACGCCTAAACCTTTTTTGGTCTCTAAACTCTGATTAGTGTGTTAGTATATGACATGGAGGATAAACACAACAACAAAAATGTGAGTAGTAAATAAACAGAGACCCTTCGAAAGTGACAAATAATATCGAACAAAAACAAAATAATTTTGATAGCGAATGGACAGAAGGCTGTTTCTTATATTTATTCACTAAGAAAAAGTAGTGTTGAATCAAAATTTATGTTTTTGAGAATAAAGGAAACATACAGACAAATCTTTTACTTAGAACTCATCCGAATGGTACTATCGATAACATACGACAAAAGCACGAAATTGCCAGCTAAGGGTAAAATCGTGATTTCGGTGAGAATCAGAGGGCAAAGTAGGTGAAGTGTTAATTTTCAGTGGAGCCATTTGTCATCCGTCGCCACGTCATCGCATGTCCTACGTGTGCCAATCCCACGTCACGTGTTATGCTTTCGCATTATTTGCATGTTTACTCTTTATATTGTTTAAAAGAAGCAAATTGGGCTTTATCTTTAAATTGTTACAACTTGAGCCCTAATTCCTACACATAAAGAGCAAGTCGAATAATATAAAGACGTTTGTTTATGAGTATTTCAATACTACCAATCGAAAATTTTGTATACTAAAAATCGTATATAGTCGGTGAATAATGGAGAACTGACTGAAATCTTAGAAAATTGATTTAATTTTTCTTAGATTTCTTAATTTTAGATGTTAATATAGTTTGCAGTTTCGTGTAACAAATCTCACGGGAATTGTTATTCACAGCTCCAATACCTTTGACCAAATAATCACATTCTTCTTCAGCAAACAAAACAAAATCAACATTTCCTGATGTGTTTACTTATTGACCATTCTTGATCATAATTCCAACTTGCATGTTTTCATTTGATGTCAATCATCATCATAAATATCCGCAAAGCATTGTGTGTCCATGTCACTAGTTCATTTTCACAATAACTTTAAAATGATCGATTGTTTTTTTAACGACAATCGATTGTTTTGTTTGATATATGAATATCATACATTTGATATTTTTTAAAGAAAAAAATCGTCCTTGCAATATCCTATATATTAATCGTCCGCGGGAAGGGTAACTATATGTCGGTATATACTTTGTACAGACATACATATAACGTCTATGAAACATGTTACGATCGAAAACAGTCGATATATCCACATGCTTAAGTTAAGTGTTTGAGCTTTGATGATAGTTAATAAACTAATACTACTTTGTTTCGTGCCATTTAAGATGAAGTGTTTGTATGAATTAACACACTGATGACTAACAGAGTAACAGTATAATTGAACAAGAACAAGATACACAAGGTCAGCTAATTCTATAGTAAAGCATATTTAAATTACTATATAGGAAACGGCCAGAGCTTGACTAAATCTTAGTTTTAACACGATCAGTAATAACATTAAGATTTTATAATTTTATGAAAAGATGAATCCATACATACTACATATGCATATGGCAGAAAAACATATTTGATGAGGCATGCCTTCCTCTATAGAATACTGTCAAATATCAAACTGACGTTATTCCATAAATAATTGATTTAGAGTTTAGACCATTGACGTTACTATGTTTTTTTTTTGTGTGACGTTATTGTGCTTAATAACTGAATTTTCACATAAATTCCCATGAGGGCATGATGTAAATGTTATTTTTGTTTTTATAAAGGGTTTTGTTCTAAACGTTATTATAATCATTCTATTTTGTTGTGTTGCGATTTGTGATTGTGATTCCAAGTGGAAGCACCTTTGATTTAATTAATTAGTATGCAACCGTGGGATGACATATATTCTCCTTTTCTCTAGTACTTAAATAACATACTTTATTTGTTAACTATGTTATTTGCTTTGTTTAATCAATTATTTAATGTGTTCGTATTAGGTTTGTCAATCGACCCTTTTCTATAATGCTAATATGTCACTTTCTAATTTATTATTCCATTAAAGTAGGTGTGTTTAATGGTAATTATTTATGGACAAAGACGGAATAGCATAAAATTAACAAATAAGTACGTATACTACTAAATAGTACTAGTATACATAAATAGTACAATTTAAGATCGAGAATGATATAATTAATCTGGCAAAAAAAGATTAAGAATATGAAATGATATACGTTGCGTCAATTTTTTTTGTTTGCTTTGGAAAAAAGAATTATATTGAAACGACTTGAAAACTATTGTTCAGCTTACCGTACGTGTGTTCGAATTTAATATCTAATGAAATTTGTGAAAAAATAACAATATGGTTTTGTTGTTATTCTTATTCGGTTTTTAACCAACGTTTGGAGATATTTTGTGTTAAATATACTCAAACCACAATATACTCCATACGTGAGTTGTAGTCAATTGGTTGGGATTCAAGAAGCATTATTGAGTCCCACCAATTATTTATAAAATTTGTGAAATTCTCAACTTTTGAAATATCTCCGTTGAAGCTTAGATTGTCTTATACTATCCTCTGCATATATTATTCTTTATAACTTTTTTTTTTCTATATGAATTTTGGTCATATGCATCATTTGGTTAAAACAATTATTTAGACAGGTCAAGTAGTGAAGCAATAAGTGTGTCTTTAATAATCCAAGATAAGATCAAGAAGAAGAAAGAAGATAAAAAATGAAAACATTGTTCTAAGCGTATATATAGAGTAATACGAAGAGAGGTAAAGGTGTTATAATATAATATTCGCGTGTGAGCAAGTTCGATTTTCCGAATAAGATATGCTTTAGTAAACTATTGAGATTCTTACCAGAAAAAAGTGGAGAAGTGGAGCATCAACAAGACCTTTATATATTTTGGCATAGTAATGGGTCAGGTCAACCCTTAAAAAGAAACCAAGAAGCAAAAAAGGTTGAAATTGAACCTTGACCCATCCAACACCATTGGTTTTTTGTAGGGTATTTATTCATTTCTAAACCGGAAAATAAATCTCTTCCTTCCACCACCAAGAACTCTTGTACGATTATGATGTGCTCTTCTAAATGCTCTACCAATCAAGGCTTATGTGTATCAGTTATGTATTTTGAAGTGTTTACGTCTAGCTATTGTTAACATTTACTGGAAATTATGAGCACAAACAAAACAAAACACAACATGAATATCTACTGTTAAAAACTCCAAACTACCATATTTAGCTAAGTGGCAGTAGCAGAGTGGTTTTTGAGGATTCCTTCAGTTATTACAACAAGACATAATAAGTACACAGATTCGTTTAAACGTATACATGTTTCACGGTTTTGTTTGGTCATACGTCGATGTTTTTTAATAGCAAAAGTATCCGGATTTTTACAAGTTTTTAGAGGTTAGTCTTTATAATTTTTGGTTTGTGATGATTCTGTTTTTCTTTTAGAGAAAAAAAGAAACAATCATACTGTATTTGTTTTAGAAAAATAAGAGATGAGATGAATAATTTTGGAAAACGACTAAAATTTGATTGCCTAAAAAAGAAAGAAAGTAAAAAAAAATTGAAAAATTGAATGTGAGAAGCGAGGAGATGAGAGAGAGAGAGAGAGAGAGAGAGAGAGATCTTTAATGAGAGCAAAAGACTGTCATCTTACCAGTTGCGTCATCATCAACCCACAACACTCTCTCTTCTCTCTTGCTCCTTCTCTTATTTACTTTTCCTTTTACCATTTTCCCGAGAAATTATCGAAAAAGCTTTCTCTGGGTTTTTCTTGATTGGTCAATTGCACATCTCCCTTTCCCTCTCTCTCCCCTCTTTTGCCTCGCTTCATCTGTTTGGTCTCCTTCTCGCAAGTACCAAAGAGTGATAATTTAACCAAGCTTGAGTGATTTTCAGTTATGGGTTAGTCTCCAATTCTCACAAATCCTCCTCTTCTTCTTCTTCTTCTTCTTCTTCTTCTTCTTAGGCTATAAGAGTTCTCTAGGGTTAGGGTTTTGAGGTGAGGGAGAGAGGCAAGTATGCGGGAGTTACATCCATTTTGAGTTACTCTGGATTCCCCACCGTCTAACGACCGCCGTCGCCGCCGCCGCCGCCTCGACGAAGAAGACGCTGAGCAGCTTCCTCAATATGCTCAACCAATGGACGACGCTCACCATTTCCTCCACCCTCCAGCGCCGCCGCCTCCTTCTTCAATGAGGCTCCGTGCTACCTCGGAGGCGGCGGATACGGCCAACGGCGGGTGCGGCGAGATCGTGGAGGTGCAAGGAGGTCACATTGTGCGGTCGACGGGAAGGAAAGACCGGCACAGCAAAGTCTGCACGGCCAAAGGGCCACGTGACCGGCGCGTGAGGCTCTCTGCCCACACGGCGATTCAGTTCTACGACGTTCAGGACCGCCTCGGCTTCGACCGACCTAGCAAAGCCGTCGATTGGCTTATCAAAAAGGCCAAGACTTCCATCGACGAGCTCGCTCAGCTTCCTCCCTGGAACCCGGCCGACGCAATCCGCCTCGCCGCCGCTAACGCTAAACCCCGAAGAACCGTCGCTGCAAAAACCCGAATTTCTCCGTCGCCGCCGCCGTCGGAACAGCAGCAGCAACATCTTCAATTCGGTGTTGGATTCGACGGAGCAGAGCATCCGAGCAACAATGATAACGAGTCGAGTTTTCTCCCGCCGTCAATGGACTCAGATTCGATTGCTGACACTATCAAGTCCTTTTTCCCGGTGGTTGGCTCTTCAACGGAAGCTCCTCCGAATCACCTGATGCACAACTATCATCACCATCATCATCATCATCCGCCGGATTTGCTTTCTCGAACCAACAGCCAAAGCCAAGATCTCCGTCTCTCGCTGCAATCCTTCCCGGATGGTCCACAGTCGCTTCTCCACCAGCAGCAGCAGCAGCACAACCACCACCACAACCACCACTCCGCTTCCGCCTCCGTCGGCGAGCCTGTTCTGTTCTACGGGCAGAACAATTCGCTAGGATTCGACACATCAAATGGTTGGGAGCAGCAGCAGCAGTCATCGGAATTCGGAAGGATTCAGAGACTGGTGGCTTGGAACAGCGGCGGAGTAATCGATTCAGGAAACGGCGGAGGAGGAGGAGGGTTTCTGTTCGCTCCTCCTCCTCATCCTCATCCTCCTCCGACGTCGTTTCAGCCAGTACTCGGCCAGAGCCAGCTTTATTCTCAGAGGGGTCCCCTTCAGTCCAGTTACACGCCCTTGATCCGTGCTTGGTTTGATCCTCACCACCACCACCACCATCAATCCATCTCCACCGACGACCATCTTCCTCCTCCGGTTCACCATCAATCAGCAATCCCGGGAATTGGATTCGCTTCCGGTGAATTCTCTTCCGGTTTTCGCATACCAGCACGGTTTCAGGGCCACCAAGACGAGGAGCAGCACGACGGTCTCACCAACAAACCGTCCTCTGCTTCCTCACTTTCTCGCCATTGATAACAACAATCCCAACATTTCCTCTTATTCCAGGTTATCAGTCGTTTTACATCAAGTTCACTACTTTTTGGCAGTTCTTGTTCATTGAACTCAAAAACCGTTTTTTTGCAGGGCTTGTCAAGCTTGCCTTGGCTTAGATTGTTCGGAAAAGAGAAGGTGTTCTCGGTTTGTATTCAATGGCGTGAAGAAAGAAAAGTGCAAGAGAAGGATGGAAGAGAAGAAGAAGATCAACAATGTGGTCTCTACAGTTTCAGGTTCTTCTTTCTTCTTCTTCTTTCAGTATCCTGACCTTGCCGATTGTAATTTTATTATATTTTCACCAGTTAGACAGCCTTCTCTAGCTAGATTTTAAGGTTGCTTCTTCTTGTTGTGTTTGTGTTTGTATCATTATCACCATCGTCTTGTTATTGCAATACCCAGATACTTTGAGAATATTGCAGTTTCTTGCTCTTGTTGTGTTTGTAACTCCATTGAAGTTCTAATAAAATGTTGAAACTTTCTCTTTATTTTCTTCTTGTTACTGCTTTCCTCAGGTGTTTATGTATAAAACTGTTTAAAACCTTGACCTAGAATATAGGTAAATGCTGTGTTCAAGCTAGATCCTTAAACAACATTAAAGTGTGGGTTGATTCTTAAATAAAAGTTAGTCATTTTCCATGAACAGTAAGTTTTGAAATGTTGCTTCTTCTGGAACAACATGGAGATTTAGCCACTTCCCTTTAATTGCAAGTGAAACTTTCCTCACAAGAGTGAAAAAAAGAAGGATTTGATTTGCTATGTCCTGATGTCAATAATTGTTCTCTCTCACCTACTTTAGTGTTAGGAGAAGATCCACCAAACTTGAATGTGATCTTGTCTCTGATGAGTAAAAGAATGGGGACATGAGATAGGTATAGAGAGCCACCCATGTTTGTCTAAATGTAGGAAGTTGATCATCACTATTCAATTCTTCTCTTTCATCTTTAGGCAATAATATTTGATTGCAAGGTAGTCAAAAAAAAACTTGGGGTTAAATGCAAGATTTCAGATGTTTGTTGTACCTTCTTCATTTAGTAGAGAATTGATAGAAATTATTCAAATTTATAATTTACCTTTTCAAAGAAAAGCAAACCCCTTTTCATGTGATGTAATAAAAACATCACCAACCACACCAAATGTGAAGGTGTTGAGAGATATACCATAATAAAAGTTTGTTCTACCAAAAGATAGAAAGTGCCGAATCTTTAATTTAAGGTCTCTCTATGACTCAAAAACCATTTATTTCCTCGTTTGTCAACTGAGATAATGTCATCTGTAAGACAGTTAGGCATAGTACTACAATCTATCTGTTATATGAGTATGACCTAGTAAAACATTTCTCACTAAACCTCAAAAATATCTTATGGGTTTGAGAGGGATGTTGAAGAAGATGGAACCAAGATTGTAAAAAGAGCTGTCACTTTAAGACTGGTCCCCTCTCTCTTTCTCTTGTAATAAGATCTCATTGCCTTTTTCTCAAAAGATCTACCGAAAAATGTCACAGCTTTGAACCCCCTCTCCTTCCCCATAAAATAATTGTAAATTCAAGACTTTGAAAGAAGCAAAAGTTGCAAAAAGAATCACACTAAAAAGTGTTCATAAGAGGTGCATAAATGTGAAGGAAACATGTGAAGCATGAAGCAAATTATAAACACAGCCCAAAAACATGTGCAATCACTCTCACATCAGTCTCTTTGATATGACGTAACAAATCGTCTAATGTAGACCAACATATATATATATGAACATTACATTGGAAAGGTTTCAAATTTTTGGATAACAAATTAAAAGAATGGTCTTTTGTGGAAAAAAAAAACTTACAAAAAATGAAAAAAGATTCAATCTATGAAACCTGTTCTTCTGAAAACAGCATTCCTTACCTGCCGGAGATCTCTCCCTTTAAGTGTCCTTCCTGCTCCTTCAAGCACCGAGCAAGACAGCAACGAGGACTGAGCCAACGACCTAGCTACAATCTCGTGCGGCGGAAGCATCTCTCCTTCTTCTTCCTCCTCCTCATCGTCCACCAGATCAGTCAGCTTAAACTCCTTCTTGTGGCGATTCATCATCGCCGAAGACACTAACGGAACTTGAACCGGAGCTGACTGAGGATACTTCCCTCCACCCATAAAAGAAGACGTGAACGGAAGTCTCTCTTGAGGCGGTTTAGGAGCTGTTGGGATGGTTCTTGCAGAAGATGAAGAAGCAACTGATGCACCACCACCGCCTGAGGAAGACGATGAAGAAGCTGTGGAGGAGACTGAAGTCGAGAGAACCGCCGCAGCCTTGTGGTGAAAGACGTGGTTGAGGTAACTGTTTCCGGACGGCTCTGGAAGAGCGGCGAGGATACCGGAAGCTTCCACGTTCTTCAAACCGCTTTTGCTTCTTTGAAGCTGGCGAGTAGGAGGATGTTTGGCTGGAGAAGACGACGGAGAGTGACGTGGCGCGTGAGTTATGTCGATTGCGAAGATGTCGTCTTCGTTGAGCTCACCGTCGGCGGCGGAGGCGGAGACGGAAGGTGAAGACGGTGAAGGGATATCGATCCGTGTGGTTTTGTTCATTTTTGTCAACTTCTTGAGATCTGCGAATCAGAGAGATTTAGGTCAATTGATTAGGAAAAAGTAAAGATTTAAGCTCTTAACAACACGAAATCAAAGCCTGGAGCTGGATTATATTCGATCCATGTTGAAAAAGTCTCGATTTTTGCAAGAATCGAGAGTCGTTTTCAATCAGATTCACTGAATAACTCAATCACAACGTGGGTTTTCACAATAAATTGAAATTTCTTTCATGTGAACAAGAAAATTAGGTGATTTTCCAAAAATCTCGAAGCAAACACGAAGGTCGTCGATCCAATTAAAAGAATACGAATTTAAGCAATCATGATTAATTAGGGTATCAAGAATCGGAAAAAGGATTAAAATTTACCTCAGCTAAGGGAAGAAGAACAAATACAGGCAGCAGATTCAGATGTACGACCAGCTAGCGATCTAATATGTTCAGCAACAGAGAGAGAGAGCAGAGAGAGACAGAGACGACAAACAAGAAGACCTGAATGAGAGATTTCTTAGACTTTTGGCATCCGTGTTATACGTAGCCGTTTCGTAATGTTGAAAGCCCAATAGATTAAAGCCCAAACACACTTAACGGTGAACATTTTCCGTTACCGTTAATTAAATTGTAAAATAGAGTATTGTGTACAATTAAATAACCAAACCAGTTTATAGAAAACAAAACCATTCGAAATCAAACAAGGGAATTCATAGATGAAATATGTAAACGTGAAACCATTTTTTTGTTTTTTGATCAAAATCATCCGCAATCAGGTTTTTTGGAATTTGCTGCTTCCTTGCTTTTTGATAAACCCGGTTTAACAGAAGTCTTTACATTTGGTGCTGATTTCTCCGGTTTTGTAGCTGGTTTGACCGGTTTAGTGACGTGGGCTTGTGTCCTAATCTCCCAAGGTCGAGCTGCTACCCACCGTTCTTTCCAACTCCATCCCCAGTTTTCTTTGTCTAGGTTAAACGAAGCTTGACCTAGATACTGTGTAGCATTAGCCCTCCACTGCAAATAAAAAAAATTACATTTACTTGAGCTACACGTTATCTTCTATACAGTCTAATCCATTGTGGCTAAGTCTTAGTTGCATTAGACCTGATGAGAGAAAGCATAAGCCATTGCTCGTTCACGCTTCACCGTAGCTTCTTCTCTTTGTTGTATCCTCGCAAGAATCTCCTCCATTGTTTCAGACCCTCCACACCATTCAACTTCTAGCTCCTGAAGCTTGACCTCGAGCTTCAATCGATTCTCCAATCTCTTGTGCTGGAGTCTACCTTGTGTCACCATGTACAAACGTCTTTCTCTGATCTGAGTCTGTATGTCGCACCAAGAATGCATCACATTGAGTGCTGTCCAAGTTTGGTTCCTCACGGTATGTCCTTGGACCAATGAGTTAAATCTCCTTGCACTCTTTAAGCTGCATAGTCTTTTTCTCGCCTGTAGGTTCACAACAAGTCTAAATGAAGCTTGTAAAGCAGTTTTAAAATTGTGGGAAATTGGACGAACCTTGTGTGCACGAAATGCCTTTTGAATGCGTATAACAGCGACTTCTGGTGTAAGTATAGTGGAAGCAGAGCTTGGTTTGACTCGGTTTGAGGTTTCAAATTGTACCTAAAAAAACATTGTTTTAAATCTCAGCCTACGAGAAATAAAAGAGCTTGAAACAAAGTTTTTTTTATTACTAACGTTGCCTCGGTTTGATTTGGTCTGTTTTGCTCCTCTCATGCAGATTATAGAGCGGAGCAACCATCTAGATCCCATCTTAGAAGATTATCAGTATAAACCTGAGAGAGTAAGCTAATGAGATGAGATAAGGACTTTGGGAGAAGATTATGTAAGCTAAAGATTTAAGTAAATTATGTGACAATGAGATGAGATAATTTTTAATGTGTTGTTTCTTTTAAGGCACAAGAAGGTTAATGTTGAGTGGTTTTTAAGTAAATAGGAAGACAGAGAGATGAAGCTTCGTTCTCTTTGTGGTGAAAGCCATCTTGGTGATTGACATTTCAACCAATGGTGAATGTGGTGTTTAATCTTTTTCTTCGATTACAAGGTGGGGTTGTTTTTGATAAATTTAATTTGTTTAGACCACGATTGAGAAAACTAATAAAAATAAAGTACCAAATTCGGAGGAAAAAGATAAAAATTGCTTCCGGCGGGGCTCGAACCCGCGACCTTCGGCTCATAAGACCAACGCTCTAACCAACTGAGCTACGGAAGCTTCTTGTTAACAGTATTTCATAATACACTATATTGATTATGTTTTTACTCTTTCCTTATTCACCATCATCTCTGCTATCTATGTTTTGACTCTGAATCTACTATCTTATAAACAATCAAATTTATATATCCTTGACATTTAAATATTTCTTGGTATATATGTCCTTAGAGATGCGATATTAGAATCTGAAAAGTTAATATAAAATTTACAGTAGTGTTGATAAAAATTCATTACCAAAATATGAATTAGGTTCTTGGAGTTCTTGGCAGACTTTTCTGTTCCAACTTGATGTTCTTTTTTAACGAAATCTCTCAACGAAACCTCTCCCTCCGTTCTCTATATATATACGGTACGGTCAAACTTTTCTGACTCAAATCTTCATTCAACACTAATAATCCAGAGAAATAAACCTTGTTTAGACGATCAAGAAACAAAGACATGTTGCGAGAGAGTTCATCAGAAGAGTCCAACGACAAGAAGAGCGATGAAGAATCTGATTACGAAGCTAGTGAAAGCAACGACGACATTAATGGAGATGACGATGATGTCGTTCTGGTAGATAAAGGGAAGTCGACGATGATTCCAAGAAGAAAAAAGTCTAGAGATGATTCCGCAAGAAACTCTGGGATTAGCATACGAGAGCCAACAACAGCTCCATCGATTTTGAAGAAGCGTAAAAGCGACACACTTCATCTTCCGGCTAAACGAATCAAAGATCGGATCTTCGGATCACCATCATCATCATCATCATCATCATCATCGACTAACAATGCTTCAGTCGCAGTGCCAATAGATCCATGGCTACAACTTGCTACAGCATGTCGTGATTCTCAAGTCAAACCCTCTTCGAACCCTAGTCAAGTGAACATCAATGGAGAAACCAACACTACAACCTCTTCTTCTTCTCAGTCTTCTTCGAGTATTCCAACTTCAGTCTCGAGATCGAACCTTCAAGATTTCAGCTTTTTGTCACCATTAGCATCAGAAAACACAAGACGATCATCATCAAGCTCAAGTGTTCAATCTCAATCTCAAGACAACATTCCAAGATCTTCGACTTCTTCTCAACAACAACAACATTCTTCTTCGTCTTCAGAGGTATAACAAGATCCAAGATTGAATAAAGTCTATTAAACTATTGACTGCGTTTGTATCACAAATGAAAAAAAAGAATTGTTCTTTTTAATGTGCAGTTGAGTCGACCTCGACCACAACGATACCTCATGATTGCGCCTCTAGCAACTGATATGCAACAAAGACTCTATGGTTTCATACAGCAGCCTCCATATTTGCCCATCCTTCCAGGTCTTCCACTCTGCATTCCAATCGTTAATTTTGATGACAACACTATTCAAACAGTCCCTGGATACACTCGAGTTCCATTGGACGCCACTACAAGTTTGTGCTGGGCTATGTTCACCAATCCGTCTTATCCGAGCCTCAACGGTTTCGACTTTGTGCCATCATTGTTCAAAGGAAACAACACAAATCCATTGGCTGCAGTGTCCTCTGTTTCGGACTCTGTTTCTGGGACAGTACCATTGCCTGCAGTGTCCTCTGTTTTAGGTTCAAGTGTCGAAGCTCAAGCCAACGATACAAGACGATGGGCTTCTGTACTTTCGCCTGAGTTGCTCAACTACCAACAGCAACAACAAAATCACTCTTACCTTGCGCCTCAAGCAAGTGGTATTCCAATAACAACTTCTGGAAACAATCCTAATCCAAATGCATTCGGAGGATATACTCAAGCTCAAATGGAGGCCATGACAAGATCGTATCGGAATTTCCACGCCGATCCGTCTTCCTCCAACCTTCACGGTCCCAGCTTTGTTGATTCCAGCTTGGTGCCATCGTTTCAAGGAAACATCACAAGACCATCAACTGTCAATCTTCACCGTCCAATCTCTGTTTCCGGGCCATCATCAAGTTCAAGTCTTGGAGCTCAAGCCAACGTTGTAGGAGGATATAACTCTGGACTTCTGCCTTCAATGACAAATGACCAACAGCAACAACAACATCACCCTTCTTCAATGGTATAACAATCAACTTCTAAGATCTTTGTTTAGTCTTATTCTACTGTCATTGTCACCAGATTTATCTGTAGCATGGTTATAACCCTATGGTTTGAGACATGAACCTCCATTGTTGCAGGATGTGAGAGGTTTAGATCTTAACCTGCCGGCTAATGATGAAGATGGGGGTGAAAGAAATGAAGAAGATGAAGGTTTTGATCTCAACTTGGGGCTCGGATGAATGGTGAACCAAAGTAAGAGGAAGAGGAAGATGCGATCACAGTTTACTACTTTGTATATACTAGAAACAGAGGATTATTAGACAGTTATAGCCAAGTAACAAACTCCAAGTTTGAATTGTCTCAAAATGTATAAAGAAAAGTGGATAAAAGATGGTTAATGTTGACTGAAAGTGATTAAAGCTTTTTTTAAAGTGACAAGTTTCTTACATTCTTTAAATTTTCGAACTAGTTACAGTTGTTTACTGTGTTGGCACAGAGAATAGAAGTTAGAATTTTTGATTTATTTGATGATGGTTGGTTAAGAAACTGACTTTTTCAATTAATCTCTCTCCAAATGTTAAAAAGGCTAAATTTGTTTTTAAGTGGGTACTAAATACTAATATTAATTATCTAAACTGGAAAAAACTATTGCAGAGATTCATAAAGCAAATACAACTATTATCCATGTGTTGATATTTTGAAGTTAAGTCATTTTTAATGACAAAATAAACAATTGTTTACTAAACAAATATGATTACTTTTTTATATAAGATACGGTAACGAACTAACGACTAACGAACAACCAGAGTTTGATCGATCAAGAAACAGAGAAATGTTGGGAGAGAGTTCATCAGAAGAAGCCGACGACAAGAAGAGCGATAACGAATCTGATTACGACGCCTGTGAAAGCAGCGACGACATTAATGGAGATGAAGATGATGCCGATTTGGCAAACAAGGAGAAATCGACGATGATCACCAGAAGAAGAAAACCTAAAGATGATGATCCGGTGATCATTTCGATATCAGAGACCGCAAAACTGAGAAAAAGAAAGTCGGAGATTAGTAGCATACAAGCCCCAATAGTTCCTACGAATCTTGTAGGTCCTTTGCTGAAGCGGAAAAGAGACTCTGTTCGTCTTCCGACTAAAAAATTCAAAGATCGGATCGTTGGCTCACCATCATCATCATCATCATCATCATCTTCGATCCCTACTCAAATGAACGTTAATGGCGGAACCATGACTACAACTTCTTCCTCCTCCGAGTCTTCGAGTCAAGATTCTATCTTTCGGTCATCGTTAGGGTCAAACAACACAAGAGCATCGAGTGTCAATCCAAGTTCAAGTGTTCATGCTCAACCTTCTTCTTCAGTGGTATAGTTAGTTTCAAGATCGGATCAAGTCTGTTATACTGTTGATTGCGTTTGTGAAATAGGGTTTTTTGTTTTGTTTTCATCTGCAGGTGAGTTTACCACAGCATTACCGTGCGCCTCAAGCAAGGGCTATGCAACGATCCTCTGCTCTGAGACAGCAGCGTCCATATGTTCCGATCCTTCCCTATGATCCAAATACTCAAGCCAACATTGCAAGAAGGGCGCCTCAAGCAAGGGCTAGGCAACGACCCCATGGTTCGAGACAGCTGCGTCCATTGTTGCCGACCCCTCAAGCAACAACAACTTCTGGAAACAACCCTAATCCAAATGCATTCCAAGGATATACTCAAGCTCAAATGGAGGCCATGAAAAGATCGTGGCAGAGTTTGCTCTCGAACCTTCACGGTCGCAGTTCTGTTGATTCCAGCTTGGTGCCATCGTTTCAAGAGTACATCACACGACCATCATCGACTGTCAATATTCACCGTCCAATCTCTGTTTCCGGGCCACTACCATCGGCTACACTGTCTCATGTTTTGGGGTCATCATCAAGTTCAAGTCTTGAAGCTCAAGCCAACGCTATAAGAGGATGCAACTCTGGACTTCTTCCTGCAATGCCAAATGACCAACAGCAACAACAACAACATCACCCTTCTTCTTCTTCTTCAATGGTATAAGTAACATCCAACTTTTTACAAGATCGTTTTAGACCCTATGATTTGAGACATGAACCTTCATTGTTGCAGGATGTGAGAGGTTTGGATCTTAACCTGCCGGCTAATAATGAAGATGGTGGTGAAAAAGAAGATGAAGGTTTTGATCTTAACCAGCCGGCTCCGGATGAATGATGAACCAAAGTAAAGAGGAAGAGGAAGATTCGATCACAGTTTACTAAGTACTTTGTATATACTAGAAACAGAGGATTATTAGACAAACTCCAAGTTTGAATTGTCTCAAAATGAAAATAAAAAAAGATGATCATGTTTCTTACTTTCTCAGAGATATTCATGAAGCAGCATATTCAACTGTTATGCATGTGTCAATATTTTGAAGTTGGTCATTTCTAACGACTAAATTAATGAGTTTTTTTCTAGAAAAAGTTTATATACAAAATCGTTTACAAAATACAAACTAACGACGAGTGTTTTCTGAAAAAGTTTAGTATTTTGAAGTATCCGACCCGATTATAATTGGATCTGGATCCGACCCGTTAGCAGATGTGCGCAAATTTCATCCATTTGCGTGTCTCTCTTTCAAAGGCTCAAAATTTAAAACGCTTCTCTTTCTCTCTTCGTTGTGCGTTTTCTTCCTTCTTCCCCTTTCGTCCATACGTGTGATCTCTCACCGGTTTACCTTCAAAATCTCCGATTCCCCGAACGAGGAGTTTTTCTCCGACCCATCATAATGGCGGCGTATAGAGCTGACGACGATTACGATTTCCTCTACAAGGTGGTGCTAATTGGGGATTCCGGCGTCGGCAAATCTAACCTCCTTTCTCGATTCACCCGCAACGAGTTCAGCCTCGAGTCTAAATCCACGATCGGCGTCGAATTCGCCACCCGTAGCATCCGCGTCGATGAAAAAATCGTCAAGGCTCAGATTTGGGACACCGCTGGTCAGGAGAGGTATCTATGAACCCTTCTCTTCCTCCAATTCGAGTTTTTGTTTACATTTGGGGCTAAAGCTTGTAGCTTTGCTTTATTTTCGAAGGCAAATTGATTCCTGTGGCTCTAATTTGAGAATGTGTAAAGCTAAAGAATTGGGTGAAGATCATTAAGGACTAAAGTATCGATTTTTTTGTGTGTGTTGGGAACTAGATACCGAGCAATCACAAGCGCGTACTATAGAGGAGCGGTAGGGGCTTTGCTTGTGTACGATGTAACACGTCATGTGACGTTTGAGAACGTTGAGAGATGGCTCAAGGAGCTTAGAGACCACACAGACGCCAACATTGTCATCATGCTGGTTGGGAACAAGGCTGATCTGCGTCACCTGAGAGCTGTTTCCACGGAAGACGCCAAGGCCTTTGCGGAGAGAGAGAACACCTTCTTCATGGAGACGTCTGCGCTCGAGGCGTTGAACGTTGAGAATGCTTTCACTGAAGTGCTTTCTCAAATATACCGTGTGGCGAGCAAGAAGGCGCTGGATATAGGAGATGATCATGCTACTCTTCCTAAAGGACAGAGTATCAATGTTGGGTCTAAGGACGATGTTTCTGAGGTCAAGAAGGTCGGTTGCTGCTCTAGTTGATCTTGATCATTGTTACTTGGTTTCTTAGGGAAACTATATAGTTTTGTTGGTTATCTATGGACCTTTCTTGCTTCTCTTTGCTTCTTTTTGGTGTAATTTTGTCAGATCCTTATAATGTTTTAACTATTTTTACATGGTCATTATATTCGGAAATCTATGAGCAAAGAAGATGGCAAAATAAACTTTAGAGGAGCAAACCAAATGTACAAAGAACAAAAGAATCCTATACAGTTTTCATAGTCAGAAAGCCAATCTCAGCTTTTAGACTGACACACAAATTATGTGCACAAAAGTACAAATTTTACAGAAGTTGGGGATGAAACTTCCCCTGGCTCTGTTTCTCTTATAAAAACCAATAGATATAAAGCAACTCGGTAAAAAGAAAAACCCATTCTGCAGTAACTCTCTTCTCCTATAGTTTACTGTCCCTTCTTCTTCTCCATGACCAGTGCCTCTGATTTACAGATTGGGCAAACGTTCTTGATAACCAACCACTTCTTCAAGCATTTTACATGGTACTCGTGCTTGCAATCCAACGTTGCGATCTTATCTTGGATCTTGTAGTTTTCCTGTCAAAGAAAAGAAGAAGATTTTTATTACTACTAAGATGAGTGTGTGTGAAATGTTTTCATAAGCTTGGAGGATGCAGTCTCAAAATTTATTGGCTTTACCTGGCATATGGTGCAAGAATAAGATTCTTGATCAGTAGAAGGAGCTTCATCTTCCAGGTTGATAGAGGTTCTTGTTTTCAGAAGCTCTTTAACATCTTCTTCTGACAAGCCAGTCTTCACAGTTCCAATCTGGTCGCTCAAAGCAAGAAGCTCCTGCGCAGGCCACCAGGTTTTCAATGTTATAAGATGAGAAGAAACCAATGTGGCCTCATGTGATTAGCTATGTAGTAAAGAGTAACAGGAGGACTCACCTCGTATGACATGTCCTCTATGTCTAAGCGCATGCCTTGATGATCATCGACATAATTAGCAGCATCGTAGAAGTCTCCTTCCTCAAAAATTGCAAGTTCCTACACATATTAACAGGAAAATCCAATATTGAAAAAATGAACACTCTTTTGAAGAAACTGATACAAGAAGAAGAAAGATTGTGTTCAAGAAGATATCTTACATATCCGGGAAAAGGCAGTCCATGGTGTCTACGAGTTGCTGCAGGTACAAAACCATCTCTGGGATGTTGCTGGTTTATCCTGAACCCACTTGATTGAACCGTTCCCACTTGGCTGTGCATAGTCTCAGGAACAGTGTATGAGGCTGAAGCCATGTGAGGGTATACGGTGGGAGGAGGAGGTACCGGGTGATGGCTAATATAGTGGTTGTGCCTTGGGTATACAAATGGGGTGGGGTTTCTGCTACTAGATGTTTCATGGTACCTCGGAGAGTAGACATTACCAGTGTCAACGTTACCTAAGAGAGATCATTCAAGAAGAAGAAGAAGAATAAGATATGTATTCAAGAAAGACCAATGTAAATGCTGAGAATGAGAATAGTACCACGCATATAAGGTCCAGAGGGTGGTGCTTGGGACCAAAGCGAAGACGATCCATCAGATCTGTTGCCATTACGATGTTGGTCATACCAGGTTGAGCCAGGAGGTGGATAAGGATGAGCTGCATAGTTTCCTTGAATGAAGCTGTTAGCACCATGAGGGTGAAAAGCATCCATGGAAGCTGCTTCTGCTCTGTTCCTCACGCTTCTCTGATCTAGTGGTTGCTGCGGGTAAGTACCATATTGAGGGAAAGAAGAAGGAGCTGGTGGTGGATACTGAGAATATCCGGGCATTACTTGAGCACTTTTTCTTTTGTATCCGTGATCCATATAATGAGCATTCGTCTCATGTTCAGTGAAAGTAACTCCACCAGCTGCACCAACATGACTTCCAGGAGGCGGCAGATGACTCGGTGGAGCATGAAAAGTCGGATAAGGCTGATAGAAATTTGGTGCACGTTGATGATGGTGCTGTTGAAGCCCATAGAACATAGGGTTGTTGTTATCATAAGGTTCATGCAGAGGAGGATGAGCTTCTAAGTTTGGAACAGTGTTCACTGGTGGCATATCTGGATGCAGAGAGCTTTGAGGATCATTAATCATATTTCTTTGTCTCATATTGCTACTTGCAGAAGCGCCCTCTTCCTAGTAGTTAAATATTTAACAAAAGTCAGCAACATTACAGTAAAATTCACTCAGAAATACTCAAGCTTTGTAATGGAATCAAAACATAGGAAAGGTAAATATCCTCTCCCTCTAATTATTTTCGTCATAATCTCAAATTATGGAGTCACAAAGAAAATGTATTCACAGGCAGCAACATTGAACATTCGAGCTTCACTTCACAGATACATTGTAAGAGATCAAACCTAATTCAGACAGCAAGTAACAAACAGTGTTTTCGGACATGCCTTACCAACAACAGATCAAAAGCTCATTACATAATATTCTGAGATTATTACCAAGTAAACAATCCTGACCTTGCTAGCATTAAGATTGAAGAAGAAAAAGGAAAAGCTTCTAAATTCAGCAACTGCTACCAACTACTTGTAATTAGGATAACTGGAAACTGCAGCAAAAAGCAAAATCCAGAAAATCAATAACATAAACGATCATATGAGGTTAACCCGAAATTCACAGAACAATGCAATTCTTCAGCAGCTCGTAATAGAAACAATTTCAAAACAAAACCCACCAAAGTATTTAGATTTTCCCTGGACCTAAAACGACAATAAACTCGGAATTAAAAGCTCTAGAATCCGATTATCGTGATGATCATAAGAGACAAGTACCTGATTATCGAGCAGAGAGATCCAAGGACGAGAGATAGAGGGAGAGGAGACGTCGGTTTTCTTTTATTTCCTCACGGTGACGGAAGCTTTTTATTTTCTTCTTCTTCGGTGTTATATATATTCTCTTATGCTTATCTTTCCTTTATAGTTTATACAATTTTTACATTTTTGTTTGCCTTTTTTTTCATTGGTTTCTTACAGCAAAATATTTTTTATTCTAATTGAAAATTAGTATCCTAATTATCAGAACGACGTCGTAGAGGATCGAAATTATTGCTTTCATTTATGAACGCAATCTTTTGATTTCCCATCTCATTACCATTTTTAATAACAAGATCATTTTTGTCTTTTACCACCAAAGCATGTCATTGAATTTAACAAATTAAGAAGCATGTCATTGGCAACCATTAATGAAGATATGCTTTGATGCTTCTGTTCTAACAAACAATTCTGCTATTAACCTAAGTCTTATAGTTTCATTAATTTCTGTTCCGCGATAAAAAGAAATTAGGCAAAACTAAGGAACTTTTTTTTAATGAACATGACTAAGGCAAAAAACTTGAAACAAAAATTATGTTACACAAACATTATACTAACTTTACTAATCTTTATAGACTGGGAGTTGGTGTTTAAATTATCTCACGGCGATTTCATTGAAGTAATCCATAATTTCAACGTCAAAACCACATATTTCTCAAAACAATTCCATGTAAACATTTAAAATTTAAAGTACTAAAAGAAAAAGAAGCAAAGTGGATAAGCCAATAATAATAACTAAATAGAGTACCCGCACGTTTGTGCGGTGTGACGTTGTTGTTTTGTGTAGAAAATTGAACCTAACCCGAACATAAATTTTCAAAGAAACCCGAACAATTTCTATATCTCTATATATATCTCTATAAAATTATGTCTCAGATTTTCACCCAAACCCGAACTTGTCCATAAAAACCCGAAAATCCAAAAAGCATATTCTATTGATTTGAAATTATCGTTAGATTATGTTAAGTTTTTTTTTTTTGCAGATTTTTAAGAGATGGAAAACGGAAGTTTTCTAAACCATCGGTTTATTTTAAGTTATTATTCTTGTATCCAAACAATTTTTTCCATTTATTCTTCTATCCAAATAGATTTTTCTCTTATTCTTATATCCAAACAACTTTTGTTTCCATTTATTCTTCTATTCAAATAGATTTTTCTCTTATTCTTATATCCAAACAACTTTTGTTTCCATTTATTCTTCTATCCAAATAGATGTTTCTCTAATTATTGTATCCAAACATTAGAATGTACTTCTCAATTAATAATATAAAGATGGCTTGTGCCACCATAGCATGAGAAGTTGAATGGTTTAAAATCACCATAGACCAAGGTTTTAACGATCAAGTTTCTCCACTTCAGCCTGACAAGATAGAGATGCTACTATATAGATCATACTCGAGGAGGTGGTGTGAGTAGAACAAATAGATATGTGGAGTTATAGTTCTATATCTTACTATTATCAATTCAATTTTGGTTTTCAATTCTTAGGGTCAAAATCTGTTTATGTCTTTAGGTTGATATTGTTGCATATTACTTGTTTGTTCTTATGCCATTGTACCCAAATGGAATAAACATTATGCCACTATTTACAGGCATAGGCATTGGCAGTGGAGTAGTAGTACTTCATCACTTCGAGATTTCAATGAAGATTGTCATTTCTCTCGAAATTTCAAAAGTTAACTAGTACTTTTGAGAATTTCTAGGAACAATTCAATCTTGTCATTGGCTTAGACCTCCATATATATATATATATATATATTTTTTTTTTTTAATAATGATTCGGCCTCAAATTTTTTTGTAATTATCAAATTTGCTTTTTTCATATGAATCTTTTTTTTGTAGATATCTTATATATCACATGTTAGTTAAATTTTGTAGAATGTTGGACGAATTCTGCATCATACAGATCGACAATCATAAGATCTTTAGTAGGGAATAATATCCTACATCGAAAGTTGGAAGGGATCTTAAGTAGTATATAAGGGATATAGACCCTTTCTTTTTTAAGATCTTTCCATCTTCCCTCATCAATCATACATGCATGGCTGCAATCTTTAAAAAGTGCCAAAAATTCAATGTGATCAGGCAAAAAATCTCCATGCCTCATTTTTTTGAACAACGCAACAGATACTTGTTTAGCCATCTCAAGTTGTTCCGCTGTCAAATACCTATCATCCTCCATCCGACTTCTTTAGCCGTCTCACGTTGTCCCGCTCTGCAATACCCATCAATCAAGCATTTGTAAGTGATATCATCTGGTGCACAAGTCCCTTCCTTTATCATCCTTGCCAATAAATCCTCTGCATCTTTCATCCTCCCCACCTTGCAGAACCCATCGATGAGAGTATTAAAATGAATCACATCAGCTTTAATCACATTTCCACCATCAGTTTTCTTCCCACACATTTTTCTAAAAACCTCCATAGCTTCATCGACCCTCCTTGATTTGCAGAAAGAGTTAATCAGAATCCCTAAAGTCACTGCATCAGGGGAATTCTCATCTCATTCATCTTTACAACAATGGCATTCATCCCACAATTTCCCTATTCCTTGCTAAGCATGTCAATAGAGCATTGAATGGAGGAGCTTCAAGCGGCGCTTTGTTCTTCATCAGTTCGCTCAAGACCTTCCACACTTCATCGGTGCGAGAAGTTCTTCTGCACATACTCGATAAAAACCGAGTCAACCAAACCGTGTTGGGGAAGAGGCTATGAGAGCTAAATCTCAGAATCAGCGTAGCAATCTCATCTCCCGTGTGACGCCTTCCCTTCCAAACCTCACTTAAAACGATATCAAGCGTGATCCTATTAGGAGGAAAAACCGAACCTTTTTGAAGCATTTCCTCGAGCACCTGAAAGCCATCATCCACACGTCTGTTCTGAACAAGACCTAGATCACACCATTACGAACTTGCGTGTCTTTCATATCCGAATCGAGTCCTTCATATACTAGAATAGACTGACTCACCATGCCCATACGTCCAAACAATCTGGATGTTCTTTTCTTTGGCAATCTCGTAGAGCCGGAGAGGTTTTTTTCTTGCGTCAGGTTCACTGCCAGCGAATTCGATAACAGACTGAATCACTAAGGAGACGAGGTATTCTCCAGACTGAGATTTTGCGTTCAGGAATTCCAAGAATGACAGTGCAAGCAAGTAAGATCCCAGCCGCCGTGTGATTTGAGAGAGTGAAACAGAAGAAGAAGATGTGAGAAGCGACCCTAGCGACTTATGTTGCGGGATCTTCTCCAAAAACTCGGCAACTATGGATTCATGGCTCTCAGGATTGTTTCCCGACGGAACAGAAAATCTGCAGAGGAGGAATCGAGGATAGCTGAGCAGATTACATGAGGCCTGGCGCCAGGAAAACGATAACATTAGACTCATCTTTTTCAAGGTTAGAACAAGGCGGCCACCGAGTAATGTGAGATGACGACGACCTTTCTTCGGCAGATTAGTGACACTCAATGAACCAATTGGCAATAAGTTGATAGGCTCATATCCCTTATATACTACTTAAGATCCTTTACAACTTTCGATGTGAGATATTATTCCCTAATACGCCCCCTCGAGACGATGGCGCTTTGACCATCCATCTTGATATGTTTGACAGAGGGAGTATAAGATTATTAGAGATGATGAGATTAGCTTATAATTTTTGTTCCACAATATAAGCAGTTTTGACATTTCAATGCACTTTTACTTTATGGAAAACTGTGTGACCACTTATATTTTGCAGTTGTTTTTTATGATTGGTTGAATTATATTTAATCTATATTTTAAATGATACTTTTTTAAAGCAAAACAACTTTCTTAATTCTTGTGTTTAAGCTAAAACAGCTTATAATATAGGATAGAGGGAGTATATAATTAGGGAGTTCTCTTTTCATCTAGAGTATCCACATCAGCACAAAAACATTAAGTTGTATTTAAAATATTTATTAAATACATGTCTATTTATATTTCCTTACATATATTTCTATTTTACACATAAATAAAACTATGAAAAATACACAAAGAAATTAATTAATTAATATGAAAAATATGTGATAATTTGATGTTAAATTTTTTTAAAAAATTGTAATATAAAATGGAGATAAAGTAAAAAAATATTTAATTTGAAATCATATATAGTTAGCTTTTTATTCAAAGAATTTATTCTATTGGAAAATGTTATAATATGTTTACAAGTTTGAAAATAAGATTATAAATTAACTAAATGAGAAATTAGAGTTAGATTTTGTTTTCTTAAACAAATAGAAGTCGAGTTATTATATGTAAATTTCATTGCAACGAAAACCATTAAATTTTTAAGGATTGTGACATTTTTGTTTCAAAAATACAATTTATATTTACAAAACTAACATATATAATAGAAAATAATCAATGGTCATCATGCTCACATGCTAGCACAACAAAGCCGATAGGTAAAAAGTTATACAGATTTTTGTTCCTTCATATTTCGAGTGTAAATGCGATTCTACAACATGTTTACAAATTTTAATGTTGAGTCAAATGCATGCCTATTGTCTAATAGAAGTGAACAAACATAATATTTAAAGTATGCTAAATTTTAGAAATAGAAAACTCGAAATGAAGTGTGATGTTAACCTCTTAATAAAATAAAATGAAATCACAAATTGATCATATGTTTAGTGTTAGTTGTTGAATTAATTATAAATATAACCAATATATGAAAATTAACACAAAATCATCATAATTCAAATCAACGAAAATAAAAAAAACCAAACAAATAATTATTGTAAACAACCCCGCGCTTGCACGGGGCTTCAGTCCCTAGTATATTGAATAGAAGATCATCATAAATCTTATGGCTTTCGATTTTCAGTATCTACTAAAACAAATTGAGAATAATCCATATGTTTTTGGGTTTCGATTCAGTTTGCTCAAAACTAAGGGTCTGATTGGGTTAAATGTTGCGGTTGCGTTTGCGGTTGCGGAAGTTTGCTGAAGCGAACGGTTGCAGTTAAGCACGTTATTAAGCGGTTTATACGATCGCCATAGCGGTAGAAAATGGATGCGTTTGCGGGATATTATGACTGGTTGACTTGCGGATGTAATAGCGGTTAAGCAATAATTTAAAAATATAAATACATTATATAACTATAAAAACATCAAAATTATATTATACTAGGGGGAAGCCGCGCGAAGCGCGGGAATTTATATTGTTGCATCAATTTTTATTGTTTTGGCAAATATAATTTATTTTCTGGTTTATTATTGTTTAAAAATATACACACAATAATTAAATATAATTAGGGTTATGCAATGTCAATCTTGTCCCATCTAGTCCTATTTTCGTTCATTTTCATCATGTCTATCTTTCCCATATTGTCCGTCCTATCTGTCCCGTCACATCCAATCCCATCATATCCCATTATGTTCTTTTCATTTTGTTATGTCTTATCCTATTCCTTCTGTTTTTTCTCGTCCCGTTCCCTAAATATAATTAGGGGTAGGCAAAATTCCTATCTAGTCTCATCCTGTCCCATGCCGTTCCTTTTCATCTTGTTTAGTTCTTTCCCGTCCTATTCGTCTTGTCCGCCCCGTCCAGTCTCATTCTATCCTATTATGTTTCTTTCCGTTTTGTCCTATCTATGTCCCGTCCATAAATATAATTAAGGGTATGCAAAAGTCCTGTGCCGTTATTTTCTGTCTCATAATGTCCCTTTCCATCTTGTCTCGTCTAATCTCATCCCATTCCGTTTCTTTTCATCCCGTCTTATCCAAAATTATTTTCAATTTTGTCTCATCTAATCCTATTTCGTTCATTTTCATCATGTCTCTTTCCCACCCCGTCTGTCATGTCTGTTCCGTCCCGTCCAATCCCACATATCCCATTATGTTCTTTTCCATTTTGTTATGTTTTATCCCGTTCTTTCTGTTTCTTCATGTCCCGTTCCCTAAATATAATTAGGGGTAGGCAAAATTCCTATCTAGTCTCATCCCGTCCCATTTTGTTCCTTTTCATCTTGTCCCGTTCTTTCCCGTCCAGTCTCATTCTATCTTATTATGTTTCTTTCCGTTTTGTCCTATCTATGTCCCATCCCTAAATATAATTAAGGGTATGCGAAAGTCCCGTCCCGTTATTTCCTGTCCCATTATGTCCCTTTTCATCTTGTCCCGTCTAATAGCGTCCCATTCCGTTTCTTTTCATCCCGTCTCATCATTCCTATAAAAAGAAGTAGACAAAATTCCCCTCTTCTCGCGTTCTGTTTTTTTTTTCTGCCTCGTTCTGCCAGTCTCGTCTCATTTTGTCTCAAAATACCTAAAAACAATATTTTTTCTATAATATCTTGAGAACTACTAAATAATATATAGTTTTTATAGATTTATATAAAATATTTTTCGTTTTTGTAAATGACTTTTCATATTCTTGTTAAACCTATTTAATGAATGATAACTTTTATAAAAATTAAAAAGAAAAAAAGAAAAAATATGATATATTAAATGTTTGTGCTAAAATGATGAATTTAGTGGTACCCTTTTTTGATGAGGTGGCAACTTGAGAAGAGAATTGCATCAACTTTATATATATAGATTGAACAAATATAAAATCATTTTTCAATATAAATAATATTCAAAGTTTACAAAATAATATTATTTATATAATTAGGATGAAATATGTGATTTTCCTTAAAAAAATATTAATGTGAAAACTAAGTTTGTATTATATATATTACTTTGAAGAGAACATTTATCAAGAAAATTTTGATTTATAATTTTGTATATATAAAAAATTACGATATGTTTTTAATGAATATTTACTAAAAATGACAAATTTACTTATTTATATTTTTTATTTATTTAAAAAAAATACATCCGCAACGTTCAGCAGCTTTTGATTATAAGGGATCTGGAGCGATTTTAAGCGGTAAAAAAAAGCTGCGTTTGCGGGTGATAGCGGGTAACCAATCAGCCCCTAAATACATGTGTTCATACATTTATGTTGGTTAATTTATTTTTATGTAATCTATAAAAATAGCAAAGAGCAAAAAATTAAGAGAGCTAAAGTGAACTTAGGCCCTAACTGGTGTATGCATATTTGTTGAATCCAACTGAATTATGCTGAATTGTTTGTGTGTGACACCAGTCACGTTTGTAGAATTAGGAAAATGACAAAACTTGTTGAATTAGGAAAAAGACAAAATTTGCTGAAAAGCAAAAAAAAAAAAAAAAAAAAAAAAAAAAAACAAATAAACAACTTACACTCTTCCCTTTATCAAACACTATTTAAATTTTAAATTGTGATGTGTAATAAACAAATAAACACTATTTGATTTTTTTATCAAATAAACAGTATTTAAATTTTAAATTCTGACGTGTAATAAATTATTATGAACTAAAATTAATAAATTCTCTATATTTTAAATAAGTTATTTTATTTAAATATTATTTAGTTTTTTATAAATATATGGTTTATTTATTTTACTTATTTAATTGGATAATTATTATGTGATTTTGTTATATAAATAATTTATTATATATTTTATTCCGTATTCAACAAATAGTTACCATTAAAGTATGAATGGGCAAATTATATGGATGGGCAAATTATCCAACACTTGATCATATCAGTTTCACATATTAGAGTTTTTGGAATGTGTGATATCGAATCTTAATAATAAAATTATGAATCCGAAAAATAAATTTACAGATATAAATAAAATGCTTAGAAGAGCATATCTGGATACAGTGTGAATATTAATTAAAACTTATTTTAGTTTAAAATCTACTTAATTTAATATAGATTTTTAAATTACTATAGCAATACAAGAACAAGAGGAAACAAAATATAGTCCTAAATGCATACAATATGGTAACAAAATGAAAACTAAAAAGTAAATTGAGATAATTTTCATTAATGACTTGGTAATATCAGAAATACTGTATTTTTAAATGTCTATTTTTTTTAGCTTTGATGTTTAATAAATTTTATGAATCCAAATTCCTAAATTTTACAAAATTTAAATAATTTATTTTATTAATCTACTAGATTAAGGCCCGCGTATACGCGGGTATATTTTAAGATTTTATAATAAAAACATGGAAAATATTAAACAAAATTTGATCATTTTTAAACGTAAACAAAATAATATTGAAAACCCGATAAAAATATTTAAATAAAATAAGATTGGTAATACTTTTACATTTTTATTGTAATTGATTTTTCTTTTGAATTTATGATATGACAAAATGAATTAATTTGTTTTACTATTATTTTTATCCAATACAGAAAGACTTACACATGTCTAAATCTGATCAATTGATTAATTAATCAAACTTTTATTATTCCATTCAAGAGATTTTAATTGATGAAATCTTTATTTCAATTTTTTTACCTAACAAAAATTGAAAATCAAACTATTTAAAATTAGAATATCAATTATAATTTTTTAATATTAGTTAATTGCTTGATAATTATTTTGTTAGTTTTCTATTTATATTTTTTCTTTCTCAATTTTTTTTTGCCTCGGACCATTATAAATACTATATATTGGTATTTTTCCTTTTCGAAATGGATTTTTTTTCCTTTTCTTAATAGATGTAACAAAAGAATTTAAATTATTTGTTTCCTGTTTTTTTATTACTTTTAATGGATGTATTATTTTTTCATTTTAATTATTTGTTATCTGTTTTTCTAATTTTTAGTTAGTCTTATACATATTAATTTTTTATTATTTTTATTCCATGACACATGTTACGATCTTCATACTTCCAGAATTTTTTTTTTCTAAAACACATGTCGCAATTTTGTCAGTTATAAAAATCTATGTATCGCAAAACTTTCAAAAACATGATTTTTAAATTGGAGAAATAGAATCAAAGGGATTTGATGAATTTGCTTTGATGAATTTATGATTGAGAAACCTTGACTCTCTTTTATAGGGGTTCAAGTAACCTATTACATGCAGTTATAGGAAATTTAGTTTACATAACATATTCCATGTACAAATAGGATTTTATTTATTACATTATTTTGATTTTATTATTTGTTTGGATAATATTAATTTGATGAATGGAAACCTTTCTCTATTAGGATATGACAAATATATTTTTATTTCTTTTAACTGTAATGGATTTTTTTTAAATTTCCTTTATCTAAATTTTTATTATTATTATTATTTCTTTTTTTTTCTCTAAGACATGTGTCACGATCTTAACGGACGTAACATTAAAAGTGACACATGTCGCGATCTTATAAATTATAAAAATCCTATGTGTCGCAACCACGTCGTGCGCATCCAACTTTATATAATAAAAAATTGATGAATGAGAAACCTTTTTCTGTTTGGATATTGCAAATATTATTTTTTTTTTTTGATATAATAGATTAAAATATATGTTAAATAGAATTATAGAATAGATCTGCGTATAGCGCAAATGGAATACCGAATTGTTTTTACAAAAATAGTGAATTTTAGCATATGTATACATAATAAAAACAATTTTATGATTATTATATTAATTTGTCATATTTATATGGCATAAAATCTGTGACGGAACACAATGGAATCCGAGGAGGCAAATAACCATATGATGCGAATATACATAGGGAGGTACCTCCCATATGCGTTTTTGGTTGAACCACCATAATAATATATGTCACCTAATTTTTTCTGATAAAGATATATGTCACCTAATTATGCCCAATTCAATCATTTCAGTTTCTGTTTATGTTAAAGCAAAGCATTATAAAAAATACAGTCATGTCTTATCCTACCTTTCCTAAGATCAAAATCACAATTTAGTAGTATGATGTATTAAAAAGATCAACATATATTTCTCTAATCATCATACTAAAATGATATAATCAAAGCGAGAATTCGAACGTGGTGAAAATTGTATTATTGTATACATTAGTGTTATTGTATGGTAACAAAAACGAGAAAAGAGATAATGAACTTAAAGAGTATTGAAGAGGAAGATGAACATTTGTCTCTTATTTTCCACTTAATAGATTACAAATTTACAACTCTTACTGTCTCTATTTATACAAGATGTTAAAACCTTAGTTTCTTGTAACAGCTAGCTTCATCACGTTGAGTCCAGAGATCCAAGGGCTTGGAATCGATTTGCCAGCTTGATGGTGGTGATTGTTTCCGTACAAGCTCTAACAGGTTTCGACTCCATCCTTGCTTTTCAGTGCCTGTTTATCTTCTGACCGTTGTGAGCTATGTGTTCTTTCAAACGCAGTGGGGCTTGGGCCTGTTTTGTAACTTGTCTCGGCTTTAGCCCATAATAACAGTAGTAGTTGCATCCTTTTAAAAACTGAAGCATTTTCTTTGCCAAAATGATGTGCTTTTTGATTAACTAGGACTTTCACCCGCGCACACGTGGGTCTGTATCTTAAATCACCCGCGCATACGTGGGTCAGTATCTTAAATCAGTTTAAAATATATTCTTAAAGAATATTTTTTTTAAATTGCAAAAATCAACAATTAAAATTTAATAATATTTCAATACCAAAATTCTATGGAGAACAAAAAATTTTAGATATATAATATCGTGTTGAGATCAAATCTTGACATGCAAAAATATTGTTTAGATCATATCCCGGTTACAAAAAAGTTTGTGTATGTCTAATGATCAAAACTTACTTGAAGATATTCAAATCATTATAATATGGCAAAATTTATTAGTAATATATATATATATATATATATCGTAAAATAGAATATTAATTTATGAACTATTGTGACGTGTTAATCATTTTTTAAACAGAAATACATTTTTAAATATGTATAGTGAAATTGTTAAAATTAGATTTCAGCAGTATTTGTAAGTAACACGATGTTTATTTAAAATAACCTCAATTCGTTATGTTAGAACTTAAAATACTATAAACAACATATAGTTTATTTTTCAGTACATTTAACTTACACATCGTGTTATTAGTTTATAAACTTTGATCATAATAGTATGTATTTAGCTTTTATATAATAGAAATTATGTATATTCTTTTTTAAGGCTTAAAGAAAATCTTAAATCATTGTTTGTTCGATGTTTATTTTTTGTTAGTAATTTTGTCACGTTTTTTATGTGTTATGGTATACATTTATTTTTAGAAGTAGTTTTATATTTATGTTTATTTGAATATTTCCGCCTTAAATCTGTTTATAAATACATTCTTGTTGATCCTTTATCACTGTTTTTGTTCATCATGTGTGGTGAGGCATTGGTGAGCTGCCTTAACTTTTCAGAAGCTGAAGGAAAGCTGCATGGAATTGGTCTTAGTCCTCAGGGACCTACGGTGCATCACCTCTTATTTGCGGACGACAGTTTACTCATGTGCAAAGCAGCATCGGAGGAAGCCGCAGAGATAATTCGATGCCTGAAACTATACGGTGACGCCTCTGGCCAGCTAATCAATAGCTCCAAGTCGTCTATTATTTTTGGATCAAAGGTCCCTGACTCAACTAAACTGGAGGTGAAGCGCGTCTTGCGTATCGAGAAAGAAGGTGGAGAAGGTACCTACTTAGGTTTACCAGAGTGCTTTAGTGGCTCCAAACGGAAGATGCTTCACTTCATACAAGAAAAGCTTCAGAAACGGACGACGGGTTGGTTTGCACAAGCTCTTTCCCAGGGAGGAAAAGAAATTCTCTTAAAGGCTGTTGGTCTTGCACTCCCTGTGTTTGCCATGTCGTGTTTCTGCTTGCCAAAGGGTCTATGTGAAAAGCTGACAAGCATCATGACTGAATTCTGGTGGAGTAGTGGGAATGACCGTAACAAGATCCCTTGGGTCGCGTGTAAGTCCAAGGAGAATGGTGGTCTCGGGTTTCATGACATTGGACGTTTTAACCAGGCTTTGCTGGGTAAGGAAGCATGGAGAATATGGAGCAGGCCGGAGTCATTGGTAGCACGCATCCTCAAACACCGGTATTTCAGACATGGTTCCTTCTTTCATTGTGCTGTTGGTAGACGTCCGTCCTATGCGTGGCGTAGCATTTTGTTTGGAAGAGATCTGCTATTACAAGGGATGGTGAAAGTCATTGGTAATGGTAAAGACACAAAGGTTTGGGTGGATAATTGGATTACAGATGATTGCTCTAGGCCCCCGATGTATAACCCAAATGCTACTATAGATTTGACATTAGTGGTCTCCGACCTCCTTGATGAACATACAGGTCGGTGGAGAGAGAACCTAATACGCCAATACTTTGTAGCAGAGGATGCCACTCGTATTTTGCAGATAAAGCCGTCTCTTGGACATGAAGACAAATGGAGGTGGGGCTTTTCTAAAGATGGCAACTACACTTCCAAAAGTGGTTATCTCTTGCTGGATTCCTTATATGAGCTGCAGGAGGAGCATCCACAAACCTTGCCCCAAATGAGAAGAAACTTTGGAGGAACATTTGGAAGATTAAAGCTCCCCTCAAGCTTAAGCATTTTGTATGGAGAGCACTCGCAGGTGCTTTAGCAGTTAAAGAGAGGCTGCAATCGCGCCGTATACTTATCAATGCCACTTGCAGCTCTTGTGACTCTAGTATAGAAACTGTCTGCCATGCCCTCTTTGGCTGTAGAATTGCAAAAAGATCATGGGAGTTATCATAGTTCCCCTTGCCGGCTGCAGGTTTCTCCCCCAACTCTGTTTTCTTAAATCTATACCATTTGATATTGGGTCCCAAAAACCAGTCTACACCAGTACAAACCAGGCTCGCATTTCCCTGGATCCTATGGCATATTTGGAAAGCAAGAAATGAATGGGTTTTTGAGCAGAGAAGATATGAGCCAGCGGAGATAGTTTCCAAAGCTTTGGACGAGGCTGATATTTGGCGGAGAGTTCATTACCATGATCAAAACCAGCAACAAAATATGATCTCTCGAATGGCGCTGGTAAGCACTTGGAAGAAACCTCCGAATAATATGTTGAAATGCAATATTGGTGTGTCTTGGGTTGGGCCGAACAGAAACTGTGGAGTGTCATGGGTACTGAGGGACTCGAAGGACTGCCCTCTGGTCCACAGTCGAAGCTCTTATGCATCTGTTCCCTCGGCCACAGTTGCGGAGCTACTCGGTATCCTTTGGGCAGTGGAATCCATGAGAGATATGCACAGAACAAACATCATTTTTGAGTCGTCGCTGCTGTTGGCTAAAAAAGCTCTTATGCAGCCTTCAGGTTATGTGTATTGCCGGAACTTAATGATACAAATAAACCGTATATTCAATTGAAGAAGATAAGGGAAATTCCAATGTTCATGAAACAAAGAAATCTCGAACAAACCTCAAGAATTCAATCAATTCCTTGAGAGAGACGAATACAGAAGAGAAAACAAGAAGAAAACTGTAACAACTTTTTTATGGATATCTTCTATTTGCTAGACGTTGCCTTTTAATACTCAGATCTTGATCCTCTTTCAATCTTGACCGTTGATCTTCACATTACACCACAACCGTCTGATTAGATACTCCCTTAATCACCTTTACTATATCAAATCCTCCCCTTCCGAGCAACCAAGTCCTCATGGTTGGAAAGAGGGATACTTCTGTGTTAAGTCCAACAAATACTCCCAAGTAGCTTCACTTTCATCCTCGTTCGTCCATTTCACCAAAACCTCTGTTACAGCTCTGTTATGGCGCTTGACTGTTCGGCGTTCCAGGATTCTCTCAGGTTCTTTAGTCAGCACGTCGGAAATGGCGTTGGGAAGCTGTGTACTGATGACAACATCCCCAACGCGTAATTTGAGCAGAGAAACATGGAAGACGGGATGAATTCGACTCGAGTGTGGCAACTCCAACTTATAAGCGACCTTGCCACATTTATCAAGAATCTTATATGGGCCATAATACTTCGGCGCTAGCTTTTGATTCATCCTCATAACCACGGAGCCTTGCCGGTAAGGCTGAAGTTTCACGTACACCAAATCTCCAATGACAAAACTTCTCTCGGAACGTCTCTTATTCGCCTGTTGCTCCATTCGATGTTGTGCTCGCAACAAATGAAACTTGAGGATAAGCAACATATTCTCACGCTCTTGTAAGTTCTGAGCCACAACCGCCACTTTACTCTCACCCGGAATGTATGGTAAGTGTTGTGGTGGAGACTGACCATACACAGCTTCATAGGGAGACATCTGGGCCGAGCTATGGTAACTGGTGTTGTACCAGAATTCAGCGAGAGGTAACCACTTACTCCACAAGTGAGGTCTATCACTGCACATACACCTCAAATACGTCTTGAGACATCGATTCACCACTTCTGTTTGACCATCACTCTGAGGGTGATAAGCACTCGAGTAATTCAACGCCACACCCTGCAAGGTGAATAACTCTCTCCAAAAATCGCTCAAAAAGACTGCATCTATGTCACTCACAATGGAGGTAGGAAGTCCATGTAACTTGAAAACGTTAGCCAAGAAGAGCTGAGCAACAGATATCGCCGTATACGGATGAGCTAAAGCCATAAAGTGAGCTGCTTTCGTCAATCTGTCAACAACCACAAAAATCACAGATTTCCCTGAAGATAGAGGAAGACCATCAATGAAATCCATTGAAATATCAGACCAAGTCGCCGTGGGGATTGGCAAGGGTTGGATCAAGCCCGGAGAAGCAGCTGTATCATACTTGCATTGTTGACACACAGAGCAACTTCAGATAAAGCTTTGAATGTCTTTGGACATACCCTTCCAATAGAATATCCCCTTAACACGCTGATGAGTAGCGTCACGTCCCGAGTGGCCGCCAATACCAGAACAATGCAACCACTCAAGTATCGCATTTCGAACCGAATCAATAGCGGGAACCACAATTTTACTCTTCCTCCGTAAAATGTCTCTGTTCCAAGTAAACTGCGTTTTCTCTCCAGGTTTTGTCTGCAAATCAGAGATAACCGACTGAATCCAAGTATCTGTCAAATAACCGGCTTGAATTTGTTTGAGTAAGTCACACTCCAAAACTGACAAAGCCATATGTAAGACCTCAGACCCCTCGACACGTGATAAAGCATCAGCCACAAGATTCTCTTTTCCTTCCTTGTATTGAATCTCATAGTCAAATTCCAGCAGCTTAGGAAGCCATTGTTGTTGAATAGGTGTGTTGAGACGCTGTTCTAACAAATACTTCAAGCTTCTCTGATCCGTCTTTATCACGAAATGACCGTTTAGCAAATAATGTCGCCATTTCTGAACTGCAAAAACCACAGCCAACAACTCTTTTTCATAAATGGAGAGGTGCAGTTGTTTTCCCTTCAAATGGAGGCTGATGTAAGCTAAAGGATGGCCATCTTGCATCAGCACGACACCAATACCCTGACCCGAAGCATCTGTTTCTACCACAAAAGGCCTATCAAACCTAGGCAAAGCCAAAACCGGAGCCGTGCATAAGGCTGTTTTTAATGCACAAAAAGCTTCATTTGCCTCCGTAGACCAAACAAACGAATCCTTCTTCGTCAACAAGGTTAATGGTCTTGCGATGGTTCCAAATTTTTTGACAAAACGGCGATAATAGCCTGCCAAGCCCAAGAATCCTCGCAGCTGCTTCAGATTTGTAGGTACAGGCCAACGCTCCACTGCCTGTATTTTGCTCGGATCCGTAGAAATGCCTCGTTCCTCAATGAAGTGGCCTAGGTACTCAACCCTTCGTGTGGCAAACGCACATTTGCTTCTCTTAGCAAACAACCTCTGTTCTCTCATCACCTTGAAAACACAACCCAGATGATGCACATGATCCACGACAGAGTTACTGTAGATCAAGATGTCATCAAAAAAAATGAGCACAAACTTCCGCAGAAACTCTTTAAAAGTGGCATTCATCAACCCTTGGAACGTTGCAGGTGCGTTCGTTAGCCCAAATGGCATCACCATGTACTCGAAATGACCACTATGAGTTTTAAAGGCAGTCTTGTGTATATCATCCGATGCCATTCGGACCTGATGGTAACCTGCTCTCAAATCTATCTTCGAGTAGATACTAGAACCACCCAACTCATCCATCAAGTCTTCAATCAACGGAATAGGAAATCGGTCCTTCACCGTAAGTCCATTCAAGCTTCTATAATCAACACATAACCTCCAAGAACCATCTTTCTTTTTTACCAAAACCACTGGTGATGCAAAAGAGCTAGAGCTCTGCTGAATTGTTCCTCCATCCAACATCTCCTGAACAATCTTATCAATCTCATTCTTTTGGTGAACAGCATACCGATATGGTCTTTGATTCACCGGATTTGCTCCTTCAATAAGTTGGATTTTGTGGTTGTGGTTCTCTCGAAAGGGTGGAAGATCCATTGCTTCTTCAAATATGTCTTTAAACTCTTCCAACAAATTAGAAATCTCCGGGTGATTCATTTCTCTTGAAGTCTCTGTTTCCAATGAAAAAAACTGCGTTTCTGTGGGTTCCTCTTCACTAGTCAAACACAGCATCGAGAGTTGTATGTTTTCATCCTGCAGTTTATTCAACTTTTCCGCTTTGATAGCCCTCACAGAACCAGGATGAATACCATGTAACACAACCTTCTTGTTACACCAGAAAAACTTCATTGTCAAATGCTGAAAATCCCAAGTGATCGGACCAAATTTCTTCAGCCATTGAACTCCCAACACCACATCACAACCATTCAATGGAATCACCATGAAGTCATCTGTGAAACTCGTACCCTGAAAGTCCCACTGAAACTGAGCAACCCCTGCTTCGACCTTCAATCTGTTCCCATCTGCTACTACCACTCTCGAATTCCCTGATGGTAACATCTTACAGCTCAGTTTCTTAGCGATCGAGACATCCAAGAAGTTATGTGTCGATCCCGAGTCAACCAACATAAACAACGATCGTTTCTTGTGAACTCCTTTCACTCGCATCGTTTGAAAATCAGTGACGCCAGTCATTGCATTTAGCGAGATTTGAGCTATTTCACCCAAAGGTTCATCATCCTCTCTGTCAGACAGACATTCCACTTCCTCTCCATCCTCTTCAGGAACCATACAGAATAATTGAGTGTCCTTATGAGTGAGGAAATGTTCCCGTGAATATTTCTCCGGGCAATAGTAACATTCACCCTTAGCTCGCTTATCTGCCATTTGTTCAGGAGTCAAAAACAGCTGAGGTTTAAGTGTTTTCTTCTCCTGATGTGGAAGCCTATGTTGCGTTCCTGACTCCTTCTTGAAGTTGAAATTCCCCTTGGTTACTGTAAAGGGACGAGAATTGTTCCCAGAAGTACCAATTCCTTTGACGGGATGAGCTTTCTCATACAATCTACCAAGCATCAAACATTGACGCACCGTCTGAGGTTCAAACATACGTACATGCATCTGCGTCTCCAACTTTAATCCAGCCAAGTAATGGCTCACCAAATACTCTTCAGATAAATTCACCCTTGTTCTGATGTTCTCAAACTTGTTGTGGTAATCCACAATACCATCTGTTTCACACAACATCTTCAGCTCCATTATTGGATCATCCAGAACATCATTAAACCGCTCCTTCAACAGCTTCTTATAAATTCTCCAATCTTTGAGATTCTGATTGTTGTAATCGGATTGGATCATAGATTGATGCCAAGTTGCAGCTAAATCATCGAGGTGAATCGAAACAATAGCCACCTTAACTTCCTCCGGAGTATGATCGATCTCAAAAAACTGTTCCGCTTTAAACAACCACTCCTTCAATTTCTCACCATTAAACCGAGGAAAATCCAATTTCGCCAAACGAGTGACTCCTGCGTAATTGATCGGCATAGACGATCGTGTCGGTGGATGTGGATCGGAAGACGTCGCCGGATTTGAGGAATTCGGCGCAGTAGTCGGCCGTGCGATCAACCTCAGAGCTTCAAACATCTCTGCGTTGTTCCTTGCAATCGTGTTAGTCTGCTCCGCTAGTGTAGCGTTTTGTCTCGCAATTGCCTCCTCCATCGTTTGCGTACGTTGTAAAACCTGATCGATTCGTGAAGATAACGAATCCTCCGTCTCTGAGTTGCTGGATTGGGATCTCGTTTCCACCGCCATTTCTGAGAATCGCCGAGCTTACTGATACCTTTGATACAAATAAACTGTATATTCAATTGAAGAAGATAAGGGAAATTCCAATGTTCATGAAACAAAGAAATCTCGAACAAACCTCAAGAATTCAATCAATTCCTTGAGAGAGACGAATACAGAAGAGAAAACAAGACGAAAACTGTAACAACTTTTTTATGGATATCTTCTATTTGCTAGACGTTGCCTTTTAATACTCAGATCTTGATCCTCTTTCAATCTTGACCGTTGATCTTCACATTACACCACAACCGTCCGATTAGACACTCCCTTAATCACCTTTACTATATCACTTAGTAGAGACAATCATGGATCTTCTCTATGTTATCGGCTCTTGGAGTATGGATTACGCTGTTCCGAATAGCAATCTAGTGGCTAATGCAATAGTTGTAAGTGTCACACGTGACCATCGCTACGGGTCTTATGTGGGCAATCAAGGTCCGGGTGGCTCCATGAACTTCTTGAGATGGAAGCAGCGAAACCGCACCAGTAAGGCCACTTCCAAATTTCTGGGTTTAAGAGCAGCATTTGTGTTTTCGTTATTTTGGCTGCCTCTTTTATTTTCCCCTTTGTTGGGTACCTCGTGGTATCAGACCTCAAAACTATCTTTGCTCATTTGATCATTCAATGAAAGTGTTAAAAAAAAATACATTCTTGTTCAAATTTGTTAGTTACATATTTATTTAGAAATTGCAAAATTCAGTTAGTGTTTATTTAATTGCAAAAATGGTTATTAACTCACCTCATATCATGTTTCTAATCAAATCGAGTAATCATATTTGGCAAGTTTATACTACACCAAAAATGAAATATTTCCTCTTGAATTTGATGGCAAAAGCTTTACCTTGACCGATCAAACTCTGGCTGCTCATGGAATTGATACACCTCCTGCAATCATTGTGATCATCAAAGAAACAGTCTCCATATCTTCTTCATATGTCTTTCTACAGTATGAGTCTTGGATCAAGCCCTGCTTCTCAATAAACTTATGGCAAACTCACACCTTTTTCAGGAACTCTTTGAAGATGTAGAAAAACTGATTATTCTACCCCTAATAGGTTTATTGCCTATATCTCTTTATCCTTATATATTTTGCCATTTTTGGAAGGTTCGTGATTTTCTCTTATTTGAAAATCGTTATTTACATGGAGATGAAATCTTCTTAAAGGATGTGAAGGATGCCAGACATCAACCTTTCCCTTCCTCTGATCTCCATTATCCTCCCGAATATGAACTCTTATTTTGTTGATGTAGGGTGGAATGCTTTCTCGAAAATTTGTTGTATAGGTTGCACTATTAAATCTCCTTTGAATTCTTCTGCTCCATAGTAATCCAAACAAACTATTTACTTTTTCGACCATTTTTTTAAGCTACGATGAACTAAATATTATATAGTATGCTATTGTTTTCTTGATTTTTTGTTTTAGCTCCCAAAGCTTGATCTCTCTCATCACCTAAAAAAACTGCAAATGAACTTTTATGTCTTCTATACGACATTACGCATTTTTGTTTCTATCTCCATTTTTTTATTCATAGATTATGTAATGTTGAGATCGACTCTTTTGCAATGTTGGCTTTGTTTGCTTAGAACAATTTTCAGTTATTATGTGTAACCTACTCTTTATTTGTAAGAACTTTGGTCAAAGATAGTTCACGTTAAGGTTTATTTAATTCTTTTATAACTAATATTTTAGTTATACAAATATTTTTTAAAAAATTTAGTAAATTATATTTTTTAACAATAATTTTTAAAAATCTTAATTTAATTACGTTGGACCTGTGAAGTTTCTAATTTAAATGGTTCTATTAATTAATTTTCTTGAAACATAAAAGAAGTTAACTAATTTTAAGAATATAGCTAATTTTAGATGACAATATAGATTAATATTATTGGTTGTTTAAAATTTGAAAAAAATGAGATGATGACAATATATATCTTGTTATGTGGCTATGTCAACCTCAATTATATCTTGTTATGTGGCTATATTATACTATGTCAACCACATAATTGAGGTTGACAAAGTTGAACCGGATTATAAAACAAGATTTGATTGGTCCACATATTGGTTGAACCGGGTGACAAAGTTGAGGCTATAAGCCATGTGGAATGATACTATATATTGGTAGTTTAAAATTTGGAAACTTTCTTAATCTTGACGATAATTATGTGGACCAATCAAATCTTGTTTTATAATCCTATGTAGACGCCTTTAATGGCTTATAGCCTCAACTTTGTCACCCCCTAGTAAATTATAAAGCGGATGGATTATCTGCTAGTAGAGAAGATTTTCTCATTCTTTTTTTTTCATTTACTTTAAATACCATTTAGTGATGGCCAAAATACATTCTTACTTTCTTAGCTAATTATTTTATATCAATGATGAATAAAGACACTATTTCACATCAAATCTGTTTTATATTGAAAGTTATAGCTTGAAGAAATTTTGAAACATCCAGTCTCCAGCTTTTCTCTATGGTCTCTTAACAAAAATAATATTAATATCTACAAATAATCAGAAGGTTTAAAAGGTTTAGCATCCCTTAACAAAGATAATATTAATATCTACAAATAAACAGATATTAATATTAATATCTATAAAAGATATGATATCATATGACATGACGATACCTAAAACTGTAGTTAAGAATGTATTTTGGTAATCGATTACTAATATCTAAAAACAATGGAAAAATGAGAGAATTCTCCCTCTCACTTTCGTATAGTATAAACTCCATCCGCTTGAAAATCATATTAATTCACTGTTCGATAACAACAATTGTAAACATTTATTTGTTCATCTTTACAAGAATTGGAAACATTTTGTTTTTATTCTGTTAGTTAATATTATTTTTAATGATCATATCTTATTATATAAAGTTTAATGTACATAAAATGAGCACGACACTAAAATTACTCACTATATCATGATAATTTTTATCAACATAATAAAGAAACAATAACGATCAGTATTTGCTGAACTAAGCATCTTTTACGCTGTATTGACTGTTCTTTACTGGATGCAATAATATGTTCGCAACGCTATATTTGAAGATGATTATGGTCGATTGTGCATCGCCGTGTTTGCTGCTGGACTCGCGACTATGATAATATAAGCAGAACTAATTTAATCACTTTAGACTTGGAAGTTTCTAATTTAAACAGATTATACTAATTAATATTGTTGAAACATAAGAAATAAATTAACTAATTTAACAATTATAGTTAATTTTATATGATGATATAGATTAATAATATTGGTTATTTAAAATTTAGAAAATTTCTTAATTTTAGATGATTATGTGGAATGATACTATTCGCAGTTTAAAATTTGGGAACTTGCTTAATCTTGAAGATGATTATGTAGACCAATCAAATCTTGTTTTATAATCATATGTGGACGCTATCAATGGCTTATAGCATCAACTTTTATATAATATAGTATAGATTTAAAATTTTAGATATAGTAAATGAAGAAGGTTATAATACGAAAAGGGGTGTCTAAGCTCTCTAACTACTACTCAAATAAAAAGAAAATAAATAAGAGTATACAATGTTTACTTGAAAAGATTGTGAAAAAGATATAACTGTTAGAATAATAATTTCGAAACAGATTAATAAAGAATGGAGAAACAGAGTAAGAGATCAAGGATTACTCTGAAACTTGTTATTTTACAATAGGACAAAATTGTTTATATAAGAATTAAGTAGACACAACACAATACAAATCTTTTCCTAATTGTATCTCTTCAATGACACTACCGAAACGTCACGACCTTTGACCTTTAACCAGAGCTAGGCATCTCTTCCTAATTGTGTCTCTTCAATGACACATCTCTCGACCTTGTGCTAAACACAGGAGAGTTTACCACTAGGCTACAAGGACATTATATAAACAGATATGCCGAAAATATTTATATATTTATCGGGTTGATTGGGCTCAGGGCAGACTCTGCCTTTAGCTAAGAGAGATAAAAATTATAACAAACTCAATTAGTCAATTATTTTCCAAAAATAACTACACCCCCTCACGATGACTATTGACTTTTGGGAGCATTAGCTGGGTTTCTATTTCACATTAAGGTTTACGGTCGTATGAATTATATTGCTGGACAGTCTGGAGTCAGATCTTGGGAAGAAAAATAAATGATAAATTTCGTTACAAGTAGTGGAAAGCATTGAATAACAAATTAAATATTTGGGTGGGTCACCTTATAATGATAAATAAGTTGTACGTTGGTCATTCTTTATCATGGAAATATGAAGCCACTTGAAAATTAACTATATTTTGCTGTGTCATTTCTACATCTATATTTATGCTAGCTCCATAAGAATGGAGAGACATTGAGAGAAGACAGGTTTTTAGCTAGACACACATACTTCAAAAGATTTAAAAACACAAATAGAAAAGAAATGGATCACAACCAAGAGAGTGATGAAGAAATTGGTGAGAACCAAAGCATTGAGGAAGAACTTGGCGAGAAACAAAGCAGCGGCGAAGAAATGAGTCAAAACCAAAGCAGTGATGAAGAACTTGGCGAAGAAATGAGCCAAAACCAAAGCAGTGAAGAAGAAACGGAAGTTGAAGAAAGGCCGAGATGGCTCAACTTAGAAAGGCCGAGATGGCTCAACTTAGAAGGGCCGAGATGCATTATTTCTGATCCAGCTCAACCCCATTACCTCATCTATCGAGCCAAATCTGAGACTAAGTACAACTGTTTTTCGTGCGGGGAAAAGGATGTAACTTGGAAGAAACCTTATGGTGATACACATTACGACTGCACCGTATGCAATCTGGAGTTCCACGATCGATGTGTTGATGTTCCAAGTAAGATGATTCACCCTTTTCACCCTCAGCACCCTCTCTCTCTCATCTTTCTAAACAACAAAACTGGAGTCATAGTCAACACCAACTTCCGTGAATTCGTTAACACTTTAGATCCTGAGCAGCAGTATAATTTTGATCTTATAGATATTCTTAAATATCTCCAAACTTTTGATCCAAACTCCAATATCATATTTGATAAATGCACTTGGTGTAGGAAAGATCTAAGAAGTTGGTTTTATCGTTGCTCGATATGCAACTTTTCCTTGGATTTTCTGTGTGCCCTAAAGACCCCACCTCTTACCATCCAAAATCCAAAAAGCCATCACCATTCACTCGTCTTATTCCCTCAACCACTCTCATTTCCGTGTTATGCTTGTGGGAAGAGCAACATGTTGGAGGCAAGTTATGCATGTTACCAATGCAATTACTTCGTCCATGAGACTTGTGTTGATTTACCTCGCGTCATGAAAATCACACGACACCCTCACCGTCTCTCCCACATTCCTTTTCACCCAGCTAAACTCTCGTCCTGCCGGGTTTGCTACAAGAATGTTGACGTCAAGTACGGACAATATTCTTGCAGTCAAGAAGATTGCTCTTATGTAGTCCATTCAACATGTGCAACACATGAAAAAATATGGGGCGGGGAAGAACTTGAATGGGAACCTGAAGAATCCGATCAAACCGAAGATTATGCGCCATACAAGAACATGGGTGGTGATTTGATAGAGCATTTTTCTCATATTAATCATTACCTAAGGCTCAAGAAATATGATGGTATACGAGACCCCAAAAGGCAATGCCGTGCATGTATCCGTCCTATCATGTCTCATGACTTCTACAACTGTATCGAATGCGATTTCTTTCTCCACCAAGTATGTGCCAATCTTCCTAAAAAGCTGGATCATGCGTTGCATAGACACCCTCTTTTCTTGGTGGACTCTTCAGGCCCTAACATAACTTGTTCAGCTTGTTCTCGATGCTCGACTGGTTTCAAGTACATATGCAAGGAATATGGATGTAGGCGCGACTTTCAGCTAGACATTAACTGTGTTTTAGTTCCTGAGTGCCTCACTCATAAGGGTCATGAAGAACATAAAAACAGAAGAAAAACAAAGCATGAAGAACATCTCCTATTCATCTCCACTTGCTACAGCGATGACGAGGAATTTATCTGCCAGAGTTGCAAGAAGAGAGTTCGCGGGGATCATTTACATTGCACACTCTGTGAATATGTTTTATGCTACAAATGTGCTACAATTCCAAATGAGATATACTACAAATATGATGAAAACCCTCGTTCCCTTTGTTTCGGTAAAAGTGGCGTGGATGATAGCAAGGATCATGATGGCGATGATCATGATGGCGAAGATGATGATGATGGCGCTGTTGATAGCGAGGATGGCGTGTACTGGTGTGAAGTATGTGAGAAAACATTAGATCCAACGGTATGGTTTTACACAAACAAGGAACGTTGCAGCACAATCCACCATGAGTGCTTATTTGGAGATACTACATACATGAAGTCTGGTCACAAATTCATTGACTACAGAGGCATGCAGGTGCAAGTTATTTCCAATGGTAGCAGCTCTCGTCCCATATGTTGTGTGTGTCACCACCATTGCCCACATCCTGTATACCTCAAATTTTATATGGGGAGTGGTACCTTTATGGGTGACTATTGTTCTATTTCTTGTTTATCAGACCGTGTGGGGAGTGGTACCTTTATGGGTGGGTATTAATATTGTTAATCTTTTTCTTAAGAACTTTTGTATTTGACATATATTTTTTTATCTTCCATTGGTAATTACAATCCCAATCTACGCAATATGAACCTTTTTAAAAGAAAATAAAAAGAGCTATGATCCTGATTTACATGTCTTTCAATTATTCTTGTTTCTCTATGAACATGATTCACTTGTTTCTTCCTAACTTTTTCAACACACTTTCAAGAAAACCTGTAACAAACAACTGATCATAACTTTGCATTTCTATTTATACAAAACAGAGAGTAAACTGTTTGTTTGGACTTGTAAACTTGCACATCAAGTTCTCATCATCACAAATCTAGCTTCTTCTAGTTTCTTGGATTACAGTCTCGGTTCCTGAGTATCTTTACTCAGCTTTGATCCTTAGCAGCTTAAACACCAGAAACCTGCTTGATCCTTACGGCATTTAACGTCTCATTCAATGCACCACAATTTGTTCTACTGAAAGAATAGCTCGGATGAGCGTTTGAGAGTCAGGTTTCAAGCTGATATTGATCCAACCGTGGGTATGAGCTTGAAGGGGAGTTTCGCGGATGGCCAGAGCTTCCGCCATAAGCGGAGATGCAACGTAGCTTTCCGATTAAATCAAAGCGAGAATTATAACGTGGTGAAAATTGTATTATTTTTATACAGTAGAGCAAATCCGTCCAATACGAGCATCGAGAGTCAAACAGTTAAACAAAAGCAATGAGTAAAAGAGTCCAAACTAAGTTAGTAAAAGAGTCAATTTTATTCAATTTTCATGAACCATGAATCATGGTCCATGATCATTCATTTTTCCATGTATTTGCAAATTCATCAGGGTCTAGTGGATTTGAGAGCTCATGCATCATGGGTATTAGATTGTGCAAGAAAATTCCTAAGGATTTAAGAGTTAGAAAACTCTAATATCAAGACCATCCACGCTAGTAAAAACAACTATCGACATCCAAATGTATCCACAAAACAGAACATCAAAGGTATCCACAAACAAAACTATCCAACGCTTTTCCCAAATCAGAAGCCATTACCTGAGAAATTGCGAGTACTGATCTAAGATGAGAAGAATAGGCCGAGAAATCAAAGTTAGTTCCCGTCGATGCTTGGATCGAGATGGCCACCACGCGCATAGTCCATTTTCCGCCATCGGTCAGAGGCGGAAGATGTTTCCGGTGAAGCTTTCCTTTGATTTCTAAATCGGCGGAATCTGTTTGTCGGAATACAAGAAGGTAACTAGAAAGAGAGAGAGGTAAATGTGAAAAACATTTGTAGTGAAAAAACGAGGACAACTGTGTCAATTCACTTAAGCAAAGTCCACCAGTTTCAAAAAGTCACTCAAATTGTAAATGCTAACTTGAAAAGTCACTCTAGATGTAATTTTCTCTGGGTTTTATAGGGTGGTATGAGAGGTTACATGAATCGGATTGAAGTGACCATTAAGATCAAATTAATCTTAAAGAGTGAGTGGGCAATGAATGAGGAAGCGGTTGTGGTATGTGTGACACGAATCGATTCGGCTATCCAGTTACTGTGAATAGGCTGATTTTTTGGGCTTACATCTGAACATAACATTGTCGGTGGATTTTTCTTAATGCGATTTTAAATTAAAAGATGAGATAAAAGGAGCATATGATTTTTTTTTAAAGTGTGCTGATGTGGCGGCGTGGGAGGCTCTGAAAAACGCTGACATGGACACTATCGGAGGTCCCATGCAGCTACTTTAAGTTATTAGTGATTTACTAGGAGAGAACCCGCGCAATGCGCGGGTTTATTAAACCAAATATTTTTAATTTAATTATTCAGAACATTAGATTCGAATATATCATTTGTTTTTTACTCGAATATATTAGATTCTGTAAGTTTTGCATTTTGTTTTTTTTTCATATAGTTTTAAAATTTAGTTGTTATTTACGTGAAATCTTATATAGACTCATAGTGAATAGTTTCATATGTTTTTTGTTCTTTTATACAATAATTTATCGACTGGAGTTGAGTTCTTCTAATTTTCCTTATACTAACAATCATTATAGATTGATTATTATCCTACAGACTCATAGATAATAATAATTGCAACCTTTTTAAAAGGAAATGAAATGAGCTAATTAGCCAGTAAGCCCATTTAAAGCTACCATGGAAACGAAGAGGTCCGATAAATAATCAAGCCTATCAAAACGAACACATTACACATAATTTTGATTTAGATTTTTTTTTTTTTTTTACGAAAACGACGTCGTTTTGGTGTAAGACGAAAAAAAAAAATAAAGCGCAAAACGACGTCGTTTTGGTGTAAGACGAAAAAAAAAAATAAAGCGCAAAACGACGTCGTTTTGGTGTTAGGCGAAAAAAAAAAAAAAAAAAGAGAGTGCCACGTGTCAAAGCTTGAGAGTGTCCAAGCCTTATTAGTTATGTAGATTCTTCTCAACTTTTCTTCTTCAATTTCATTAACTGTATTGAATCTTAAAAAAAAAAATCAATCAAAAATAGCCTAACATCTTAACTAACTTCAAAATAACACAATTTTTTTTGTCCATACATTAAAAGATAAGCATAAAGACCAATAAGGAAAACAACTTATTTTAAACCTTATGAGATCATAAGGAAGGAATTAATTTACTCACGATAAGAATACTCGAGAGAAAAGGCTGTTAATGGTAGAGGAGAAAGAAATAAGGTTATTTTTTGTATTTATTTATATTTAATGAAAATAATAAAAATATTATAAATGGTATGATATTTTATGTAACAATTACATATAGCGAAAAATACACAACAATTCAGTTTTAGCGACTTATCTCATTTCACATGTTTGACTTACATGATTTTTAAATTGATGATTAGATTTGCAAAAAGACTTAGTTCACAGAGACCATTTATTAGATTTGTAAAAAAAATAGTTTGAGATCTTTTACACAAAACCCTTTAATGTATCTATCATAGTAAAAAAAACCATTTATTGGAAAACATAGGAAATATTAAAAAAAATCTATTAAAAAGTGTGAACAACAAGATAGTAAGAAAGTCAAGATGTGGGTCTCGACTCATGTTGTGTTGATAAGGCCCTAAACAACAAAAGTCCATATTGCAAACCCACTTTCAGGTATCAAAAGAAGACAAACCTGAAGCAGTCGAGTTGCTAAAGCACCTCGCTGAAGCGCCACCATACGAACATGGTATATAGGAGAAATATGAGGCCCAAACTGAGAAGTCTTGCGCCCATTCTGTCTCGCCCTAAATGGAATGGCTCTCTTAGTTACGCTGCACCCCGCGATCGCTCGATTCTATGCTCAGCCTAAACTTGTAGTCTGTGGGTGAACATGTGTGATTTTACTGGTTTCTTCTAAGAAAAGGTACGCTTTGAGCTGGTTCGATAGATCCTGACTTGGCTACTTCAAATTGGATCAACTTCCTCTTGATTCCCCGGCATCCTCCCAACCCAAGGATGGCTCCTTCCAAGCCCACCTCCTGGTTGTCATCGTCCTTTTCCCAGTTTGCGCCAGGAGCCTCCATCTCAACCGACAGCCTAGCAGACTGCAAAATCATTGCACTTCAAGCTTCTCCCGTTGGTCAAGCAGGCTTCGCTCCTACCTGATGTGAGATAAGTTTTACCCAACTATTAGTAGATACCGCAAGTGCACGGATCGTTGGTAGTATGGGTTATCGAACACAAGGACCAGAAAAGTTGCACTATGAGCTTATGAGATTAAAACTTAGCTAAAACTAAAATATGGGGGTTTGGTTTTAGGCTGTGAACAGTGAAGAAAATAACAATGATGAGCTTGTAAAAACTATCAAATCAATAGGGAAAGCATTGGGCACAAGAGAATTCATAGGTCATCAAGGATTGGTTTATTTTTATAGTTAAACAAGGAATCAATAGATATGATCAAGAACTTGAATTATGAATGGATAATCAACTTACTCCCGCAATGTCAATTAAAATGTCTAACAACCTAAGATCACTCTACTCCCATAGGCAATCATGTGGTTAAACAAGCACAAATAATTCAAATTCAATATGTTCCACAAAGCATCATAATTCTACTCCCGCAGGTTATGGTGATTTGTTCATCAAGATTATTCAAGTGATTTATCAAGCTTTCGGAAAGTAAATCAACTCTAGGGCAGTAGCAGGACGTTCAGTCAAAGCTATAAGCATTAAGCACAAATCAAGATGAGGAACTCAATCAATAATCCCGAATCTAACAACCTAGTGATCAATCCATGAATCCCTTGAAAACTCTTGAACCCAACAATAGGACTACTCAGCCATGATGCAAACAAGCAAGCAAAGCATGATTGAAACATTATGCAAGTATTAAAAGAGATAAAGGGATGAAGAAAGCTTCTCTATTGATGAACAAAGTCGGATTCTCCCTTGAAACTCTTAAATCAAGTTTATAGAAATGGAAGAAAAAGAAAGAACAAAGAGTTGAGCGGTGTCTTCTTCTTGAGACGCCTCTTCTCTTCTCTTCTCTCTCACACGGACGGACTCTCTTCTCTCTGACGGCGCACACCTCTCTTCTTCAGCGGCTAAAAACATGTATATATGGGCGAAGTCGCGTAGGGTTTTCTTCATGCCGGAAAAGGAAAGTTTCCATGAGCGAGCCTTCTTCTCCACGTCGTGTATGGGCCGACATTGTACCAAGGAAAGCTCCAAACATTAGCCAGGCCTCTTCTCTATTCGATCAAGGCCTTTGGCGCTGCTGCTCGGGCCATTAGACACTCCAAATCCTCCATGGGCTTCGTTTGCTCGCTTACCGGACATGTCTCGGTAGAAAATAAGTTCCGGCCTCATAGTTGATCCAAATGGCTTCATTCCACTTCGACGTGATGCATGACTCAAGTATCTATCTTTCCATATCAAGATCGTAACTTTTGGACGTCGGGAACTCCTCCGCGCGCGGCCAAACTTCCGAAGCTTCGTTCTGCGCGCTAGCGAGAACTAACACTTGGAGATAAAATGATCTTCTTGACTTGGAAACTTGCATGGATCTTGATTTAGGCTCTTTTACTCCTTTTTGCATCCTTTTTGATATTTCACCTAGACTTCAAATCCCACAAATACAAGAAAACTACCTCTAAAGGCAAAGAATCTTGCAAAAACCGTTTGAAAACATATAAAATATAGTAAAATCATGTAAAATATGGTGATATCAACTCCCCCAGACTTAGCCTTTTGCTTGTCCCCAAGCAAACTAAGCAGGAAAAGAGGTTTGAAAACGTGAGAACTCTCAAATCTTTTGGAAATCCAAATTGACTTATGCTTTAGTAATCCACATGAAACAGCATTGGCAAGTTTTGAATTAAGAACAAAGTACATACCATGAGTTTTGCGATTTTCCCAAAGCGGTCCACCTCTCCTTGGACAATCCAATTCGCCACCCTTGACTCCTTTCATTTCTAAAGGTGTGGTCTCAACTAGGGAGTATCGATCAGCCGGCTTTTAGACTCTTTCTCATCCCCTTGTTTGGCACTTGTCTTTTTACTCCATGTTTCTCCTCTCTCTCTTCTCACTTCTTTGAGTTGATTCATCCCTTTTTTAGGGTAGCGAAGTATTTTTTTATTCAACTCCTTCTCTTTATTATAGAGGTTTTGCTTGGATCTTCCACAGACGCGAGTATTGATGGTGTTTGCCACCGAATCCCCGGTTGCTTGGATTCATAGGCCTTCCATAGACGCGAGTATTGATGGTGTTTGCCACCGAATCCCCGGTTACTTGGACCTTACGCTTTTTCTTTAAATTTGAAGGGGAGAGAGAGGGAAGCACGAACTCACTAAGACTTTTTCATTTGATGGAGAGGATGAGGAATCATGCCATTTGTATGCCAAGCCCCTAGCTGAGAAGATTAAGTTCATTAAGGGCGGAGTCAAAGATGGATCCTTCTCAAGTCTTTAGAGATGTAGGCGTTTTTGGTAGATCGATCAACTCATAGTGCACCTGTGGTAAGATGTATTGCCAAGAACTGCTCAATGGTCACTTAAACATTAGTACAACATGGTTAGATCCAAGATAAGGTCATGATTCTCGACAAAAATTTTGACTCAATAAAAACGACTCGATAAAAGGGAAAAATGCAAATGAAAATGCCAAAATGAACAAACATTGTTAGTAATCCCCCCAGACTTAACTTGCACCGTCCCGGTGAAAGAAATCGGATTAAGAGAGGCATAACATGAAGTTCAAATGAAAAATTGAAAAGAAAAAGGTTTAGGATGATGTTACCAAATGTCGACCAATTTATAATGAAGATCAGTTCCGGTTTGGGTCATTCTACACTTCTTTAGGCAATATTGGTCGGTGAGTTTTTAATTTCAGGCCTTGGTTTCCGCCGGTTTGTGTTTTGGCCGAGATTGGTATATTCGGTCGGCCAAAATGTGGTGCTGTGAACTACAGAACAAACCGTCAAAATTTCATGACCTATATTGAAATTTCATCGACCAACCTGGTATTTTATGGCCTCTGGTGAAGTTTGGGAGCATTTGTACGAGCGGATTGAGACTTCCTTCACAAAATGGTCAAGTCGGCTCCGGGAAGGAGTTTCCTTGGCCATGTGAAGTTTGGCTCGTTCCTTTTCGTTTCTTCCTGCATAAAAGTGTTAGTTAAGCTCAAAGAAGAGTTTTCCAACCGGTTGGCGCGCCTATGCCGTGATTTGGTTTTGTCGGCCATATTGCTTGCGCGCCATCGGCCAGAATGAGCTCCGTCGTCTATCTCATGATCCGTGATGATTTCTCCGTCCTATCTTTTGGATTTGCCGACCAAAATGTGATTTTATGGTCGCCTGTGAAGTTTGGTGGACTTGGTCACGCCGTTTAGGAGTTGGCCGAATTGGTCTCCTTGTGCGCATGGCCGAGAGAAATGTCCGGATTGAATTTCTTCAAATCCACTCGGGCCAATTGAGATTTTCTTCGACCGAATTGTTTTAATAACCCTCCTGTGTCATTCCCAAGTGGTGGCCGCCTTGTTTCGTGTGATGGCCTGTATGATCTCCTTTTAACCTCCCTTTGGCCGCCATATGCATGTTGGTTTTGGTTGGTTACTTTCTTTCTCCTTCCTGTCAAATGGTTAACTCCTTGCAAAACACTTGAAATCACTTATTAAATCCGGCCTTAGATTGAGATCCTCAAGTAACCAACTTGAAGTTCACAATCCAAGAGAAATGTATAAACTATAAACACTTTTTGGGTCTTGGTTAATGATCCCAAACTTCAAATTATAGTGTAATCTCTGTGAATTCAGGTCATGAAATGAGTTTGACAAGTGACTATGTATTTCATTCAATAACCCTCAAAAATGTAAATCAATTAAACCATGAAATATATGAAGTGCAATGGTTCAAACGATTATCAAGTTAAGATCAGTGGAGGTTATGAACGAATACAAGATGAGAATTGGCTTACCTGAAGAGAAACGCCTTGTGCAAGGGTGGGCATTGGGTGGGACACTTTCATTGTATTGGTCTCCTTTTGGGTCTTCATCCATGTGGGCATAGCTAAGGCCAGAAAGACGTTTAGCATGCAATAATGATTAGTAAAATTAAAACCATGTGGGTTGCCTCCCAAAAGCAAGAAAATGCTTAGTAGTGTAGTGGTAAAGTATATATCTTACACCTCTAGAGGTGGTGGGTTCGAAACTCGTGGTAACATTTTGTCACTTTCCTATTTATTAATGGGCCAACAAAGTTATTTGTGCTTTAGGCGCCTCAACCCTATGGGCCGGCCCTGCATGTGGGTTGCCTCCCACAAAGCGCTTGTTTAAAGTCTTTAGCTTGACTTTATGCCTCTTCTTAGTCGGTTAGGGCATCAACTAAGGGAATGGTTTCTCTCTCATCCTTCTCAACGTCTGCAAGATATGGCTTAAGTCTTTGTCCATTGACAGTGAATCGCCACCATTTCGGTTCCATAGCACAACAGAACCATATGGTTTCACTTCCTTGATCTTAAATGGTCCAGACCATCGCGACCTAAGCTTTCCTGGAAACAGTTTAAGGCGTGAGTTGAAAAGGAGAACCTGGTCATTGGGAGAGAACGTCTTGGGGACTATCTTCTTGTCATGATATGCTTTTGTTCTTTCCTTGTAGATCCTTGAGTTCTCATAGGCATCATGGCGAATTTCATCCAACTCATTCAGCTGAATCAATCGCCTCTCCTTTGCTGTCTTGATGTCATAGTTCAGCTTCTTTACAGCCCATTCCGCCTTATACTCAATCTCAACAGGAAGATGACAAGCTTTTCCATAGACAAGGTGAAAAGGAGTTGTTCCTAGTGGGGTCTTGAATGCAGTTCTATATGCCCAAAGAGCATCATCAAGCTTCATGGACCAATCCTTCCTTGTCATTCCCACTGTCTTCTCTAAGATCCTCTTGATTTCTCTGTTAGAAATCTCCACTTGCCCACTTGTTTGAGGATGATAAGGGGTAGCAACCTTGTGTCTCACTCCATTTTTCTTCAGAAGATTGTCAAAGACCTTGTTGATGAAATGAGATCCTCCATCACTAATCACAACTCGTGGGATGCCAAATCTTGGGAAGATGATTGACTTGAATAACTTTATCACCACCTTGGAGTCGTTTGTAGGGCTGGCTATGGCTTCTACCCACTTAGAGACATAATCCACAGCAACAAGGATGTACTTGTTTCCATAAGAAGAAGGAAAAGGACCCATAAAGTCGATTCCCCAAACATCAAAGACTTCCACTTCTTGGATGAAGTTTTGTGGCATCTCATTCCTTTTGCTGATGTTCCCTTGTCTCTGGCAAGCATCACACTTAGAGATAAAGGTATGGGCGTCCTTAAACATGGTGGGCCACCAAAACCCAGCTTGCAATATCTTAGCAATGGTCTTGTTAGTAGCAAAGTGTCCTGCATAGTCAGAACCATGACAAGCAAAGAGAACTCCTGGAACCTCCTCCTCTGGAATGCATCTTCTAAGAATACCATCAGAACAATGTTTATAAAGACAAGGTTCATCCCAGAGTACCTTTTAACATCCCTTAAGAACTTCTTTTTCTTGTAGCCAAAGAATTGAGGCGGTGGGAGCTCAGCAGCAAGGTAGTTGGCAATGTGTCTATACCAAGGAGATTCGGATGGTGCTGGTCTTGGTGGTGCTCTAGGACGTGTCTCAAGCTTGAAAACATCCCATGTATGATGATCTTTAGGAGCCAAAACTGAACCACTATCCTTGAAACACCTTGGCATTCACCTTGTGCCGGCTTGTAAATGTCATAAGACCTAATGTAGAGAGCTTCTTGAGGAACGTCTTGTGACCTTTTAATGTCATCTCCAGGGTCTAAAATTGCTCTCTCCTCACTGTAGATGGTTGTACAACATGAGGTTTCAGTAGGAACGCCAGGATAGAAGACCTTCTTCTTGATTTCAGAGAAAGAGACTTGTCCCTTGCGAAAATCAAACATTGCTCCCACGGTTGTAAGGAAAGGAGTCCCAAGGAACCAGTGACATAGAAGCTTCATCTTGCATCTCTATTGATGTGGAAATCGGTGGGGACTAGACATCCACCTACTTGCATCTCTAGATCACGCACAAAGCCACATGGAGTTGTGCTAGAAGCATCTGCAAACTTGAGCATCTTTCCAGGAGGCTCCATCTCTACAATCCCAAGCTTCCTTGCTATGATTTTAGACATGAGATTCACTGTAGATCCTGTATCACACAAAGATTCAATAAAGTCAATACCATTGATTGTGCAAGGGAAGATAACTTCACTGGATCTTCTCTCTTCTTAAGCCTCCTTTGATGTGGTGCTTTTGAAATAGGCTCATCATCTTCACGCCTTGTCACATGATACTTGGAGGTTGATTGAACTCTAGGGGCTGGTGAAACGGCATCTTCTTCTTGGTTGTTATCACCTTGCAAAACTTAGGGTTCTCCTCCACTTTTCCCGGAAGAACATTGGCTTGTCTCTTGGATCCTTCTGCAATTTGGGAAACTTGCACTTCCACCATCTTAACATGATTAGAGAGGTTGATAAATCTCTCATACAGCTCCTGGTTACTCCTTTGAAGATGATCATGCATGCTATCCATCTTGAAACCAATGGTTTTTGTTATCTTTGGCGCATTGCTTCATTCCTTCAATGAATTGCTCTTGATTCTCCATGAACTGATGCATCATAGCTTCAAGGTTTCTCTCTTAGGTGTCATGACCACGTGATCTTGGTCTAGAAGAGGATCTCCAATGCTTGGCTGAGGGTTTCCATGGTTAAAACCGTTGTGATTTCGGTTTTCATTGATGTTTCCAAACTCACCAACATAATTCACTCCTTCTTGATGCTTAGAAGAACTTTCACCAATGAGATCTTTATGATCCTTTCTGCTAGAAGCCACCACGTTCTCACATAGGTCACCATTGCCTTGTTGGCTCTTGAGAAGTTGAGCAACTAATGACTTTAGCTCAAAGATTTCTGAAAAATCAGATTTTGGTTTGATCTCCTCCACGCCTTGCACATAGTCTTGGTATGAACTTTTGCTGCTTGCTGCCAAGTTATCAATGAGAATGTTGGCTTGAGAAATAGTATTAGTCATGAAGTCCCCTTGACTTGCGGTGTTGAGCGCCATCTTGAATTTCTCATCAACTCCTTGATAGAAGAAGTTTAGCAAAGCAATCTCTGTAAAACCATGGTGAGGGCACTCTCTCTTGTACTCCTTGAACCGTGAAACAGCCTCAAAGAATGATTCATGTGCCTCATGTCGAAATTCTGAGATTCTTCTTCTCATCCATTTTAATCTCTCTTTTGGGTAGAAATTCTTCAAGAAAGCTCTCTTGTACTCATCCCAAGTAGTGATTGATCCTGCTGGAAGAGCCTCTCATCCATTTGTATGCCTTCTCAATCAAAGAGAAAGAGAATAAAGTACACTTCAAGTAATCCTCAGAAACTCCACTATATCTCCTTGTAGCGCAGATTTCTTCAAACTTCTCAATATGATCAATGGGCTGCTCTTCCTCTAGGCCACGAAACTGATGCTGCTCCACCAAAGCAATGAGTTTAGAGCTTATCTTGAACTCTCCAGTAGGTGGTAAAGGGCATATAGGTTGGCGTTTTGTGAAGAAGATGTCTAGTGAATCAAACTCTCCGATTGGGCGGTTTTGAGGCTCCATCTTCTATGTCTTGTGAATCCTTCTTCAAGATCTCCTATCTCTTACTCAAGGTACCTTGAAACACACAAAGATAGAGAGAAGTAAAGAAGTTAGTAAAAATAAGAACAAAAATCCAAAGGGAAATGCAAATAAAAATGAAAATTAAACAATGTTCTAGTCTAAACTCTAATCCGAAACTCTTAGGCAACTATTTGGTCCCCGGCAACGGCGCCAAAAACTTGATGTGGATAAGTTTTACCCAACTATTAGTAGATACCGCAAGTGCACGGATCGTTGGTAGTATGGGTTATCGAACACAAGGACCAGAAAAGTTGCACTATGAGCTTATGAGATTAAAACTTAGCTAAAACTAAAATATGGGGGTTTGGTTTTAGAGTGAACAGTGAGAAAATAACAATGAGTGAGCTTGAAATCAAGTGAAACAAGCAATCAAATCAATAGGGAAAGCATTGGGCACAAGAGAATTCATAGGTCATCAAGGATTGGTTTATTTGGATAGTTAAACAAGGAATCAATAGATATGATCAAGAACTTGAATTATGAATGGATAATCAACTTACTCCCGCAATGTCAATTAAAATGTCTAAACAACCTAAGATCACTCTACTCCCATAGGTAATCAAGTGGTTAAACAAGCACAAATAATTCAAATTCAATATGTTCCACAAAGCATCATAATTCTACTCCCGCAGGTTATGGTGATTTGTTCATCAAGATTATTTCAAGTGATTTATCAAGCTTTCGGAAAGTAAATCAACTCTAGGGCAGTAGCAGGACGTTCAGTCAAAGCTATAAGCATTAAGCACAAATCAAGATGAGGAACTCAATCAATAATCCCGAATCTAACAACCTAGTGATCAATCCATGAATCCCTTGAAAACTCTTGAACCCAACAATAGGACTACTCAGCCATGATGCAAACAAACAAGCAAGAGATGTATGAAAGCATTATGTGAGTATTAAAAGAGATAAGGGATGAAGAAAGCTTCTCTATTGAAGAACAAGTCGAAATCTCCCTTGAAACTCTCAAATCCGAAATAACAAAGTGCAAGAGAAAAGGAAAGAACAAAGTGTAAAGGTTTTGTGTGTGTGTGTCTTTGATCTTGAGAAACGCCTCTTCTCTCTGCTTCTTCTGCTCTCCAGGACGGCTCTCTCTTCTCTCTGACGGCGCACACCTCTCTCCTTCTCCAGAGGCTAAAAACTTGCATATATAGGTTGTAGGTCGGTTAGGGTATTGAAGTGCCGGAAAAGGAAAGTTTCCCATGAGCTGAGCCTTCTCTCCACGTCGTGTATGGGCCGACATTGTACCAAGGAAAGCTCCAAACATTAGCCTAGGCCTCTTCTTATTCAATCAAGGCCTTTGGCGCTGCTGCTCGGGCCATTAGACACTCCAAATCCTCCATGGGCTTCACGTTTGGTCGCTAACCGGAATGTCTCGGTAGAAAATAAGTTCCGGCCGATGGTTGATCCAAATGGCTTCATTCCACTTCGACGTGATGCATGACTCAAGTATCTATCTTTCCATATCAAGATCGTGACTTTTGGACGTCGGGAACTCCTCTTCGCGCGGCCAAACTTCCGAAGCTTCGTTCTGCTCGCCTAGCGAGAACTAACACTTGGAGATAAAATGATGCTCTTGACTTGGAAACTTGCATGGATCATGGTTTGAGGCTCTTTTGCTCCTTTTTGCATCCTTTTTGATAGTTTACCCTGTTAAGACTCAAAACCAACAAATACAAGAAAACTACCTCTAAAGGCATAAAACCTTTATGAAAATGCTTAAAAACACATGAAAATACTAAGTAAAATCATGTAAATTATGGATATATCACTACCAGACCGAGAAACCCAGGCAACCCAACCCCCCCTATGCGCCGGTCGCTAGCGGAAAGGGCGGGCACTCTCGTCTTTCAACCCCAATATACTATTGATAGTTGTGGGACACTGTGTACTTACAGCTTCTACGATAAGCAAGTGAATGGGGGTGAACGGAACGATTCATCAAGCCATTTCTCGCCTCAAGCCTGCAAAACATAAAGAAATGAGTACAACATTCTCCAATTACAGACCAATGACTCATGAGTCATCACTTATAGTTGTAGCAGGATAAGAACCAGATTATTCTACATTTCTTTCATTAGCATGCCCAACTCAAACTTTACAAGAACCATGTGCTTTGTATTTAAAAAAAGTTTTTAGAGAGTGTTATTTAATTATGTATTTGAAATTAATTCTATAGGTTAATCCTTTAGATTTAAAATTTTAGTCTTATTTTAAGAATCAATTTCAGTTGATTCTAAAATCTCTGCAGGATTTTAAATCTGGATTTGAAATATTGATTGAATAACATTGGATTTGAAACTCTATTAATGAAAGATTACAAATCAAATATCGAATAACAAAACCAGGTATGAAATCTTGGTTGAATAACACTAGATTATGATTCCATTTTATTTCATTTCAAATATAACATCCAATAACACCCTTTAGTTTTTTTCAATTTTTTTTTATAACTCATGATAAATTGTAGACCTAATTGTTTAAACTTCACATGTCTTTCATGTATGTTTTTTTTTTTCTACTACTAAACCTAATTTTCTTGCAATGTTGTTTAACGGCCTCTATTTATCTCCATACATTAAACTTTTGAAAATTCTTGACCTGTAAATGTTAAGAAAATTTAAAGAAAATTTGGAGGACCATGTGCTTTTGCCCCTCTAGCACAAACCTAGGACTAGGCTTATTCCTTAGTCTCTAACAAAAGAAATGTATTCATCCCTTGTAATTTAACTTGCTTAATATGAAAATATATTATCTTTAAGCTCACTCCTTTTTCTATTTCTACAAAGAGAAGTCCTAAGAGAAAAATGTCATGTATACATGTCATGATGTTCGGTCCATGAGACCATGAGTCATTTGTATGACAGATTATATCCTTAATCTCCATATCAGAATAACTGTTCTCACTGTCTCTTTTTACAGCTACATATTTATGGCCTTTGATAAAATCAAAGCCTCTCTGAGTTACTCATATTGGGAGAAAGAAGAAAAACAAAACTTTGAAATATTTGTTGTTTTCATATTTTTCACATTAACCAAAAAAGTCCACAAGAAAGAGTATTCCACAAATTCTGATCCAGTTTTCTTCAGATTCTTTTGGAAAGAAAAAAATTCAAATTCGTATAAACTGACGATTATAAAAAGAAAAGAAAAACACCATCTATCTAGAAAATTAGAAAATATTGGATAATTCACACGTTTACAGCGATGCTGAATAACATAAAAAAAATACATAAATTTATATCGTGTTATCTTTGGCTGCAAGAATAGGGCATTGAGTACCGGATGGTTTAGATAATGGTGCTGGCCATGTGAGATGAACAGTGTCCCATGTGTGTCCATTGTTTATTTGGTCTCTCTAGTCAACTTTGATTTGTTCCCCTTATGTTAGTGAATACCACAATTTACACAAGGAGAGATATATGTCTTATTATATAAATTACCAATTAGCGGTATATCTTTTAAAATAAATAAAGCATCTTCTATTGACCCCAAAAATTGCTGGCGTATGTTAAAAACGTAGCTGTAATGATGCTAATTAACAGGTAACAACAATCAAACAAGTAGAAAATGAAAAACGTGAAAATTATTACTCCAATTTATTTTGTGTGTACGATTTATAGAATTATAGGTGATGATTTATATAGTTGTCAGGACGATTTATTTTTCATATTTACAATGTGAGGTTTCCGTTTCTCATGTATTTTTTTATTTGTTTTCATTAAAAGTGTCTACGTTATCAAATACGTATAGGTTTAGACGGTTTAATTTCTGCTACTTAATTGTGTGCGGACTGCGCAATGTGTAATGTATTATATCATTTTGTTTATAGTGATAATTTTAAAATTGTATATTCTGATCATAATTTCAATCTTAAAATTTTATCTTAAAATTCTCTCTTAATTGAATATTATAGTAGGATTGTATTCATAAAACAGTGGGAGTGTGGTCCCCTTCGATTCGATTCTCTCTTTCTATATATTAACGAGCCGAGTCTTCCAGATCTTTGAAGAACACAAAATACAAACTGCATTCTTAATTCTTGAAGATAAATAATGACGATAACTTCCAAAACTCAAATTCTTCCCCTTTCTCTCCAGGTCATCGACTTCTCGGTTCCAAACCTCAAACCGGAAACACCCGAGTGGGACTCAGTGAGATCCCGAGTCCGAAAAGCTCTAGAAGAATATGGATGTTTCGAGGCCTTGTTCGATGGAGCTTCTGTGGAGCTAAGGAAGGCATTGTTCGACGCCTCAGAGGAATTTTTTGATTTACCATTGGAGACCAAACTGAGTGCAAAGTCATCAAAGAATCGTAACAAGGGATACTCCGGTCAGGTTCCGAATATGCCTTTGTTCGAAGGCATAGGCTTTGACTGTGTAGATAATCCTGAGGTTATCGATGACTTGACTCACAAGGTTTGGCCTCAAGGCAACATCACCTTCAGGTTCCCTTTCTTATATATTTTTGTTCATGTTACTTAAATAAACTTTGATCAGAATTTAACATTTATTTAATAACGGTGTAAGATTTGAAATGATAAAGAAAAATGATTATATATATGAGGTACAGAAGGTAGAATATGTAGCAGTTTAGTAATAAATATCAATGGCATGAGATCTAGTTGTTATAGATGAATAGTTTAAGTAAATCAAAAATCGTCGAATGAGAAGTATCGATTAGAAAATACTAAGATTTGATGTATATTGCAGCAAGACTGTTCAGTCGTTTGCGGAGAAGTTGATAGAACTAAACGTGAAGGTCAGGACAATGATCATGGAAAGTTTTGGGCTCGACAAATACGTGGAGGAGCATCTTAACTCTGCGAATAACCGATTTCAGTTATTTAAATACAAAGGACTTGACGATAATACAAAAGACAATATAGGCATTGACACTCATATCGATAGATATTTCCTCACCATACTTTGCCAGAACGACGTAGTAGATGGCGTAGAGATAAAAACCAAAGATGGTGAAGAGTGGATCAAAGCTAAGCCATCTCAAGACTTTTCTTTCCTTGTTATGGCCGGAGCTTCTCTTCATGTAAATCCTAGTTTCTTTCCTTGAGTCTCAAGTATCATCAGATATAATCTTTAACTATGTGATTTTAAAACATGGAGTTTCGCAGGTATTGTTGAATGGTGAGGTGCTTCCTCCGCTTCACCGTGTGGTTATAACCGGAAAGAAAGATCGGTATGTGGCTGGACTGTTCTTGCCTCCTAAAGATGGACTTATCATAAATGCGCCTGAGGAGATGGTCGATGATGAACATCCTCGTCTCTATAAGCCTTTTGATTTTGAGGCTTATGTGAAATTCACCAACATAAATACCAAGGGGAGAGGTCTATCTGCGCTCAAGTCTAACTATGCCCTATAAACATTTATGATGCCTTTCGAATAAATAAAAGTATAAAACTATGTCTCATTTGATGAATGCATTTGTTGATTTGCTCTCGCCTCTCGAGCTGGTTTGTTGTTACATTTACTTTGCCTTGTTGACTCTTGAGCTTGTAAAAAAAAAAAAATAAAAAAAAAAAAAAAATAAAAAAAAAATTGCAGAAACTCTATAATTACGTTTTTCATTGATAGATAACATCAGAAGAAAATATTTCAACATGCATAATTTAGACCGGAACAAACACGTTACTGGTAACATGTACTATTGAATTCAAGTTGTGATTATACATGTTACTGTGTAACTTGTGGTAAAAATGTAAACATTTGTAAATATCCTTCTATTGTGGTAAGTACACAATTTTATTAGATTTCAGATTAAGAGAATATCCTTCTATTGTTCGTTTCACAGCTCGTAGTGCCGCGGGTTAAACCCTAATGGGATATATAACAATAAAATAGGAGTAGTAGATGTAATTACTAAAGTGAAGAAATTATAATGTACTTTTGAAAAGTTTAATGAATAACACAAATGGATCCGCCACAGGCTGTGCACAAATAGGGCACCCAAAGCCGGATTGTTTCGATATATATATGTATTTTTTTTTTTTTGATAATCGTGGGTGATCATAAATGATTTTTAGACCCAAAGACTAATCATACGAGGTCCACAAAAGTCCACATATTCTTACCATTTAAGACAACCCGGGTGGCTAAGGGACTCGAACCCAGATGGCGGAAGTCACAGCTGTGACCCTTTTACCACTGGGCTACGAGGCTTTGGTTGTTAAATGGATCTTCAGATTGTTTTGATATATATTTTGATAATAGTGTTAGCCATGTCATACGGTGTCCATTGTTTACTTCGTCTATAGTCAACTTTTAATTTTCATATAATCTATTTAGGCTAAATACGCACATGCTTTGTTCAGTTGTTGTGCTTTATAGGAGGACCGAGTCTGTTCTGCACAATCCAAATATGTGCGATGTACATGCTCTTATCTACCCAATCCAATATTGTATATTTTAGCAGGGTCCGTAGTTCATGACAGGTGAAAACAATGGAGCCATGAGCTTACTCACATGCACATAATATTTAAATCATAGTATTTGCTTTTATATTTCGCATATACACGAGTGTATTTTAAGATTTTGTAATAAAATCATGGAAAAATATAAAACAAAATTTGATCACTTTCAAAAGTAAACAAAATAATATTAAAAGTCCGATAAGAAATATTTAAATAAAATGAGATTGGTAATAATTTTACATTTTTATTGTAACTGATATGTTTTTTTTGAATTCATGATATGAAAAATGAATTAATTGGTTTTACTTTTATTTTTATCCAATCTAGAAAGACTTACACATGTATAAATCTAACTTTTCTTATTCCATTCAACAGATTTTAACTGATGAAATATTTATTTAATATTTTTACCTAACAAAAATTGAAAGTTAAACTATTTAAAATTAGAATATCTATTCATTATAATATTTTTAATATTAGTTATTTGTTTGATAATTATTTTGTTACATTTCTATTTGTATTGTTTCTTTCTCAATTATTTTTTTTCTCACACCATTAGAAATTTTTATTTTCATTATTAGCTACTTTTCTTTTATAATTATTTTGCTAGTTTTTATTTCTGTTTAACATTTTTCCAATTTACTTGTGTTAACACATGTCTTCACCGGATCAAATATTAGATACATGTAACGACAATCATTTTGATTTCGATCTAACTGATTTAGAGTTTAATATATCATTAATATCTTCAATTTTAAAGATATAATTTTATTTTATTTTTTAATGAGAGAGAAGATTATAAATTATATATTGGTCTTTTTCCTTTTCGTAATGGGATTTTTCTTTTCTTATCTACTATGTAACAAAAGAATTTAAATTATTTGTTTCCTTTTTTTATATGTATATTTTCATAGTGGATGTAGCATTTTTTATTCGAATTGTTTGTTATCTGTTTTTCTATTTTTTTGTTGATCTTATACATATTAAATTTTATATTTTTTTATTCCATCTTAATACTTTCAGACTTTTTTTTTTAAACACATCTCCAATTTTGTCAGTTATAAAAATCCTATGTATTGCGACCACGTCGTAAACTTTCAAAGACATGATGAATTTGATGAATTTTCTTTGATGAGTTTGTGATTGAGAAAAAAAAAACAGACTACCCTAACTCTCTTTTATAGGAGTTCATGTAACCTATTTCACGCAGTTTTAGGAAATTTAGTTTACATAACATATTCCATGTACTAATAAGATTTTATTTATTACATTATTTTGAATTTATTATGAGTGGATAATATAAATTTGATGAATGGAAAACCTTTTCTATTAGGATATGATTATAAGATTTTTCTTTTAAATATATATTTTTTGTTAATTTTCCTTTATCTAACAATTTTTTAATTATTATCTTATTTTCTTTTTTGCCAATACATGTGTCATGATCTTAACAGACGTTACATTAAAAGTGACACATGCCGCGATCTGATAAATTATAAAAATCCTATATGTCGCAACCACATTGCATGCATCCAACTTTATATGATAAGATATATTTTTGTATTAGTTAGATATTGATGGATAATAATAATCATAGTAATAGATTTAGTTATTTACGATAGGTAGTAAAAAATATGGTTTATTTTTAAGTTTTGTTTTATTTGTTGCTTTATGTTTTTTTTTTTGGGTTTGGTTAAATCCCTAATTTAACCGTATATCTAAAGAAAAAATAAAAGCCAACTTGGTTTTTAATGGAATAAGAGAAGTTTTAATATAGGTGAAAATTTTAGAATGATAACTAATACTCCCTCTATCCCATAATATAAGCTATTTTAGCTTATAATTTTTGTCCCACAATATAAGCAATTTTGACATTTCAATGCACTTTTACTTTATGGAAAACTGTGTGACCACTTATATTTTGCAGTTGATTTTTATGATTGGTTGGATTCTATTTAATCTATTTTTTAAATGATACTTTTTTAAATGAAAACAATTTTCTTAATTCTTGTGTTAATAGCTTATAATATGGGACAGAGGGAGTATAAAACAATATTTTATGTTTTTCTTTCAGAAATTGAGAAATTCTCCAAAAAGCTAATTTCGTAAAAACATTGTTCCAACAATCCTGAATGGATAATCAAATGAATTAATCAAAAATAAAACCAAAATCTCTAATACTTTAAAGTAGCTGCATGGGGCCTCTTAAAACACCCTACTCAGCATTCTCCCGAGCCCTCCCACGTCGCCACGTCAGCACATTTAAGAAAAAAAATTATACACTTCTTTTATCTCACCTTTCAATTAAAACCATATTAAGAAAAGTCCATCAACATTATTATGTTCAGATGTAATCTCAGAAACATCATCGGCCCATTCACACTAACTATCAGAACAAAGAGTCGGCATCCTCATACCTTCATACCTTCCATTCAACATTGAGAACTGGATAGCCGAATCGATTCATGTCATACACCATAACTGCTTTCTCATTTATTGCCCACTCACTCTTTAAGATTAATTTGATTTTAATGGCCAGTTCAGTCCGATTCATGTAACCTCTCATACCACCCTATAAAACCCACCACTCCCACCACCACTCTGAAATCCACGGAATACACCCAAAACACCCTCCGAAATATTATCAAACGAATAAACACGTACGTGATTTAGATTAAAAGGGGGAAAAATCCAAACTTACAAAGTCTAAGATCTCAAACTAGAGTATTTTTGGTGGCAAAATGAAAGACAAATTACAAGATGCCTAAAATCTTAGGACTTTTAGTTTATATAGTGGAGACTCTAAAACCCTTCTTCTTTCCTTCCCCAAGATTTAAGCTCCAAAACTCCGCGTTTCACTTGGTTTGGTCAACTCTAACTTCGGTCAACTCTCCACTTGGTCAAGGAAAGCTTGTAAGGCGACAACGGGTTCCTGATCCTGGTTCACATCCGGTTGATTCGCTTTGACGTCTCCAACACTCCTACTTCCCAAATGGCTCCAAAGCTCCAAAGTACCTGATTCAGACTCAAAATGCAATGTATATGCAATGCAAGTCCTAATGAAGATGCAAGTGTATAGATAGAGATATGGATATAAATGTATGAGAATGAGACTTAGAAGGTGTAAATATGCATGTAAAAGTATGCTAAATATGTTAATATATGTGTATATCAACACCCCCAAACTTGAATCTTGCTTGCCCTCAAGCGAGAAGAACAAATCTGAGAGATGCTGATATGTCGAGGACTCAAAATTCAAGGATGCAATGAGAGGAAACGAAGTCAATGATCGAGTTGAGAATCATAAAATGCAAGGCGAATGAGCTCTACTTCCAAAATTTTAGCCACACTCATCAAAGCAACAGGAAGACTCTAGACTCAACTTACACAATGCATTCAAATAACTCTCATCCTTTAACATTCAATTATTTCAGAACCGTGAATCAACCACTCATGCATTTCAAAGTACTCGCTTGGCTCAAAGGGTAAGTTTCAAAGGACAAAGATGGTCCCGTTTTTCTCTGGTTTCAAAATCAGCACAAGGGATCTCTCAAAGAAAAATGTTGAGCTTTAGTAGAATGCTAAGGGTAAAAACCAAGGCTAGACTAGTGATGTTAATATGGGCTTGAAGCCCGCAGGTTTATACGGGCCCAATGCATCATTTTTGGACCCGAACCCGTTTAAACCACAATGAATACAAATGGGCATGTCCATTAAAGCCCGATTACTAACGGATCTAAACAAATTTACTTCGGGCTGCCCGTTTAATTTTTTTATTGAATTTTGTATCCTAAAACGACGTCGTTTTTCAGTTTAGGGGAATTTCGACGAAGAAATCGAGCACCGCCTCTGAATTCCATTCTCTGGTGACGAGTCGGCGACGACGACGAGTCGACGAAGACGACGAAGCTCTATCTTCCAGTTCGAGCTCTATTGCTTTCCGACTTCAATCAAGTGAGATCTATTTTGTAATTTTGTTGAATTGGGTTTTATAGGATGTTGGTTTTGTTTTTATTCATTGATTGAAATGGGTTTGCGAAATCATACAATACTTTGCTCTGGATGTTCTTCGATCTGGGTTTTGTGGGTTTATGGGTTTTGATTTGAATCATCGCTAAGTATTTGGTTTTGTTCCCATAGTATTTTTTTATGATTTGAAAGAGCTTCAACGCTCAAAGCTTTCTTCAGTCATAGAGTGAGACTTTCTCTGTAACTTTCGCTGTCTCGCTTAAGATAACGAAATAATACGAATCTCTCTATTCGATCAGTATCGATTATCAGATATGAGCTCTTTTTGCTTTAGATTTTTGAATAATTTTTCAGAATCGTAGCTTGTCATTATGCAGACTCTTTAAGAGCTATTTGATCGATTAATTGTAATTCTTTAACTGTGTTTGAGATATTTCTCTTCTGTGAGAAAAAAACTTTTCTTGGATCGATAATGATAATCGTTTGATGGTTTTAGATTTTGTTATCATTGCTTTAGGAGTTTAGGACTTGTTCGAGAGGCACAGGGTCGTGTTTACAGTTGGAACGTCTATAGCATCAGTTGCTACAGCTTGGATTGGTAAGCTACAAGTTGATTTTTTGCATTTCGATTTCTCTTGCATTGCAGAGAATCTGTATGCTATCATTAACTCTGATAACTATGAGGTCAAGTCTTCAGATTGGGATCAATGGTTTAAGATGATTTGGTCATTTCCAAATGTTTTTGATCATTTGTAAAACAAGTTAGAAACCAAAGTTCTTGTGTGCTACGTACTTAGTGTTGCAAAAGTATCTCATTGATCTTTTATTTCTGTTTATACTGTGTTATATGAGCTTGACCAATATCTCATTGAGACTCTCAGGTTTGCATTATCTCTAGAAGCAGCAGCATAATAAAAATATGTAGATGTTATGATTTTATGCTCTGTTTTTGTTTTTGATTTTCTGGGTTTATTTGATTAAAAAAAAAGATACACACAACCAAAAAAAAAGTAAATTTGTTATTTAGAAAAATTACACGGGCTTTAGTGGACGGGCCTTAGCCCGGCGGGCTTAAAATTAACGGGCTTAAACAGACTTAAAATTTAATGGGTCTAAACGGGCATGCTTTTAATGGGTCCGGGCTAATTGGGCATGGGCGGCCCATATTAACATTATGATTCTATATAGATTCTGATCGCCAACTCATATATATTAGGTACACCTGTTACAATTTTGACTGCCCAATAACCTATGCCTTTCTCAGTCTGGTTAGGCTTTCCGGAAGGTTTTCCGTTAATATGAGGCTAGACCCAATCTACCCGAGAACAATGAAACACAAAGGCTTCGAATGGTGACACAGATCAGAAAATACAGATCAAAAGGAATATCCAGATCATACAAAACAAATACAGATCATGATCTGTATGCATATCAAATGCATATCAGATATATGTAATATATAAAATAAATATAGTGAATCATCGACCACTTGTTAAAACAAGTTAAAATGATCCAAATCAAATACTAAAAAATATATATAAAATAAATATGTTTAAAATATTAAATATTATCAAAAAGTTTTCAATTACAACACACACAAATTTATGATATAAATTTATTTGTTTGCTTATAATATTTTTCTTCATATTTACCATAAAATATTTGTTTCTTTCTTTTTTTTTCTACCACTAAAAGACGTTTTTCCTCTTAATTTTATTTTATTCCATTTCATCTAGGTCGATTTTTTAGGAATAATAGTGTTATACCAAACTATTTTTTTTTCTTTTTCATGTTCTTTGTTAGATAATGCTTACATCTATATATACAAAAAAAAATTATAGAAACAAAGTAAGATAAAATATATGATGTCATATAATAATTTATATATGGTATTTATGTTATGCATATTATAATAAAAATGAGGAATATTCTTTTATAGTTAGTTTATTTCTTAGTTTAGTTGATTTTGTTGTAATAGTATTTTTATGTTTTAAAAATTATTTAAAATAATTCATTTGAATTTTAAAGAAATTATATATTTGGTTTATTCATACTATTTTGGGTGGAAAAAGTTAGTTTTCAAAATACTTTAATTTTTTTGTAATATTCATATAGATTTCCTTAGATATAAAAATTGTGTTTGATATTAAATTATATAATATAAATTGAATATAATTTTTGTAGATTTATTTGTAATTAAATAGTCAGAATTTAATATTAATAAACAATTAAGAGAGAATTAAAAAAAGAAAAAGAAAAAAAAAAGTAAAAACCTGATCTGCACATGTTACCGAGCTTTTTGGCTCATTAATGCAGAGCAAAAAAATTGTCTATTTTCTGATCTGTATACAAATCATTTTTTTCTCCTGCATTTTGTTGATCTGCAATTAAAAGTGTGATTGGGTGTGTTAAATACAGATCATCTGTATTTGATCTGTATCTGCATTTATTCTATATTTGTTTTGTGTCTCCATTCAAACCCAAACCCGTGTTTCCCAAGAATCCTATCTACCCAAGAAAGCATAACTTGCCTTGACCCTCTTTTTTATGGAAAACTTTTTTTTTTCTTTGCTTTCAACCCCTTAGAAGAGGTTTCTTAAACTTTATCTAGCAGTTTGGGAACTTTCTTCTCTTGGCTCTTAAACTCTTTTTCTAAACTTAGCTTTTCGCCTTTTCCTTTTCTTAGCTTTGCTAGAGCTTTTCTTTCTTTCTCAAAACCTTTACTAGAGATTTAAACTTTCACAACTCTTCCCTCCTAAGAGACTCGGCTTAAACTTTTCTTTTCCTTTTTCCGGATTTTCTTTTTGGAACCCTCTCTCTTTTCTTCTAAGAACTTCCCCAAATGGCATTTTCCCAAACTTAGTCTTAACTAGCTTAAAAGGATGAGATAGAATCTACATGGAAATCTAGACATTATCGGTGAAAACCCAACACTTTCTACCAAACTCAACCAAAAAGGACCTCACACACTCAGAAAAATCAGATTGGTTTCAAAGAAAGGATTGGTTAAGGTGGGGAAGTCTAGTTGCATTGTATGTATGGTAACAAAACGGGCATATTTATAGGGTTGGTCATGAAACGGTACCGTTTTGGGTGTAAGAAAACGACATCGTACGACATCGTTTACATAGGTCTTAAAAACCTCTCGAGCCGCTCCAATTCCTTGGTTCGTGTTTCTCAAACATTTTTTTTTTTCCAAACGACCCCTGAACGAAGAAGATGAGTTCTGATTTGAAGAGAAAGCCGAAGAAGACAAATCCTAAACCTGTACAGTTAAACCCTAATTGGTCACTCCTCCAACAAGTTAGTCTCTTTTTTTCTCTTTAGCTTCCTCTTCTTCCAGATTTTGTTCAACTATTGATTTTATTGGGTTCTCGTCATTGTCCCTGCAGAAGCTGAAATCCGATTCGCATAGCACGGGCACTCGAAAGTCGTCAATTAATGGCAACCCGGAAAATCCCAGCTCCATATTAGGTAGCATTTGAGCCGAAAAACTCGAGCTTTAAGTTTGGGTTTAAAGACCTGGTATTTTTTTTTCTAACCTACGCAGCAAACTTGCAGGGAAACGGAAGGAGAGATCCGACCCGGATGTGGATGTTCCTAAGATTGATCCCCTAACTCCTGTTAATGATGATTCCAGGTGGGTCATGTTTACTATTTGTCTCTCCTCAACATTCTTCCATGAACATTGTTGCTTCTAATTGTCAGATGTTGAATTTACTAGCTGGGAGATATATATTATAGTTACTTTCTGCTTTAGAAATTAGTGTTTCGTTAGTCTTTGGATTAGCCTGTTCAGAACTGTTGGTTATAAGCTACTCTTTTCATTATTTTGATTGTTGACCGTTGTAGTATTGGCTTAGGTTGTTGAAATAGTTGACCAGTATTGAGAAATGGTTATAAAAAAAATAAAATAAAAGTAAGAGTATCTTACTAAAATATGTTCATCCTTTGAGAAATCTGTATGCCGAATCTTACCAAGCTTGTCGGTAGTTTGACAGATGAAGTGGCAATGGATTGTGAAATGGTTGGTGTCAGTCAAGGAACCAAAAGCGCCCTTGGACGTGTTACCTTGGTATACATTGCTTTCTGCAAAAATTCAGCTTCGTTTTAGCTCTGAGCCCTTTAGAAGCTCTATGTCATTTTAAATATATCTCTATCTCTCTCTTGTAAGCGAAGCTCACTGGTTATTTCATCTTTGTTATTGACAGGTAAATAAATGGGGAAATGTTCTGTACGATGAGTTTGTCCGTCCAGTGGAGCGTGTTGTTGACTTTCGTACACATATTAGCGGGATTCGACCTCGTGATTTAAGAAAAGGTTGTCTGTTGCACATGAATGAGCTAAGATCATCTAATAAAGTGTGGAACTTTTAACTCAAATTTAGATTCTTTTTATAATCTCAGCCAAAGATTTCCGCGTTGCTCAGACCAAAGTAGCGGAGCTGATAAAGGGAAAGATTCTCGTGGGACACGCCTTGCACAACGATCTCAAGGTCTGTCGGTTTCACAAATTTTGGAATCTGGTTACACTGCCAATACAGTACATGGCTTTAACAGAATTAGACATTGATAAACAGGTCTTGCTACTTACTCATCCGAAAAAGGACTTAAGAGACACAGCAGAGTATCAGCCCTTTCTCAAGTACTCATTCACACACTCTCTTTCATCTGACTGATTCTTGTCACGCTTTTGATCGTATCCTAATGGATCCACTTGTGATCTTCCAAACAGGGACAAAAGCAGGAAGTCTCTGAAACATATTGCAGCTGAGTTTCTAGGAGCTGACATTCAAAACGGAGAGCACTGCCCTGTAAGTGTGTACATCTGAATAGAAACAAACCATGTTTCATTCCCTTTTCTTTTCAATGTTTTAGATCCGCAATTCTTTAACTCTGTTTCCATGAGTAGATTGACGATGCACGAGCTGCGATGCTGCTTTACCAGAAGAACAGGAGAGAGTGGGAGAGAAATGTGAAAGACCAGACTCGGATGAGGCTGAAACAAAAGAAGCGTAAGCCTAAGAAGAAGGTTAAAGAAGGGAATGCTTCCACCGATCAATCAAGCGAGATCAAAGACTGATTAAACAGAAACAAAAGAGTCGCTGAAAAGTTTTGGTCGTCTTCCCTTTTCTTTTTTCTTCCATTTTTGTTGTGTCCTTTTGATTCTTCTTAGCATCAGGTTCTCCAAATGTACTATCTTGTTGTATACAAGCTCATCATCACAATGTTATACCACATTACATTAGCTGATGTATTATGAAATTACTCTTCTCAAAAGATTTGTCGATTCATTTATGTTCTTCGCTTGGGTTTTGGTCTAGTTCCGGTTGGGTTCGGAAACTTTCGAACATCGTAGAAACCAAAACCACTCACTGTTTGAGATTAACTTGGGGATCATTTGGAAGAACAATGGTTTTGGTTCGGTTTATCTATCATGCTCTGGTTTTTGGTCGGTATGCATAATTACGAATGCTTTTAAGCTCGGTTCCTCTTAGCTGAGCTCAATTTTTTCTGAATTTACAGATCAATTTGACAAATTCACACTAATTTAACCATGTTTCTGGTCAAATCGGATTGGTTTGGAACAAACCGGTTAATCAAAAGCTGCAGCTTGCATGTGTACAGTCGAGTAAACAAACCCGCTCTGCGGACGCAAATGCTGCCACGTTTTAATTTTCCGTTTCTGTGTCAACAAGGAAACCTAAATAGGCTAAAATAGAAGAAGCATATTTTATTCGCATCAACGAAGAAGAAGAAGAAGAAGAGGAGTAAATTGATTTCACAGACGACGGAGAAATGCGAGTGATGAGATCATTGCGCGGTAATTCTGGTTCGGGATTGGTTTTCCGGTCGGCGAGGTTATGCTCTCTACGGAGCGTCTTCACCGGTTGCCGTGCTGTGATTTTGCCTCGCTTTGGCGGTCCGGAGGTTTTGGAGCTCTGGGAGAATGTTCCGGTGCCGAATCTTAATCCGAATGAGGTTCTCGTCCGGGCTAAAGCTGTCTCCGTCAACCCTCTCGATTGCAGAGTGAGTGTTCTCTGCTTGATCCGCTTTGCAATTAGATATCATACAATCGAATATCTTGCCTGAATTTGGAATTATGATTGGCGTGATCGGTTAGCTTGAATCTCCCATTGATGATAAGATTAACTCTTCGATACTAATAACAAGAGTAGTGAGATTAAGTGTTATGATGTCAAATGGTGTTGATTTTGCAGATACGAGCAGGATATGGGCGTTCTGTATTCGAACCACATGTACCTATTATAATTGGGCGTGATGTCAGTGGCGAGGTCGCAGCTATTGGGACCTCAGTGAAGTCATTTAAAGTAGGGCAAGAAGTTTTTGGCGCATTGCATCCTACGGCGTTGAGAGGTACTTATACTGACTATGGGATTCTTTCTGAAGACGAACTCACTGAGAAGCCATCGTCGATTTCTCATGTGGTAAGTTAGGAAGAAGATCTGTACGCCATTTAACCTCTCTGGAATGATTCAGTGTTTTCAGCTGTTCTTTGTTTTTGTTGTTTCTGCCTCTTGTAGGAGGCAAGTGCCATTCCTTTTGCAGCATTGACTGCTTGGCGTGCGTTGAAGAGTAATGCTCGGATAGTCGAAGGGTACGAATTTGAGAAACTATTAGTGTCTGCATGTGGCAGAGAGCTGAGACTAATTCACCTTTCAATATCCACACAGATGCTTTCGTGTTATTTGTCTACTTCTATGGACTCAACAGCTTGTTTATTCTTTGCAGACAAAGACTATTGGTTTTTGGAGGAGGAGGAGCCGTAGGATTTTCTGCAATCCAGCTTGCGGTAGCCTCTGGGTGTCATGTTACAGCCTCTTGCGTAGGTCAGACCAAAGACAGAATACTAGCAGCTGGTGCCGAGCAAGCTGTTGACTACACAACCGAGGTAGTGCCATGATTATCCGCTGATCCAAGTAGAGCCATGATTATCTTGTTCTGATTCTTGAACCTGGGTCTGTTTCATGTATAGGACATTGAATTGGCGGTAAAAGGAAAGTTTGATGCTGTGTTGGATACTATTGGACGGCCTGAAACCGAGAGAATAGGCATAAACTTCTTGAGGAAGGGTGGAAACTATATGACTCTTCAGGTATATAACATCACTTGTTTTTCTGCTTTACGAGCCACTGTGGCCTTTGGTTGCTTAGGTCTGGGATTTTGCTAACAAAAGTGTTTATCTTTTTTTTTCTCTCTTTGGCATTTATCTGGTTAAAAGGGTGAGGCTGCATCGTTGACTGATAGATACGGTTTCGTAATTGGGCTTCCGCTTGCAACATCACTCTTGGCTAAGAAGAAGATACAATATCAGTATTCTCATGGAATTGGTATATGATAATAAGAACTGGCTTGTTTAGTTTTTGACTGGGAAAAGAAAAGGTTAGTGAGATAAAAATCTGACTGTGATGTTACTGAAAAACAGACTATTGGTGGACGTATATGAGGGCTGATCCTGAAGGTCTGGCCGAGATTCAGCGGTTAGTTGGAGCTGGAAAGTTAAAGATACCGGTGGAGAAAACATTTCCGATAACCGAAGTTGTAGCAGCTCATGAAGCCAAGGAGAAGAAGCAGATTCCTGGTAAGGTGGTTCTTGAGCTCTGAAGACTGGAAACTATAAATATAGTAACAATAATAATACCTGCATAGCTCTCTAGCACTTGTTCTTTCTAGAAATTTACACGCAGGAGAAGACAAATGTTTTTTTTTTGCGTCTGGAGTTTTCTGTAAATGAGATCTATCAGGCTTAGATTTTCAGATCAAGAACTTGAAGTTTCTGTATAGACTTTCCAAGGGGTTCTTTTGTTTTTATTTAGACGTTCGTCTTTGTTGCAAGTTGCAGTAAACCAATCAAGCCAAGCAATGCTAAATGATTTAGAAGTTTTGTTGTTGTTGTTGTTGTATGGGAATCTCAAAACAACATATGAATTTAATTACTAGCATAAAAAACAAAACAATCACATATGATACCATACCACAACATATTGTATAATAAGGGTGATTTTGATGTTATACATGGGAGAGTGTTGGAAAGTATCACTTGCAATAATTTGTAGTCCGAGTCTTGAGATAGTTTTGTCGTAATGTATAATCATAAGATAGTTTTGTTGTAATGTAATGTAATCTCGTTAAATACACTAGCTACATAATTGCTAAATGTGTGACGCACATAACCACATGGATCGAACAAATCTCACAAAATCTCATCAAAATAGCATTCATCTCTCTACTTTTCAGTTTTCACTTTATTAAATTATGTCTGAAAGAGTAATAGTATTAAATTAAGAAGAGAGAAAAAAAAGCCTAGAAGTGTCATTAAAAGCACAACATGGCAGTGTTAAACAGCTTATTAAATGTATGTTTTGTCTGATTCTCGTCCTTTAATGGTCTGGTCAAACTGTCTCTCCTCAGCCAGATCAGCAAACAACTTTTATTTTTTCCTTACGCGCTGCCACCCTGCGCGTGTTCTTCACAGCCTTATCACCGACTAAACTCTCTAGCAAACGTCATTACTGGGGACCGGAACATTCTCTTTCCTTCCAAAAGTCGTCGAAACTTTTTCACTGGCATAAAGATGTTTTTGCTAAGTCAGTAATAATAAGTCTTCCTTCTTCAGTTGTGTAATTTCTTCTAAATATCTAGCAAGATCAGTAGATTCTGCATACTTATTATTGTTTGGGACCAATGAGCACATGTTTATATGTCATCATAGTTATTGTCAGTTAATTCCGTAGGCACCTTCCATCTATATGTAATCGATTTGGTATTTATTACATGTATATAGGATCCTATTCGTATGCAACAGCAGCACTATTATTGTTGCTTTTCAAAACGGGACTGATACATTTTGTACCAGTCATATTGATAAACGAATACTATAAGCTATCTAGGGATTTCTTCTGTATAATATAATTTTCTACATATCATGCAAAAAAACCTTCTTTAAAAGTACATTTAGTATCTACTATATATGGTTAAGAAAACAAATTTGTATCATCATTAGTCTAACAGATAAATAAATTAAAAGCATATTAATCAATGTTATGAGTTATGACCTGACCTGTAATGTGGAGTGTGGTCCTTGAAGTCTTTCAATGGTGTGGTCAAAACTCCTTTTTTCTCTCTGTATGACTGCCACATCACCCACCCATCTTCCTCCATTTTCTGTTTATTATGACCGTTACTTCCCGGCTCACTAGTACGCAGCTCACGCGCGTGTTTTCTTCTTGACGCCATTATCTCCTTATTAGTGATTTATAAATTATAATTTTTATCAAAAAAATTCAATCGGTTTAAGTGAAAACACGTATATTTAGTTATTTACATGAATTAACAAACTTCAAAGAGTCAAACTATATATTCGAAAGCCTCTTTTCATCTTCTTTTTGGTTAATTGGTTTTGTATGATAAAATGCAATATAATAGTATGTTTGATTGAGCTTATCTATTTGATAATTTATTTGCTTTTTGGTTGAATGATTTAAGTGTCCCTCCCTAATTTAGTTGGCCATATACTCCAATCCGGAACAAACATGAATGATAAAGAAAGAGGCGAGTGGGTCCAATCCTTAAGTGTTACAAAAAGCGACACGACGTGCCCTCAGTTTCATGCATCCAAAAGAAAATAAGTAAAGCGATAGATAACTTCACATTTTCTTTTCACGAGAAGAAAATCCAAAATATGATATAAAATCAGATTACATATAATTAAACGCAACAGTTAGAGCTAAAATAAGGAAAACAACGGCCATGTCGAATCATTACCCTATCTATCGGTATCACGTGCTAACTTTGGGTTCTATAATGCTTTTCTTTAAGTAATTATTAATATTATATAGATATGTGCTATTTAACTTGGACCGTATTTAGCCCGAACCATGTGACAATTTCCAGTCTACTCTTTTCATCATTATGAAAGCGAAAAAAAAGAAAAGCGATGTCCCCTCAATTGGATTCTACAAAAATTGAATAAGAAGAAATTTTTGCTTTTACTCTCTCCACCTTCTTCTCTGTGGTTTGGCACTTTGGCTATTGTCCCGTTTGGTAATCCCAAATGTTTTATTTAGTCCTAAATCCTCATACTAAATATCAATCATAAATGATTAAACATTTTTTTACCTAAACACAACAAAGTGATCCACAACACAATTTTTCGAGAGCATCCACTTGTTATAGATTTATCATCCAAGATTCCCTCCCATATACACATGCATATGATTTATCTCTTTCAAAACAAATCTCGAGCACACTTGGTCCATGATGAGTCCGATAATCTAGTTACAAGAAAAAATATCATAAACTTTTGAAAATTTCACAAAAAGTCAAAAATAAAAGTTTTGTAGTATTATATTTTCACCAAAATCCAAAAAGCTCTCAAATTACTAAAAAAAAACTACGAAAGCAATACATGCAAATACACAAGAGACATGCGTGTCTGAGTGTTTGTGTTTTTGGGAAAGGCAATACCTTTAGTATGTGCACATGTGTGTATCCACAGTCCACAGACGTACGAACCCTTTACCTCATGGGTCCACACACCTTTCGCCACTCATAATTTACTAATCTACCCTTTTACTTCCATTTACCACACAGCTAAATTTCGGATTAGTCAAAGACGATTATTGAGATTTAGGGAAGAAACGAATCTTAACCACACAACCAGATCCAGGGGTATTTCGATAATTTACAAACTAACCCCTAAAAGTCTCTCGATTCCGTTACACTCTGAAAGAAATACTCATTTCTATACTACTATCTCCAGTGGCGATTGCTACTACTTCACTCCCACAGTAAAAAAGAAAGAGATAACAATGGCGGAAACCGAGAGACCCCACCGTTCTTCAAGTATTAACAGCAGCAACAACGCCACAGCGAATGCTTCTTCAACCGATCTATTCATTTGTTTCACGTCTCGTTTCTCTTCTTCTTCCTCCATGCGTCTCTCTTCCCTCAGCCCAGCTCGCTCCGCCTGTCTCACCACTTCTCTCAGCCGCCGTCTCCGCACGAGCGGCAGCTTGAAGAACGCTTCAGCCGGAGTTCTAAACTCTCCGATGTTCGGAGCTAATGGACGGAAGAGATCTGGATCTGGTTTCGAGAACAACAACAACAACATCGAGCCGTCGTCTCCGAAGGTGACGTGTATCGGCCAGGTTAGGGTGAAGACTAGGAAGCATGTGAAGAAGAAGATGAGAGCGAGATCTAGGAGGAAAAGCGGCGAGACGAGTTTCAGAAGATCCTCGAGCGACCAAACCGACGGAGGAGGAGGAGGTTGCCGTTTCGATGCGAGCGAGAATCGTTGGGTGCATCTTCCGGTGACTATCTGTGAGTCGTTGAGATCGTTTGGCTCCGAGCTTAACTGCTTCTTCCCGTGTAGATCCTCGTGTACGGAGAACAGCCATCACAACAGAGATCGAGATGGGAGGCGAGTCGAGAGTAACGACGACGGATGCGGCGGCGGAAACGGAAATTCGTGCGGCGCGGTGTTCACGCGGTGGTTTGTGGCGGTGGAGGAGACGAACGGAGGGAAGAGAAGGGAGATTGAGCTTGTGGTGGGTGGAGAAGACGACGCGGAGGAGGATAGGAGGAGGAGACACGTGTTCGAGGGGCTCGATTTGAGCGAGATTGAGATGAAGCCGGAGAAGAAAGAGAGAGAAGATGTTGGACGGATCGGGATTTGTTCTCCGCCGAAGAACGCTTTGCTTTTGATGCGGTGTAGATCTGATCCGGTTAAGGTGGCGGCGCTAGCTAACCGGGTTCGAGAAAGGCAGATGTCACTCAACGATGGCGCACTTGGTCGAGACGAGACGGAGGAAGATGAGGAGAGAAGGTCTGAGCTGGAAATTGAAGATAAGAAGCGGATCGAGTTGTGCGAGAAATGGATTTCCGGCGAGACTACCGTCGAGAGAGAGATTGTAGTTCCGGTTCCAATTGCAGAAGCCGAAGCTCCTTTGGCATCAAATTTAGCTAGAAAGGAAGAAAAAGTCGAAGATCTAGAAGATTCGGCCATGGAATTAGCAGAAGAAGAAGAAGAGGAAGAAGAAGCATCGAAAATCCTGGAGGTAGATTCGTTTGAGGAAGAAATTGAGTCCACAATCATTAAAAGCATCGAAGACGATATCAGAAACGCCATAGAAGAAGAGGAGCGTATGGCAGAGATGGAAGAATTAGCGGCGGTGGTTAAACCGGAAGAAGAAGAAGAAAGCAAAGAGGTTGCCTCTGAAACGCCAAACATGGAAAGATCCGAAAAAGGAAACAGAGAACCCGACCCGAGTCCGGAAGTGATGATGAGAGGGAGTCAACAAGAGGAGAAAGCGAAGACGACGCCGTATAAGGTGTTACCGGATTGTCTACTGCTGATGATGTGCGAGCCAAAGCTATCAATGGAAGTCTCAAAGGAGACTTGGGTCTGCAGTACAGATTTCGCCAGATCTTTACCGGGAAGACCTCCGGCGAAGAAGATGCAAGAACCTGCCGGAGATCATCATCATCATCAACCCAAGAAGCGGATCGTCACAGCCGTTGAATCCAACGCATCTTCTCGCCGCCGCTCAATCGATAGACCACCGCTTCACCAAGCGCTGTTACAGCCGCCTCGGTCATCGTGCTCGTACCCAGCAGCTCCACCTATAATAAGGCCGGCTGCGGCGGTTGGGGAGCAGAAGGTAGCTAATAAGGCATACGAGCCGTCAATGTTGCCACGTTGCAAATCGGAGCCGAGGAAGTCAGCGTCAAAGCTTGCGCCGGAAGCTTGTTTCTGGAAAAATCGGAAGCTGGAGCCGCACCCTCCAGCTACCGTCGGAGTCGGCGGCGCCGGAGTAGGGTTCTAGAAGAGTGGAGGAGACGAATAAAAAAATGTATTTGGCTGTCACAGTAATTTCGAAACACTATTTGTCCTTGTTTGTAAATTTTGTTTTGTTAGTCATAATTCATTTCTTTCACTACGCGCCAATGTTTTTTTTCTCTTCATGAAAATCTGTATCCTTCTTTTGTCCGTTAGTCTAATGTCTCGTCTCTGTGCTAAGATAAAGTCCCATCGAAACTAACAACTAAAACACTTCCCAACAAACATTTACATAGTTACAATGAATTCAAATAATTTTTATATATAAAATATCTCGGTACATGAATATGATATTGATGTTTCATAGTACAGATACAAAGACTCGTTTAATCACCCGAACTTTTTTGATCCTCATTGCTATTATTTACTTGACTATTGTCACCTGATGAGTCTTTAGGCTCTGTTGTGGCCTTATTGTTTTCATCAGATTCTTCGTTGAAAAGTAGTTGGCCAGAGTAAAGAAGAAGTCCGATTGCGTTGACACCGAAAACAAACGTTGCAAGATAGCATATTCCGTTGATGATAGTCCTGCAGAAAAAAAGAGAAGAGAGTTTGGTCTTAGATATTGCGAGAATGGCTTGAGATGAATACAGAGAAAGTGATAAAAAAGCTTATAATTACCTTACGGTAACTGTAATTTGCCTAACCTGCAAAGAGATAAAAGCTTTTAGAGAAGATTAGGGTTTAGACATCCATTCAATAATATATTAGCTAGTTGATAGTACTTATCTTTCACTTTTTGACATCTCAATAATGAACATATACTGATATTGAGACCATGGTGATACTTGGGACACAAAGTACTATACTTGCAAAACCCTAAACACTCCCAAAGCAAAAGATATCAAAAGCAGAGAAGACTAGGGTTTAGACAAGAATAGGTCCTCCACTCAATGAATTTATTAGCTAGTTGATACTTGATACTAATCTATCACTTTTTAATATCTCAATAATGAACATTTACTGATACTGAGACCATGGTGATACTTGGGACACAAGGTACTATACTTGCCAAAACCCTAATCTTCTCTGCTTTTGATTATCTTTTGCTTTGGGAGATAATCAAAAACAGGAGCTTTGACACAAGCAAATCTGCAAATGGATGATTAAAATTTGGTGAAACAGAAAAAAGAAAAACTAACCGAGAAGTTATCAGAAATAGTCTGACGATTGAGTGAAGATTCAATGGTGAGAGTGAATTTGTAAAGGATGAGAGCGATAACTCCTGCTGAGATCGCACCCAGAAACGCCTGAGCCGCCGATGGAGTCGAATTGCCTCCTTCTATCGGAGTTGAGCCCATTGCTTTCAGATTCTCCATTGCCTCTTCTTTCAGCGATTTCTTCGCTCCGGTAGATCTAAATGTCTGCAATTTTTCACATTCAATCAGACATTTCTCCTTCCCAATTCCGCAATTCAAGTAGAGAAACTGATAATTCGATGGTTCTAAAGGAGAAATTGAGAATTTACCAGCTCTTTAGAGCGCTTAGCTCGCCGTCGAAGCGATCGGAAGAGGAAGATAGTGATGGCACCGGTTAGCATTACGCTTGTGGCTAATTGGAGAGGAGAAGGGTCATCGGAAGTGGCAAAAATGGAGTTCGTAGACGAGAACGGAGACGAAGACGGCGGAGGAAGCTCAATGGGGCCATCTTCTCCTTCTCCTTCTTCCTTTACCTCCGCCAAATCGGCGATTTTTTTCGAGGCGGGTAACCGGAATCTATCGGGTCGGGTCCGGGAAAAACCGGAGAGCGAAGGGAATTGAGAGTTGGAATCCGGTGGGCGGTAGAGAGAGATGAGACGCGTCGTCCGGATACGGTGAGGCAGAGAGAAGGCGGGAGTGGTGAAGGAGAAGAGACATTGGTGGCTCTGCAACACTGACATTTTTCTTAGCCGTCGAAGATTTCTTTATCTCGCCATTAACGTCCTCAAATATCCTTGGTCGAAGTCTCTACCTCGTTTAGAGAGTTCTACTGTCAGAGAGACTCTGTTAGAGTAAGAAGGTCCCAGTGACTATTTAAATAGTATTGGGACTTTTACCCTAACTGAATTTTGCTTTTTTTTTTGGCTCAACATCGTACTCTTTATTAACCTCAAAACGATTACAAGGAATTGTCCACATTGACCTGAGTCTTAACCCAATCTGGCACTAAAGAGTACACGTTAGGAGCATTAATCTCTAAAAACAGAGCTTCCTTCGCTATTCTATTTGCCATACTATTACAATCTCTATTCTGAAAAGCAAACTGAACTTTAAATATACTCGATTGATTTTTATATCTCTAAACCCGAAAAAAAATTGACAATTTATTTATAACAAACTTGAAAAAATCCGAAAAAATTGGAAAAAACCCCAAAAGCCCAAAAAAATCCAAATTTAGCGGAACCAAAAACCATTCAGATTTCATGTACAACTCTCGTAAACCGACCAAAATACAAAAAAGTCCAAGCCAAAACTCAAAATATATGAACAATTTCTATATTTCTAAACTCAAATAACCCGATCCATACATGATGTTTGACCCGAAAGCCGAAGTCCCATGCCTTGTAAATACCACGTTCTATCATCATACATTAATTTCACTTGATTGTTTTTTTATCCATTTCGAGTGTATCTTTTCTTCACATAAATTATCGTTATTCCAATTCGCTTTCGCCGTCAAATCACAAAACACACAATAATGTGTTTTCTTTCTTATTTTTGGTAAACTAATAGGTGAATGTTTTTGAACAAAAAAGGAACGAAAGAATATGAAATGAGTTTTATATTTATAGAAACCATTTGTTTGTTAATGATTTCAGCATTCTTGTCGAACATTACTAGCGACGGTTCGAGCCCAGAACTTGATTTGAGCTTTCATGTCTTTTCTCGAATCATTTGGAACCCAAACCGGAAGTGGCTGTCCCACCACCACCGCTGCAGACCGGTTTTTCACGGCGACGGCGGGTGGGACCCTCCCCTGTTCTTCCTCTGCTTTTTCTTGCTTCTTCTCCGATTCAGTGACCAATTCTTTTAACATCTGAATCTCTTTCGTCTCGATGCTGCTTAACGACTTACGCAGCGTCTTGCGACTTGAGCTTCTTTGTGATTTGACCACCATTTCTTGAATAGCCTCTTCTGATCTCGAGCTTCTTGGTGGTCTATGCCTAGGAATGCTTGAAACCTGCACACAATTTTTTCAAACTTTATGATCAATTCAATCAAATATTCAATCATATGATCCAAGAATTAGAAAGAAGATCACCTTTAGAGTGTTTTGTTTCGTTGGAGTAGACACAGAAGAAGAGCTTGCAATGGCTTCACGGATCAAGAATCCCATTCTTGAATCCTCGCACTCTTGATCTTGAAACTCATTTCCATCATCTTCTCTTCCTATGTAAGTCGGTAATGTTTGAGTTCTCTGCAAACTCCCTCCCATCTGGCAACTCTGGACACTATTGTTATTATTACCACATGTTCTACTTCTTATAGAACCTTGTTTAATTGCCTTTTCTCGAACCACAGGTTCCTTCTTCTGAAAGTAAGTTGTTCGTTCTTGAACCCTAATCTTCTCAGAGAACTGTCTTCTCATCTTGTTTATCTTCTCAGGCTCGCCTCCGCCTTCTTTTTTCTCTATACACGGCGGTGGTACCGACTCTCCCTCGGTGGAAGCTTCTAAAAGCTTCTTCTCCGAATCCGAATCTCCAGTTTTTGGGAATTCAGGTTTTGGATGAATGGAAGAAGAAGAGGAAGAAGGAGGAGGAGGAGAAAAAGGGTAAGGATCTGAGTGACAGTACCTCAAGCTTCTTGATCTTCTGTCAAGTAAGTTATCAAAGAACCAGAAATCTTCAAGAAGATCGTCAATGGCTTCGACTTGTTCTTGATGATCATTCGAACTAGGATCCATTTTTTTTTTTTTAATTCAGACAAGAGATAACAAAAAGAGATAAGTGTTTTGTTCTTTCTTTCTTCTTCTTCTTTTGTTAGGTTTGTATTTGAAGCATAGATTCTGGAGACTTATTAGGAGGTGCCCATGTGGGCAACCATTCAGCACTTATTTTCTTGTTTTAATATTATTTTTTATGATTTATGTGGAGTCAATTTTTTGTTTTATCTCATAAAAACACAAAGAAATTTGAGTGAATACAAAAAAGGAAAGAAAATAAATTGAGACATATTCCGAACATATAAGATTCTTTCATTTTCACTTACTCTATTTTAGAGTCGATATTTACTTCCAAGAAACAAGATATTGACTCCACTTTGAGGTCTTGTTTCTCATTAAGGACGTTGCAGAAAACTAAACCGCATTATTTGATAAACTGATAAGCCAAAAGCATTTTTGAAAAAGAAAAAACAATCATTAGGTGTTTTAAGTGGATAATTAAAATAAAATTATAAAACAAATCAGAAGGATTTCTGGCAACAACTAAGAAAAATAAGGTTTCAACAAAAATATGATTGCTAAGAAACGGCATAATAAGCCCTGTCATGACAGTCAACATGCCATGTGATTCATAAACTAATGTGAAACAAATTGGGTTCTATATGTTATAAAATAATACTCTACAGTTTTATGATTTATCGTATTTATATATTCTTTGTTCTCCATCGCCTCCTATGCGACAGCTAAGAATTTTAGTAACCTAATAAATACAAAGATTTTTATAATATCAAAATACACAGGTAATGTAAAAGCATTGAGTCTCGAGCTCTGAACCTATATTGTTCTCCAATTATAGTCTTACACTGCATATGCGATAGTTAAACATTAATTATGTTAATCAGCCGTAATCTTTTGTTGCGTGGCATGTGGCTAAGGCTACTTAGTGTATTTAGCTGCCTACCTGAAGTTTTGTTGACGATGTTTAGAGAAATAATGCAAGTTAGAGGAATCGTAAAAAATGGAACTTGAGTCAAGAAACAGCTAATTTTTTTTGTTTCGTTACCTCTTGATGTTAGAGGAGAAATTAGCACATTTTTCTGAGCCCGTCATCATTAGTAAAGTTACAAAGCTCAATCCGATTTTAGGCCTGACATCTTCAAGAAAAAGACAAGACTTGAAGAGAAAGACACAATCCATGGAGAAATGTAAATAAGTCTTCATGTCGACTCGAAGAATGAAAAAAGATCCAGAACAAGAGGGATTTTCCATATCGTAAAAGAGGAAGTTTTCCATCTCGCCTGAAGAAGAAACAGCTAATTTTTTTTCGTTTTGTTACCTCTTGATGTTAGAGGAGAAATTAGCACATTTCCCTGAGCCCGTCATCATTAGTAAAGTCACAAAGCCCAATCCGATTTTAGGCCTAACATCTTCAAGAAAAAGGCAAGACTTGAAGAGAAAGGCACAATCCATGGAGAAATGTAAATAAATCTTCATGCCGACTTAAAGAATGGAAAAGATCCAAAAACAAGAGGGAATTTTCCATATCGCAAAAGAGGAAGTTTTCCATCTCGCCTGAAGGAGAATATTCATCATTCGGCCGACTTATCAACACTATATATTGAAGACCCCCCATTGGGGAGAGGGATCCGAAATCATCTAGAATCACTAGGCTTTCACATTAGCTTTTACTCTATCCTCTTGTTCATCATCATAATCTCGCTAGGCTTGTTAGCGAGATTGCTCTCTTGTAACTTCTTGATAATCTAAGAGTCGAATTAAGCGTTCCAGTTTCCTAAACTCACATCTTAGATAGCCCGTCTTGACGAGTGCTATCTCGGATTCAACAATTGGCGCCCACCGTGGGGCTGGAAACGCTTCTCGCTATTCATCTCGAAGATATCTAGATTTTCACGAACTAGCAACGATGGGAACTCGAAAGAGAACACTCCCACCGGGAGCCCGTCTCCCTCAGAAGAAAACTTAAGCGACAGTCTACCACGCACGATAGACAAGTCGCTACCCGCTGAAGGTAGGGACAAGCCTGCTCCCTACAAGAACCATCTTCTCGCCACAGAGAGTCTCGCCCGTCTCGCCGCGAAGATCTACTTCGCCGCAACGATCCCCTCCGCCAAGAAAGGACGAGAGCCCCCCTCCGTCCGCACCACGCCGCTCGAGAAAATCTTCCTCGAGCGACAAACCCCGCAGCTCGAAGAAATCCTCCTCGAGCGAGAAGATCCTCAAACTCATGGAGAATCTCGTCAAGCCACTCGCCGACGGTTTCGAGTCAATGCGAGCACAGCAGAAAAAGACTCAGGAACAGGTGGAAGCCCTAGCACGAGAAGACGATGAAGATCCGTCAAGTCCCCTGACGGAACAACCCCGTCCCGCGCACTTCAGGCGACTTACCACCAAGAACTCGAACGGGTGAATCGTCGCCTCGACGAGGTCGATTCGAAAGTTCATCGCGCCACCAGCTCAGCTCCGGAATTGACGAAAGCACTCGCCGACACCCGAAGAAGCCCGCTCACCCGCAGGCTCCGCCAGATTGAGCTACACGAAAGAGTTCGACTCAAAATCGACTCTTACACCGGCGAAGAAGACCCCAAGAAGTGGCTAACCGCGTTCAACCTCGCCATGAGGAGGGAGAAATACAAATCTTACGATGAAAGGGAGGCCAACTACTGTCAAGTATTCGTCGAGCACATGGCGAAAGATGCCTTGACCTGGTTCTCTAACCTCCCCGCCGAGTCGATCGATAACTTCGACGACCTAACCAATGCTTTTCTGAAGCATTACTCCATGCACATGACCCGAATCACTCGGAACATGTTCACCACAACGCAAACCCAAGGCGAACCATTGCGCAGCTTTATGGAAAGGTTCAAACAAGCAGCTCGCGATACTGGCGACATGCCCGATAGCGTCCCGCTGGAAGCACTCCGCAACGGCCTCTGGTACGACTCCAAGTTCAAGGAGGATTTGTCACTAAAACCCCCTGCGACTCTGGAGGACGCGTTCCACCGCTCTCGGAACTACATCTTCCTCGAGGAAGACCAGCGCTTCTACGCCGAGAAACATGGAGATAGGAGGGCAACCTCGTCGAAACCCAGAGAGGAACCCATGGAGGCGCGAAGAAGACACGATCCGAAGAGGTCTCTCCTCACAGCGTTCGCAGCAGCCGACGACGAGTTCGAGCAAGAACACGCAGCGGCCGTTTCGATGCCACAAGACATCAACTCGCTCGGAGATGACAACGATACCAAAGCTTTCTGCAAGTTCCACGGGAACTGGCCACGCCACTGAAAACTGCAAACACCTAATGAGCAACCTCATGCGCATGTACCATCGAGGAGAAATCCCGCCAATGGACGGTGATAGGTCCCAAGGAAAAAGCTTCCCGCCGAAACCACCAAAATCTGGGCAGCAGGAGAAGCGCGGACGACAACCCCGTCCGAGGAAGGATGCAGAAAAGGCGGAAGCCCGCTTGGGAAAAGGAATCGTGATGACCACGACGACCTACCTCCACCACCGAAGCGACAAGTCAGCATGATCATGGGAGGCCTCCTGGATAACGACGATTCCATATCGGCGATCAAGGAATACGAACGAAAGGCCGTCGCGGCACAACGCTACCCGTATATCCATAAAGGGATCCCTACCATCTCCTTTACGGATAAGGATGCGAGCGGGCTGGACATCCCTCACCTTGACCCACTCGTAATCACTCTACAGATCCACGACTGTGACGTCGCGAAGGTCCTGGTTGATACCGGGAGCACGGTGAACCTCATCTTTCTGGAAACACTGAACCGCATGGGGTGGAGGAAGGATCTATCAAACCTACATCCCGTCCCCTCACCGGTTTCACCGCCGAGCATGTTTACAGCTGTGGCACAGTCCGGCTCCCCGTTTATGTCGGCGGAATTTCAAAGCTCTTGAAGTTCATCGTCATGGACAAACCGGCCATCTATAACGCTATCCTCGGCACCCCATGGCTCCATGAAATGAAAGCTGTCATCTCGACGTTCCACCAATGCGTGAAGTTTCCGATACCCTCTGGAATTTTCACCTTACGTGGAGATCAAAGAGTGACGAGATCATGTTTCCTTCGCGAGCGCAAGCTCCGCACCGCGTCGTCCTGTATGATAACCGAGCCAGTATCGGACGACGAGACCAACGAGTCCAACGCAATAAAACGAGCCGCGCAACGCAGAATGCAGATCCCCCGATCCATCGGCAAAGGAACTCCGAGCCCGCCTGGAAATCCGACTTAAGGTCCAGCTTTAGCACTAAACACAAGGATCTCTCCGATCTATTCGAGATGGAGCAACTCGAGGACGAACCGCTACGAAGCTACCTGAACAGATTCAAGAGCGCGCTGCTCGACCTCAGGGACATTCCGGGAGCACCCCCAATCGCGGAACCGGTACTCGTCCAAGCCCTCGGAAACGGACTTCGATACGAATCCGGATTCTGGGAAGATATCCGCATCCGCCCCTCCCCAACTTTGAAGGACGCCTTCCTTCGCGCTGAGAATTACATCGCCTCGAGCAAGACATCCCGCAGCTACGGTTCGACCCCGAAGATCCTCGGTTCCGGCTAAGAAACAAGAGAAAGTCATCATCCTCTCGCCCGGAGAAGTCCACGCATAAAGCACCAAGGTGCCATCACGAATCTCTCCCTCGCCGAGACGACGCCCCTGTCTACGATGACGAGACCAGGAGAAACATGGAGAATCGCGCGAAGACTGATCGCCATGCACCCCCGCAATGCTCGTTCTCCGATCAGGAGATATTCGAGATCATTGCCGATATTCGAAGAACTCCCCTGACAAGCCGCCTATCCGAGGTACCACTGAAGAAGCGCGCTTCACTACACCTAAACTTCTACGACGGCCGAGAAGATCCCAAGCAGTGGATCACATCCTTCATGACGGCCATGAGAAGACAGAATATACATCGCCGGAAGAACAAAGCGCGCACTTCTGCCAAGCCCTCGCCGAACACTTGCGCGGCGACGCCCTAACATGGTTCAGCAACCTCTGTGCCGACTCCATCGACAGCTTCGACGATCTAGCAGCCGCTTTCCTAAAGCAACACCTCCGTTTCGCATTAGACGACCTCGTCTTTTGCAAAACCGATGATGATACGATCTATGGTCTCGGCAAATTCGGCTTCCGACTGGGAAGGACCATTCCGCATCGCGAAAGTCGTCAAACCAGGATCTATCAGCTAGAAGACAACCTCGGCACCACGTCCGATCGCCTCTGGAGCTCGTCGGATCTGCGCAAGTTCCATGACTAGACGCGAAGCACCGCGCTAGCCAAAAAAAAAAAAAAGACATGTCCACGGCATGAACATTTGTAACGAACTACGAATGGCTTGATCCCGGCACGGGTACGTAGGCAGCCTTTCTCACCAAGGGCGCAGCTATAATACTTAATAAAATTTTAATTTTATTAAAACCTTTTCTCTCGACAAGCGCGCCTCATTCTGGCATAAGCTGAAACTTGTCGACACCCAGCACGCACCCGTTTGACGTCAAACCAAGTTATTGAGGCAAACTCAATAAGCACTTGCACTTTGCACCCTAAAAACATGGACTGATCACCCATTCATTAAGCCGAGAGCACGCACCTCGCACGGCTCTCAGTTCGTCGGACGAGCGAAAAACCGCTACCTCGTCACCCGCACGAAGCTTTGAAGTCGGAAGCATAAATCGAGTTTCTAGAGCTCGTCGCTGAAAGTAGGTTTAACATCCTAAGCACACAGACCTAATACGCGCCGGTCGGTGTCTCGAATGAGAAGTCATGACGAAACCCGAAAGCATCGCGTCTAGTCATGACGCACTAGCACCATCACGCGCACCATGTCGTGATACACTTAAAGGTAACGAGTCATCCCGATAATCGAATTTCCTACTCGGTGACGACCAAGTACTTAATTCATTTTATGCGGTTGACGACACCATCGTCCTTTATTAAAAGACATAACCAAAAGCCGGATTACTTTCGTTGCGCTGCGAACTAATCAATTATGTCTAAAAGCCGTGACCGCATCACCACGCAAGCACGCAAGCAAAAAAAAAATCAATACTTAAAACATTTAAGTATCTAGCATAAATCTGAAGCACAAATCCTAAAGCATACGGATAAAAACCTTCCCAGGCAATGTTATTACAACAAAAAGGCCGCAGCCAGAAAAGTCTTAAAACAAATAAAAATGGGGCCTAAGCAGACTTGGCCCCAGAAGTAGAGGGTCCCGCACCCGGATCCGCACCACCACCATCTCGACGAGAAGGAGATCCCGGCAGCACCAGCCGTTTAAGGCTACAAAAGCAGAGCAAACACATAAGCAAACATAACGTACGCAAAGCACGACATAACAAAAAGAAGAAGCAAATCTCACCTGTTAGGCGGAGCGAAGTCATCATCATCGATAACAACTTCGTCAATCGCATCCCCATCCGCGATACTCTTCGCCAGCTTAGCCGCGAGCTTCTCCTCCATCGCGTCGAAGTTCAGATCCACTCCCCGAATCTTCTTCACAAAGTTGAGGAGAGCTTCGTCGACTTGCCTCCTCCCCACAGCGGCTTCAACCATGTCCCGCTGCGCGACGAACTCCGACAAGCGATGGAGGCGAGGAGCATACCAGTCATTCACCGAGTCGAAGACCTGAGTCACAGCCGCCTCGACCGATCTCGACGAGACCGTCGGAGACGCTCCATCTCAGCAGCAGAAGCCTCTGCATCCCGACGCGCCTCCTCCAGATCACTCACTTGAGCCCTCAGCTTGTCTGCTACCTCCTGGAGTCCGAGAGTCTTCACTATCTCCCTGTTCAGCGCCGCGACCTTCGACTCAAGCACCAGTTTATCCTGCTGCAATCAGCCACCATTGTATCGACATCCTTGGCCATCTCCCGCTCTCGCCGCAACACAAAGGCTTCGTCCTTAGCTGCCCGAAGCGCCGTCTCGTACTTCTGGACCAACGCGGTGAACTTCCCGCCAGACATAATATGATGTTGAGCAGCTTCGTCGAAATCGGTCCTAAAGGTGAGCTCCTCACGCGGAATCCCCAAGCCGGGATGAACTTTAGACATCCAAGTCGCCCCTCCGCAAGCATCCTGGTCCTCCATAAGAGGACTCCCGCCATTCCACCACGTCTTGAACGCGTGAGGATTATAGCCCTCAGGACCATCCTTTGGAATTCCGGCGCCACCCTCAGCACCGAGGTTCGAGCCAGGAGCAAAACCACCCGCCTCCGAGTGACGAGACACCGCCTCATCATTCTCACCTGGACGCCGAGATGATTCCCCTCCTTCGAAACCACCACGATCACGCCGGTCAGAGGAGGGAACGCCGCCACCAGGGGTGAGGAACTCGTCCCCCTTAGAAGGCGAACCACCACGCGCCGGAGTCCTCAAACCATCATCGTGATGAGAAGCACTCTCATCGTGATGGGAAGACTCGTCATGGTCCGAGGAAGGAGGAGAGTCAAGCTCGATCACTTGCTCCGGAACGCCCTCAGGAACAGAAGTCGAGGCTTTCCTCGTCGAAGCCCTGCAAAGAACGTCCACGATTAACATCGGAATTCCTATCTCCTGAAGATCCATCAATAGGCGACTTACCTCGTACGCGACGCAATGGAAGAGCTCCGAAGGGGAGAAGGAGGAGAATCCCTCAGTCTGGGGGACTCGACCCTTTTCTTTTTGGGCGCCGGCTCGGAAGCAACGACAACGTCGTCAATAGGCACGGCCGCTCTCTTCCTAAGACCCATCGATTTCTTCTTAGAACGGGATGGCTTCGCTGCTGCAAAACAAAGCAAAACGTTAAGATACCCGAAGATAGAACCAAGCAAAAAAAAAAGAAACGAAACGCTTACTAGATATCGGAGTCGCAGGGATGGCAGATTTGTTTTTCCCTCCCTCTTATCTTTCCTCTCTTGCTTTTCTTCTCAAGCGCCGCCACTACCTCAGGCCACAATCGATGGCTGAAGCTCCTTCAGCAGCCTAACTTCTCCTTGAGTTCGCCGTTCGGTCTCGCTCGCCTGGACGGTCCTGCGAAGACAACAAACAACATCAGAAAACGCAAACTCAGCAGCATAGATAGCAATTCTAATCAAGAATTCTACCCGGTGATTTAACCCATTCTGTCCTAATCTGATCAGCTTTGATCTTCCCGACTGAGGCTCGGTTTATCTTCACAAAGAAGAAATATTTCTTCCACCAATGAATCTTGTTTCGGTAATCCCCGAAAACAATATCATACTTCATCGTGGTATGAAACCGCTTGAAGTTTCCCTCTCGCGACGAAGCCCGGAGATCAGTAACGTGCTCAAATAAGAGACGGTCGAATACAACTCCGGCGGCTCTAGCCAGGGCCTCGGTAAAAACGATGTGGCGAACCACGCCGTGGGTCAGTTGACTCGTAGGACGCCACGATCAGCCGCAAATTGCAAAAATAGAGGAGACAGAGGGAAGTTCATCCCAAATTCGGTGAACATACACTCGTAAACGCACATCCACCCAGCCGGAGCGTCGTAGGGCCTTTCGAGATGGCCAGGGATACGAAACTCCACGGAGTCAGGAACTCGGCCTCCGCTATGAGGTCTCGAAGGATCTCCTCCGTCATCCACGACCTCCCATCGTGGATTAGGCCCGTAGGCGGCGTACGACTCGGCATCTTGATTACATCCGGGATGCCCTCGAGTCTCGCTTGGCTGACGGCCCCGCTCTTCGTCTTCATCAGAGTCGGTTTCGTCGCCGGAATCATGCTCTTCCCCCTCCCTCTGTCTCTCAGTCTCTTCCCGACGCTCGGCTTCGGCGGCGACTCTCGCCGCTTCCTCCATCTCAGCCATCTCGACCACCTTCTCGGCCTCAGCAGCGGCCGTCGCTTCGTCCACCGCCGTCTTCCTGCGACGCTCCGCCGCATCCGCTTGGATGGCTCCACCAAGAAGCCTCTCCGGACGAGCGGAGGATCGCGTCGACGCGCAATCGAAGCAATCGTCTCATCGCCGTCATCCATGGCGATGCCCTTTCCCTTTCTGTCTTTTGGATTCATCTCAATTGAATGAAGAATCGGAAAAACTCGACGACCGAGACGAAATATTTGACGAATCGAAAACCCTAAAACCCGAATCGGCGGATGAGAAGACGAAATCGGAGCACAACCTAACTAGATCCAAGCAATTCGTAATTCCCTAGTCCTAAATCCCGGAGAATCGATTCGAGAAATCAATCGAGGCAAGATTTGAAGTCGGTTGCGGAAGTTACCTTTGATTCGTCGGGACGGTTGAGTGAGAAGAAGAAAAGAAGCAAAAATGAATAAAGGAAATTCGAACGGTCTCTTAATAGAGATCGCGCGACTTCCAAGGGACACAACTGCCCTTATGAATTTTTTATTCATTTCTTTCCCGCTCAATGGAAAAGCATTAATGGGCTTGGGCCTCCGCGATTTAATCGACTATCGGACTCAGCCCACGCAATTGCAAACAGGTCCGCTTGGGCAGTGACGTGGCAAAATCGCCCAGTCACAGCTGAAAACCGAACCCGTCATAACATTCGAACCAAGAAAGCATTTTTGGTCGCGGCAAAAATCATTCGAAGCACATTACTCGTGAATTAGATGACGTCAACGTACTCTTTTTCCTTTTTATGGTTTTTGTCCCAATTGGGTTTTTCCGTACCAAGGTTTTAATGAGGCGGCACGAATCTACATTCAGCATGCACCTAGGCACTAAGATCCGATTGAAGTGATGTATTTTACTAATGATTCTCAAGCTCGTCCTCTATTCATGAAGCTCGCCGAGATCAAACTACATTTGACCTGCCGAGCTGGCGGGGGGACTTATTGTTAGAGGAGAAATTAGCACATTTCCCTGAGCCCGTCATCATTAGTAAAGTACAAAGCCCAATCCGATTTTAGGCCTAACATCTTCAAGAAAAAGGCAAGACTTGAAGAGAAAGGCACAATCCATGGAGAAATGTAAATAAATCTTCATGCCGACTTAAAGAATGGAAAAGATCCAAAAACAAGAGGGATTTTCCATATCGCAAAAGAGGAAGTTTTCCATCTCGCCTGAAGGAGAATATTCATCATTCGGCCGACTTATCAACACTATATATTGAAGACCCCCCCATTGGGGAGAGGGATCCGAAATCATCTAGAATCACTAGGCTTTCACATTAGCTTTTACTCTATCCTCTTGTTCACCATCATAATCTCGCTAGGCTTGTTAGCGAGATTGCTCTCTTGTAACTTCTTGATAATCTAAGAGTCGAATTAAGCGTTCCAGTTTCCTAAACTCACATCTTAGATAGCCCGTCTTGACGAGTGCTATCTCGGATTCAACACTTGAGATTTAATTTACCAGTCTGTAACAACAAATCACAAGAAAATACCAACTGTATGAGATAAAAAGGATAAAAAGATCAGTCGCACTAAAAAAGCTTCATTTCAGTTGCAATCAACTGTATGAGAGAAGCAAGGCAGAAAGTATCATATTTACAGTGCAAAACGATATCGTCTTCAGTAGTACTCACCGGAACCAATATTCCATCTCTGAAAACGAATACTGGTTCAAGCCAGGTCTTAGGGCTTGGATATGTATTAGCTTTATCTAAATCCATTTGCTCTTCAGAAGAATGACTACAACACTCGACCGAGGCAAGAAAATTTCCGGGTAAGCTTTTGCAAGAACATGCTTGATCTTCAACATTTGCTTCCTCCGTAGTAGCTCCCTTGTTCTTGGAAGAGATGAATTTTCTAACAGCAGCGATAATCTCCACTGATAACGAAGACACTGCATCGTGTACACCATCTGTTGTGATGTCACTCTTACCAAGTCTCAATTCTCTAGTAACTAATTTATGCATTAAATCTTGGAGGATGGAGACGCACTGGGAGCAGCAGCGGTACAAACACACCAAACTAGGTTCGTCGATAGGACTAGTGCTTGAAGGTTTAACTGGTTCGGCTACGTTGTTCGCAGATTCTGAGCCATTAACTCCGACCGGCGCTTCACCAGTATATGAGTCGGCTGATTTGTGGGGATCTTTCAGGGTGATACTGTTTTGGGAATCAGATTTTCCTTGCATAGCAGTGGCCACTCCTCTAGTTTCTACATCGCACGATCCATGGTGAGTTTCATCTTGTCCATCGCCAGCTGCAGCAGAGTTAAGATCAAGAAGACCAGCCTGAGGAAAGGAACTTACTCCTGAATCCTCAATCATCATTTCAGTCTTCGAAGTGACATCGCCATTCTCTTTGACCAAAGTTAACCCATCCGTACTGTGGGTCGTAGGAGGTCCGCTATCTTCAAAAGGTTCAGGGCTTGTTCCGGTATGTGCATTTGTAATCTCTACCAGTGGCTGATGATTGTCTGTAAGAACACTAGATGCTACTGGACAATGCATATTTTGGGTTTCTTCTTTTGGGTCTTCCTCTGGCTCTTTTGATTGATCAGATGTTCCTTGCTCAGTTGGCTCCTTGTTCAATGGAATCGTACCTTCTGTTTGAGCATTAGATTCGAAACTGTAAACAATGACGTTGTGTTAGATATGCAGCACGTGTTAGAGCAAACATACATAAAACCAAAAAAAATATTTCAAGGCATACCTTCGCATTGCATATACCCAACTATTGACCAGATCTTCCAGATAAGCAACTTGAGACAGAATTCTGATATATCGACATCTGTCCTTTCCAGCCTCGATTTTTACATTGATCCGCCCAACTAAGAGCTCAAGAACTTTCCGTACCTCAAAGGAGACTTCCCTCAGTGATACATAGGTTTCTCTATACGCTGATAATCCAACAGCAACGAGGCCTCTGACAATGCCAGATAAGTCTTTGCCTTTCACATTGTTGGAACCGGAAGCAGTAATAGTTTGCTCTGATGAATTAAGTGGACGAATGATACACGAATTAAACGGCCATCCTTTCCAAGGACCAGAAACATCTGCACTTGGCCCTTCCTTAAGCTTTGATGTCACCCAACAAAGCTCAGCAAATTGAGGATACCGTAGAACTTGATAACCAAATGAGGATACAGCTAACTGAAGGCTTGATTTTGTTTTCACATTTACGCTGATAGGTAATGTTGGCACTTTTAAGGAACCATCATTAAGTGGTTTTGATTTAACAGCTGCCTCTTCCTCTGCACCATGATCAGCATTATTTGGATACGTTGCATCTCTGCAACCCTGGTCAGGATCCTCTCTTTTGTATTTCTTCTGTAACTCATACTGAGTATGGGTTTCCTGATGCACCAAATGAAGAAACACTTGGATTGCCCGCCTTGACAACTCAGTAGCAGACAGGTCAATGGCCATATCCTGGTCGGAATTTTCAACAACTTGTACAGTGAATTGTGGAACAGCCTCAGACATAGTTGGCTGATACTCCTTTGATAGGTCGGTCTTAAAGAACTGTTGTATCTTAAGAGGCAGGAGTTTGTAGGGCCTGCTTGAAGTAGCCTATCACCAAAAAATAACCAATATTTAGTCTCAAATGTTCAGTCTTCTCAGAGACTAAACAACAGAGAGAGAATACAAAGGTTTGAAAATACAGAAAGACATAAAAAGCAAAAGTAAACATATACGCAAGGAATCCAGACAGCCCATTATCAACTGCCAAAAGAAGGAAATCTATTGTAGAAAACGACATTGAAGAAGTTAAGCATACCAGAATCATCATCTTTGTGGAAACTCGCAATGATTCTACTTGCTCCAAAAATGTGTTCCAAGCACGTGAAACTCGAGCAGAATTCTGCACCTCCATTTTCTCTACCGTTTCTAGACAAACGGGAGAAGAATTTTCTTTAACAGAATCATCATCACACTCGACCTCCTCATTAGAAGGAGTTTCTGCCTCCACAGCCCACAAGTCAATCCTTGGCATGAATACCACACATGATTTCCTGCTAGCACATTTAACTACACGCAGACCAGATATACCAGTTAGTAAGTTAACCAGAAATGGGTTAGAACCAAGCAAATAAAGTTACAGATGGTGAAAGACTACAAGAAGAAAAAAAATGTACGTAGTTGCCTAAATACAATCATCAGGGAATTAACAGCATGGAACGTTTAATAATGAAATACGTACTTAACAAGTGAGTTACGCCTAGCACCAGATCCCCATTTCCTTCTTGTGAAATTGTTGCTGTGTCTATCTTCTGCATCTCTGCATTTCCAATAAAACATTGCAAGATACAAGACGCAAGATGTCGTTGACCAGATTTAGGTCCTCCAGCAATAAGCAGTTGGAACCCTGACTTGCTCATTGATTCTACAGAAGCATTTCCCAAAAGTCCAGGATGTCGGCCGACTCTGTGTCCTATGAATTGTGCAGGACCCAAACTACAGTCGCCAGCACCAGGGGTGCTTGCAACAGATCTAACCAAGTCACATCCTCCTTCCAGTAACCCAGCATAAGACAGTCTTTGAGCTATATCTTTTACAACATCTACCTCCTGGAGAAGGCTCTCAACATGAGACCACCAACAACCCTCAGTTATCTTCTTGTCACTCAAAGCAGAACGGATCACATTTTTGACATCAACTGCAGCTTTGGAAAGAAGAGGTGGTAGCAGGATGCGTTCTTCAAGATGAAAAGCAACCAGTAGAGAACACAACGGCAGCAATAAAGAAGGCACCAAGTAAACAGGAAGAGGAGAAGAATATATATCGCTAGCTGCTACTCCTGCTCCTCTACGTGAACATGGAGGTGGGGAGCGGGATAAAGCTTCCAACCAATCTCTTTCTTCAACTGAGAAGGATGGAAGAGCAGCATGATTACTACTAGATATTCCCAACTCTGCAGCGGCCAAAGATTCTTGCAAAGGAAAACTCCTATTTAAGGCAATCATGGCAGCTTGTGTGCAGAGAGCTTGTATATCCGCCCCAGCAAATCCGGCAGTTTCTTTAGCAATCCACTTGAGTAAGTATCCAGACACCGGCTTGGGCCACTTCCTAGTATGGAGTGAGATGATTGCAGCCCTATCGTCGACTGCTGGCAGTGGAAAATAGATCTCCCTATCAAACCTCCCAGGCCTTCTTAATGCTGGGTCGATAGCATCAGGATAGTTTGTTGCACCTATGACCACCACTGAGCCACGCGACTTTAAGCCATCTAATAAAGCGAGCAATGTGGATACGACGGAGCTATGTGTTTGATCTTGCTGCCTTGACCGCTTGGGAGCGAGACCATCTATTTCATCAAAAAATATGATGGATGGTTGACATTTTTCAGCGACCTGAAATAAGAGCCTCAACTGGCGCTCCGCATCACCAACGTATTTTCCCAGACAGTCTGCCCCTTTGCGGGCAAAGTAGGCAATCCGTCTATTACCACGAGCAAGGGAACCAATCAGCGCTCGAACCACAAGAGTTTTTCCAGTTCCAGGATGTCCATGCAAGAGGATACCTCGTGGAGGTGTAAGTCCAAGGTTGTCAAAGAATTCTGGATATAGCAAGGGTAAAAGAACAACCTCCTTCATACATTGAGTTACACCCTCAAGCCCAGCAACAGAGTCCCATCCCTCAAATGCCTTTCCATTCTCAGAATCAGAGCCTCCGATATACTCAGGAGCAACTCTTAACAGATCTCGATGTAGTCTCTTGCTTTCACGTTTTAAAAACTCTTCATCTTCACCACATTTCTCTAACCACTTTTCTTCCGCTTCCACATCCTTACGCCAGGCATCATTTGAGTGTTTCTTCATCTCCAATCGCATCCTCTTGGCTTGCATCTTCTTCATTCTGGCTTGACACTGACGACCATGGGGTTGGAAATGATGCCTATGGTCTGTGCAAGCAATGAGAAACTTACGGTGATCAAAGATGCAACCATTAGCTCGTGCACAAGGCTGCAAAATACACAACACCACAAAGAAGTTGTCAGAACATGATACAGTAACATTTACAGCTGCAAGTTTATTAGCCTATATCTCAGAGGTGAGGAAGGGGAAACAAGAGAAGGATTAGTAATAAACCAGATGATAGGTTCTTGGACATCGATCAACCCGACAACCGATGGTTGCTCCAGGTCTTGCACAGCGAGTGCATTTTAATGACTTCCCTCTATAAAGTGCCGCCCTTATGTTCTTTAAGCGTCCTACTCCAGCAAAGTAAACCTGCAGTACAAGAGTATTGAACAATAACGTCTACAGAAAATAGAAGGAAAAAGGAAGACAGTAAGAGGCTAAAAGCATAGTTTAAATAAGTAAAAAACAGTGTTGAGAACCTTTGTATGGTTAAATCAAAGAATACAAAAACTAGAAATCATGAAAATTGACAAGCCTTTTTGTATATTCTGCTCTTTAACTGTTATCTTAAAGTTTTCATCAAGAAGAGCAATGAAGAATACACCATGTCAGAGATATATCAATTAATGATTAAGCGAGAGAAAAACGGAGAACTGAAAAGAGAAATAAACACTAATACTAGCACACTAAGCAATCAAAAGGCGACTTGTGTCATAAAATTAAAACCACACATTACCTCGGGACTCCATACGGCACAGTGCTGATGAACCCAAGTACCAGAAATTCCATAACGATCATTTACAGGGCCCAATAGACGGCCAAGCCATCCAGGATCATCGCCAAAACCATCCAATATGTCATAGTTTGGCTCTTCTGAAGATGAAGACCCGCTATGTGCCTCTATGTCACTGTCAGCATTATCTTGCATCAACTTCTTCGGGGGTTTGCCATCAGTGCCAACTCCACATAAACCACAGCGTCTAGCTTGTTTCAAGAGAGGCTTACCAAGCTTATCTGATGAAGTGCAAATTGAGTCAACTACCTCGTTGCAAATTTCATTCTGAATGGGCAACTCGTCAAGCATTTCCACAGTTTCACCCTCTCTATCAAGAGACTCACTATGCTCTTTGGTCTTATCGGTAGATGGTGTTCTAGAAACACCTTGTTCTCCAATGTCATCATTCTGCTTCAAACTCTCATTAACCTCGATGCAAGCTTCCCCTAGTGCTTCAGGATGTAAAGAATCTCCTTTATCTTTCTCAACTTTATCAGCAAAACCACTATCATCCCCTAGTATACCAAAGCAATTTCCACTTTCAGAAACCATTACACCCACCTCCTTACTCTCAGTTCCTTCAACTTCCATCTCAATCTCATTTTCCAATCCTTCCATTTGATCCCCATTCTCATTTTCCACGCCTTCAATTCCAACTTTAGTATCTGCTATTGTTCCATCCGCATCAGCTTCAATCTCACTTCCTGTCTTCTCTGCACTACCCTGTGTCTCACTTTCCCCCTCTTCATCACTATCCTCAGTCTCATTCTCAGTACCGTCTGCTCCATCCTCACTCTCGGTCTCCGTCCCATCAACTTCAGCTTCATTTTCACTCTCTAAAACAACGGACCTTTTAGTAGTCTTCTTCTTCTTCTTCTTCTCATCCCCCTCTTCAGCTTCACTATCAGCCTGCATTGATTCCTCTGACTCGCTAGCACTCTCATCTTCAGCATTACTATCATCTGACTCTTTTTCCCCATCTTCTGAACTTTCAGAATCATTAACTTCCACTGGCCTTTTTGTTTTGTTCAGCTTCCCACCATTGGAAGCTCCTCTTTCCTCTCCCCTTTCTCTTGCAACTGATTTTTCTTTCTGGAAAACGAGCTTTCTTTTCCCCTTTGCCACACCTCTCTCTCTCCCACTCCCTTGAAAACCAACGTTCCTCCTCCTTGCCCTCAATCTGGATTTCCATCCATCCTCCAAATCACCATTCTCCTCCTTCACCACTCTCTCTCGACTACTACTCCCTTGGGACCTCTTACCCCCGTGGCTATTTAAACGCCGCCTTTTCTTTGGAGGCGGAGGAGAAGCGTCCAGGAAGGACGGTATCCGCCTGACCCTAGAGCTCCGCCTAACTTCAGACTCACCATCTCCATCTTTCGACTCTCCATGGTTTTTGTTGTATACCTCCTCACATATTGCAGCAAGCTTCTTACTCTTCTTCTCAGAAGGAGAACCCGGACGATTCTGATGCTTCTTCACCTCACGCGAGGATCTCATGACAAAAATCAACAGGCATTCAAATACGCAGGCCGATCAAACGAACATAAGAGAATCAAGCGCTCACCGAACCTCTTCCGAAATTAAGCTCGCGAGGCAGTCTTACTTCGGCCACTGCGACGGAGATGTTTAAAAAGACGCAGCAGAGCGACTAGGCTTTAGCTACATGATCAGCCCAAAATTGCAGGATCCAATCCGAATGAACGCAACCCTAGATCTTAATTTCAACTAATTTAACTTGTGAATTAAAAAAATTAGGACTGACGTGATACAGTCGAGCTCTTTTTCTTCCGATGATCGCTCCTCCGCAATTACACTCGGGGACTTAGGTCTGCACGGTGAGCCTAGTCAAATCAATACGAGAAATTTGGCCAGAAAATTAAGTCCTATGAAATTTGAATATTTTAAAACAATTTTCTTGTAAGATGTTTTAAAAAAAACACAATTTTCTTTTACTAATTTTCGTCCGTTATATTTTACAACCACGCTCCTTAGAAGCGCGTGAATCCCAAGGACCAATAATGTCTAAGTTTTGCTTAACAGAACCTACACACTGTTCTAAAGGCCGAGATTGGGCCTCTTCATGGGCCTCCTTATTGTTTTGGTAGTTCTATGATCATCTATCAAAACTTGCCGCCAAGCATTGAAGTTTCTTTTTCCTGCCAATTTTTTGAACAATCTCTGCCAAATTGCATTGTCTTGGAGAAAGAGAGACTTATCATCCTTTCTAATACACTTAAAAAACTTGATTGAGTATTTATGATGGGTCATCAAGCTTATTTCTCCTTCAAAGCTTGCTTGATCCTGTTCTTGAACAGAAGAAACTCGATGTTTCATAGATTGGACTTGAGCAAAGAAACTTGTGATCATGAGAATTTCACCATCCTGAGAAATCTCAAGACAGGTTAAGATATATCAGGAGAAGAACAAAAACGATAGGTCATGACTCATGATCACGAAACATAAGTACAACAGAAATGAATATGAAATTGACCGAAGTACAAGCCCAATCTTGGAATGCAAAATCACCAACATCAAGTAAATTATGGTTAGGTATTTGCCAGATGAAGTAAGCCAACGAAGTCCTAAAGTAATTGTACTCAAACAAATCTGTGATGAAAAACACACAGCTAATCTAAACTCACAAGTCACAATAGTGTAGGTGAAAATAACAGATCTTCAGCTAAACTCTTTGACCAGAGATTTTGATGGACCAACCTAAGAGATATGTAAGCTCTTTGGAATTTCACCACCTGAGGTTGAGGTAGAGACTTCTTTGTAGCCGCTCAAGATTCAAGAACCAGTTACATTGTTTCAAAAATTTCAGCTTTAGTACGAAACCTAGTAGTATGCTCAACGGAAGTAATCAAGCTTATCAATCCAATCACCAGTAGTCCCCACAGGAACAACGACCATCTTCAAAACTGTGAAACCGAACAGCATCTCTCACAACAAACGACATCTTCAAGATCTTAGACAACCCCTTGATAAACTCATGACAGTCCACGCATACCCTCAAGTTCTTGAACACTCTTATCGTCTTCCCTTCCTGGCTCAAACCGCCTGTTGCCAACGCCAGACCAATCGCTAGCTTCTCGCTGTGAGCTCTAAGGTTCTCCTCCTTCGACTCGTCGTCTATATCATGCAATTCTTGCTTCACGCCATAGACATACCCCACTTCTTCCTTCATTCTTCTTTCAACTTCTCTCAAAGTCTCCTGGATCCCAAGCGTCAGTGGATGTGAATCATCTCCGCTACGGAAGAAATGTACCTCTCTCTCAATCTCCACCCAGCTCATACCAGCTTCTTTCTTCAACCCTTTCCTCTTCCCAATCTCTCGTGTCCTCCCATGTTCGTTCCAATAACCGGCTTGTCCATAAAGGTTAGCCACCATCACGTAATTCGCAGGATTTTCACCATCCATCCTCAAAATAATGTCACCAACTTTCTCACCTAGCTTGATGTCCCCGTGTAACCGACATCCGCTAAGAAGTGTTTGCCATATTCCCACATTTGCTTTCACCGGCATTGTGTCAATAAGATGTTTAGCTTCTTTCAAACGACCAGCTCGTCCTAATAGATCAACAACACACGCATAGTGTTCAACCCTAGGTTTGATCCCTCGTGTCTCTACTAACTTGGATAAAAGCTCTTTGCCTTCTTCGATCATACCTGAATGGCTACAAGCTGAGAGTATAGCTAAGTAGCATACATCATCAGGTTCAATGTTATGTCTCAACATTTCGTTGAAAACACCAACTGCTTTTTGGCCAAGCCCATGCTTCCCATAGCCAGTGATCATCACCGTCCAGGAGATCACATCTCTCGATTGCATCTCAGAGAAGCATCTCTCAGCTTCATCAACGAATCCACACTTGAGATACATGTCCACCACTGAATTTGCAACAGATGTTTCTAACCCTGATGGGAGTTTCACAGCAAGTCCCTGCATTTGCTTCCCTTGCCGCAAGAGCGCAAAATCAGCAAAGACTCCAACGATGCTAGAAAGAACAAAACTGTCAATCTGAGAGTTTAGCTCTCTAAATCGCCTAAACAAACCCATAGCCTCCACAAAGTCACCTTCTTGAGCATATCCAAGAATCAAAGAACTCCAAGAGATCATTGTCTTCTCCTTGATTTGCTCAAAAGCTCTCCGAGCACCAAAAAGATTACCACACTTGACGTAGAAATCAACGAGAGAGCCAGTGATGGTTGCGGAGCTCTGACATTGGAACCCACTCCTGATCAGAAACCCATGTATCTGTTTCCCTCCATGAATCATACCACTGCTGCTGCAAGCCTTTAACATACTCGTCAATGTGAACTCGTCAGGTCTTTCTCTAACCTTTGAGCCTTGCATCTCACGAAACGTGGCCAAAGCTCTCCCACCACAACCCGTATTCACATACCCAGCTATCATCGCGTTCCAGGTGATAAGACTTTTATCAACCATGGAACGAAACACTCTCTCAGCTTCGCTGATTCTTCCACATTTCGAGTACATGTCAACTAAAGAATTCCCAACCTCAACCATCGTCTCGTAACCAATCTTCAAGCAAAACCCATGGATCTGCAACCCCTTTTCAATTGCGTTAAGCAAGCCGCAAGCTTTTAGATTCGTGGAGAAAGTGAACTCGTTCGGGTCAACAACACCATGACGCTTCATTTCAGCGAAGAGAGATAAGGATCCGTTAAGGTCGCCGTTGAATACATGTCCACTCATGAGTGCAGTCCACGAAACGACGTTTCTCTCAGGCATAGTGTCGAACACCTTGTGAGCAATGAAGGGCTCTCTGCATTTGCTGTACATGTCGATAAGATAATTGCTCACGATCAAATCCAACGCTGATCCAGACTTGAGAAGAAAACCATGGACTTGACCCCCTTGAGAAGAAAGCTTCTTCCTTGTGCAAACCCGCAAGATTCTAACGAGTTCTGGTCGCTGATTCAGAATCATCGGTGAAAAAATGTCTTCGTCCAAATGACGCCCGATTCTAAGATTTGTTTCTAGGAGAAAGTACAAACATACAATTCGATGGCGCACGAACGAATCATTCAAGTAGAGACTTGAGTGAAGATGAGTGTGACAACATAAACCTTCGTTAAAGCCAGAGTAGTTGAATCTCGACCAATAGGATTCGAGTTTTATTTACTTTCCAATTGAAACAGCACACAAAACTGAAACATTTTTGGTTGGGCCAGGCCTATGATAATTTATAATTAATTGCATTTGAAAATATGTCCGTTAGGAAAGTCTCTCTCTCGATGACCACTTGGCACTTGTAATCGGAAAAGTCCGTTTCTTTTCTCTAGATTGTTGAATATTTTAAGGATTTGATCTGATTTAGTGTTTTTGCTATTTAATTTGATTCTCCATGAAACTGATGCGATCGATTCGATTGTGTTTCTCCCTCTTCCTCTTCGCAAATTTGATAGCGTTTTCATAAACGCTGTGTTAGCCGGAGCTATTATAGGTCACCACCATATGATAGCACTTTTTTCATGTGCTATTACAAGTTTGTCTATTATAGCGTATAATAAATGATATAATTTTCTTTGTTGTAGCTCTTTTACTAGGCTATAATATATTGTTTAGTAGCTCTATTTTGTAGCTATAATTTAAAATATAAGAGCCATATTTTGCTGCTATAAAACACTGATTTTCGGTATGCTATATATACTATTATTGTTGATACACACCATTTAGTTTGAGATATTCATATTTGTTATACATTTGCAAGAAACCTGATTTTTCATAGAATTCAATATATATATAGAAAAACTCAATACAAGCCTCAATCCTCAACAAATATTACAAGTCTCACTCAGTTCAAGTCTTAACTAACAGTAGAATCCAAACTCCATTTCCTTGCTTAACTCTGGCATGTACTAAACTCAAATTCGCTTGTGGCTTACTGCTCCATTACCACTCTCTTCGGCTTCATCTGGATCAATGCTCAAGAACATTGTCAATCATCTAATCCTAGCAAAACAAAAACCGCCAACAAGTTATTTTCCTCAGCAACTGTAGCCCACAGGAGGTTATACTGTGAATCATATGTCAAGAATACATTAATCAATAACCACACAAAGCGCCATAAAAGTGATGTCAAGAATATCACTTCTTGTACGAAAATCTAGTAAGTACAAAGAGGAAAGTGAGTTCTAACCATATCATCACCGGCTTTAGCCTACACCTTTGGATACGCAACATCTATCATCAAAATAGTGAAAACGTTTTATTGACAGATAGCCAAACCTTGATAGAAAGTGGTGCAAACAGGAAGTTTTGTGGTGCTTAAAGATCACTGTTTCTGCTCTCCAATTTCTCCAGATTAGCGTCTTTGCAGCTTATCACTGGAATATAGAACAGCATAAAACCATATAAGTATCCATCAAACGCCTCATTTCTCAGCTAAAAATGAATACAAAAGCACAAAAGCACTAACTCAAAAATTAAAAAACAAAACACAGACACATACTAACAAGCAAGGATACAACAATTCCTTAGCCAATTAATTACAACAATCAAAGAATAGAGTAAGGTAGAGTAGTATCTTCTTACATAGCCATTGAACTCTTGAGCAGCTGCCTCAACTTCAGAGACTGGCGACATAGTCACGAATCCGAAACCCCATCTTGGTCCTGGTACTTTGTCATAGATTACCTGAAAAACAAAGAACTGAAAAACGATTCATCTCAACAACACAGCAATCTTTATCATTGTGATGCAACATAAACTACTTAAACCCCAAAGGATAACAATCTCTTTTAAGAAAACTATACCTCACAAATTAGACATCACATCAATCCGCAAAATAGAATTCTGAACTCGTCTCTCAACCATCTCAACAGTTCTGGCGCTCTTGAACAGCTAGGCTAACTGAGAACTGTAGACATTAAAGGGCAATACATCTTTCTTCGTGAATTAGCTACCACCAAAGTAGGAATCGTTATTAGATTAGAGTCGTAAAAAGAAATCAAGCAAAGATGCTAAAGCATTGAGATTTTTAGTTTACCTCAATCACAACTGCTTTGAAATTCAAAGACCCCAACAAACTCTGAAAAACACACAAAACCCAGAATTTTTAAAAATCAAATGCACAATAAGAAACGAGGTCCAAGCTATGAAACAAAAGAAGGAGCAAGGCAAGGAGAATACATATGTCCTAATCGGAATCAATCCAGGAATCGATCCAGCAGAAGGATAAATTTCTGCTTTCTAGTCGGGATTTTCGTTAGTGCCGTCGCGAGACTGAAGAGACTGACGGGGAAAGTCGAGAGACGTTTGCTCTTCTTCCTCGTCTAAAACCCTAATTTTCTAAGGGATAAGCAGGAGAGAGATGATGAGAGAGGGCTATCACAAGATTGAGGAGCATCTCCGATCGGAGATGATTGAGGAGTAAATCGGAAATGAAGAGGATAGAGGGAGGAGAAGAAGGTCGCACTCGCAAGAGATCTGGTTTTTTTTTGTACAGAAAAGGCTTGTGACCTTTTTTTTAAGTGTCGAGGCCTATGACAAATTTGGAAAAATTAGGCTCCAATAGTTCCCGGTTACTGAAATTTCGGCATAGCATTTAAAAAATGTTATAATAGAGTACCCTAAATCAATATACCCCTTTAATAGCAGTTACGAAAACCGTGCTATGGTAATCTGCTATCAATGTCCATATTTCTTGTAGTGTTGGTATTGCTTGGTAGTGCATGCCTAAGAGAAGGAAGTTAGGGGATGGGAAATAAACTATGGTTGTTAATTGCCTGGAGTGGAAAAAAACAACCACGGCTTATAAAAGGCTTATGAAAAAGTATTTACGACAAAGAGTAGAACAACTGAAAGAGTATACTTTACTTTGGTACCCACGGCTTTTTGTGAAAGTAGTGAATCCCTTGATTTACTAAGTACCCTCGGCTAATAAAAGTCTTCAGACAAAGACTGAAAACGGATTCACTACTTTACTACTAGTACACACGGCTTATGAAAATGTCTTTTAAGACAAAGAACCAAATACTATGCGGATTCGTTGCTTTAAGGGTTAAAAAAGGCTTGAGACAAGGACTTGTTATTGCTTGGAAAAGGAAGTTAGGGGATGGGAAATGAAACACACGGGTTAAAAGTCTTTAGTGAAAGACTATGGGTTTGTTGACTGGAATGGAAATAACGATCACGGCTTATGAAAAAGTGTTTAAGACAAAGACAAGAACAACTGAAAGAGTATATACTTGACTTTGGTACCCACATCATTTGTGAAAGTAAGTGAATCCGTTTCTTAACTACCCTCGGCTAATGAAAGTCTCAAGACAAAGACTGAATTGAAACGGATTCACACTTTACTACACGGCTTATGAAAAAAGCCTATAAGGCAAAGAACTGAAATAACGGATTCGTTGCTTTACTAGTACCCTCGGCTTTTAAAAAGTCTCAAGGCCAAGACTTTGAGTTTAAAACGAATCTGTTACTTTACTAGTCTTTAAAGAAAGAATACGTATTGGTTGTTGACTTGATGGATGGAAAAGAGACCATTGGCTTAAAATAAGGTCTTAAGGAAAACAGATTCCTTATTCTACCACAAGGCTTAGAAAAGTATTTGGACAAAGATTATGGGGTTGGTTTTGATAGTGAAGCGGCTTAAAGAAGTTTGAAGACACTGATCTCATAGTGTTTTGTCAGATTCTTGTTGGGAATATTATCTTGTTGCATCAATCCTGGACCCAGAAGACATTTATACCATGACCCTAGCAAAGGAACTTAAGGGATGGAAATTAAGACACACGACTTAAAAGTCTTCAAGACAAAGACTAGAACAACTGAAAGAAATTGGTTTTGACTTGTTGGATGAAATGGGTGAAGTAAAGACTAGTTTTGATTTGTTCAGGTATGTCCTTTACAAACTTGTTTGTAATTTAGTTGACAATGATTAAAATACAGAACAAGAGAAACTTGCATGAAGTAAAAGACTAATTGATTTGTTCAGGTATATGCTACAAGAGGTGTTCACATTCTCATAGAAGCCAAAGAGATTTCTCATCGTAGCGAAATCATGTGATCAGGTATAAGCTTTTTCCGGACTTTTCTGTATTAAATTGATACTATATATTACATATGAGAATCACAAGTTAAGCAAAGTGATATATGCACGTAAAGTTAGAAATACAGTAGAAACTCTATAAATTAATACTCGATAAATTAATAAACACGATAAATTAATAAATTTCTCTGGTCCCGAGTTGGGCCGGTGTAAAATATGACACAATTCTATAAGATAATAAGATAATAACTTTTTTTGAAATCCTATGTAAAATATGGTCCCAATAATATCATAAATTAGTAATTATTTTTATTTTTATATATATACACCTAAAATATCTAACTACGAAAATATGAATCTCTCAGACACCAAACATATATGGAAATTAAAAGCAAAAAAGGAATTTTAAATAATATGGCAAGAGAAAATGTAAACAATAAAGTAAATATAGTAACATGTGAAAATAATTAAGAAAATATAAAATAATGATTCTTTTTTTTGGAAAATATTTTTAGTCAAAATCTATATATTAATAACTCTATAAATTAATAAAATATCAAAGTCCCGACATTATTAATTTATAGAGTTTCTACTGTACTGACCTAAGTGCCATTCATTGTTACAAATATTTCATACATAGCTATCTAATACTATTATTTTACATTTTAAAATCACAACCGACATTTATAGTTAGAAATATCTTTTATGTAGCTGTCTTGATAACATTTCTATCAATAACTTTCACTTATCTAGTTTTTTCTCAGATTCTAGAAACGTATTGCTAACATATCGAAACATGAGGTTGTACATGTGTTTATCGTGTGAGCAATCTGTCTTTACTTAGAAGCTTACATGTTTATTTCTCTTTTGGTGCTTATATGTATTATAAGTTCTTTCATTTTCTGAAATGATGTGTCTTGTCGTCTCTTAAAGATATTTAATTTGAATGCAAGTGAGACTCGTGTATATTAGAATATACACTATTCCATAATTACATGACTGTATATCTTGTATCATAACTATGGAGATCCTCTGTATCGCTATATATATCGTAACCCTAATAACACATAGCTCATGGAGCTCATTACCTTCTTACATGGTATCAGCAGCCTAAACCTAGCCGCCAAGCTAGATCTCTCTTTCTTCTTCTTTTCTATACTCCTTCATCCCCTCTCTCTAAACAATGGCCGACACTGCTCCTGCTCCTGCTGCTGCTGTTCCAGCAACCGGATCTGACCGTGTCTTCGGCATTTCTCAGATCAAAGCCTACGTTCCCATCATGCTCGACATGGCGAAGCTCAACTATGACACTTGGAGAGAGCTCTTCGAGACTCACTGTCTCACCTTCGGTGTCCTTGGCCATCTCAATGGCTCCTCTCTCCCCTCCTCTGCCACCGATGCTCCATGGAAGGAACGTGATGGACTAGTCAAGATGTGGATCTTCGGAACCATTTCCGATTCTCTTCTCGACACCATCATCACCAAAAACTGCACTGCAAAAGATCTCTGGATCTCTCTCGAGAACCTCTTCCGTGACAACAAAGAAGCATGGGCCATCCAATACGACACAGAGCTTCGCACTCTCACCATCGGCGACATGAGCGTTCACGTGTACTGCCAGAAACTGAAGACACTCTCCGATCTTCTAGCCAACGTCGACTCTCCAGTCACTGACCGTGCTCTTGTGATGTACATGCTAAATGGCTTGTCCGAGAAGTATGATTACATCCTCAACGTCATCAAACACAAGAGCCCCTTCCCCTCTTTCACGGTCGCGAGATCCATGCTCCAGATGGAGGAAGACCGTCTCTCCAAACACTCCAAACAGAGCATCTCTGCCTCTCCTAATGCCTCTTCCTCTCAGATCCTCTACACCTCCACACCTGCGCCACAAACCTCGTTTCAGAACAACACCTCCTCCGGTCATACCTACACTCGCAACAACAACAAGTTTCGTGGTCGAGGAGGTCGTAACCAGCGAGGCAGAGGACGCCACCAAAACAACTGGTCGCCATCATGGAACTACGGTCATCCACCGTACCCGTACCCGTACGCGTACCCTGGCTCTCCGATGTACCCACCTCTGCCTATGTACCATGCTGCACCAATATGTGCTCCACCAATGTCACACTCGGCCTCCAATGGCATTCTTGGACCTTACCCTTCCCGACAAAATGGTGAAGCACATCTAGCTCGTGAAACACCAGAAGCCTACCTTGCCTCTGAGATTAACAACGCGTTCAGCACGATGTCTCTGCAGGATCCGAGCGAATCCAACTGGTACATGGACACCGGCGCCACAAACCATATCACGGCACAACCAGGTAATCTACAGGATCACGGGACAATGCACCACCCGCTCCCATTCCTCCGGTCGTCGTCGCCGCTCCTCTCCCTCCTCCTCCTCCGGTGCGACATCCCATGACCACTCATGCTAAAAGTGGTATCACTAAACCACGAAATCCACTATGTCTTCATACAGACATAGTTTCTCCTCTACCCACCTCTCACGTTAAAGCCGCAAAAGATCCCAATTGGAATCCCTCAATGACAGAGGAATATGATGCGCTTATTAAAGCCGGAACGTGGACCCTCGTGCCGCGACCGGTTGCTACTAACATTGTTAGCTCTTTGTGGAATTACTTGCACAAATTCAACGGCGACGGCAAAATCACGCGACACAAATCACGTCTCGTAGCCAACGGGAAATCTCAGCAAACCGGCGTTGATTGCGACGAAACATTCAGTCCAGTAGTCAAACCAACGACTATCCGTGCCTTCCTTCACGTCGCCATCAACAAAGACTGGCCGATTCGTCAACTCGACGTCAAAAACGCCTTCTTACACGGAAAACTTGAAGAAACTGTGTACATGCATCAACCACCAGGATTTGTCGATCTGACCAAACCGGACCACGTTTGTCTTCTCAAGCGATCTCTCTACGGTTTGAAACAGGCTCCTCGTGCCTGGAACAAACGTTTCTCCGACCATGCCCGCACAATCGGCTTCAAACAGAGTATCTCCGATCCTTCTCTGTTTATTCTTTCTCGCGACAGAGAGATAGCCTATCGATTACTCTATGTTGACGACATCGCTCTCACGGCCTCCTCTCAACAACTCCTTGACCGGATCATCAAGGCACTCGCATCGGAGTTTGAGATGAGTGACTTGGGTTTGCTCCATTATTTTCTCGGCATCTCCTTCAAACGTGACAAGCACGGTCTTTCTCTTCACCAGCAAAACTATGCTGCGGACATACTACACCGTGCCGGCATGACCGATTGTAACCCCTGCCTTACACCGTGCGACACCAAATCCAAACTCTCCGCCGACGACAGTCCACCAATGTCTGATCCGACCCTATATCGCCGCCTTGCCGGAGCGCTTCAATATCTCACCTTCACGCGTCCCGACATCGCATACGCTGTCCAACAAATCTGCCTCTTCATGCATGATCCACGCGAAAGGCATTTCAGTGCCCTCAAACGGATCCTCCACTATCTCAAAGGCACACTCTCTCACGGTCTTCGAATGTACCGCTCTGCACCTTCTGACATAGTCGCTTACTCCGACGCCGATTGGGCCGGATGTCCGGGCACAAGACGCTCGACTTCAGGTTACTGTGTCTATCTCGGCCCCAACCTAATCTCATGGTCCTCTAAATGTCAAGCCACCATCTCTCGATCCAGTGCAGAGGCCGAATATCGTGGAGTCGCAAATGCAGTTGCCGAGACCACATGGATCCGTACTCTGCTTCTTGAAATGAAGATTCCTATTCCTCGTGCCACAATTGTCTTCTGTGACAACGTCTCCGCCATATATATGTCGTCTAATCCAGTGCAACACCAACGCACTAAACACATTGAGATTGACATTCACTTTGTCCGTGAAAAGGTCGCTATCGGCCAAGTCAAGGTCTTCCATGTACCCTCCGCTTAACAGTTCGCCGACATTTTCACAAAGGGACTCCCATCGCCTCTGTTTCTTGATTTCCGGTCCAGTCTCAACGTCCGATGACACCGACGCTACGACTGCGGGGGAGTATTAGAATATACACTATTCCATAATTACATGACTGTATATCTTGTATCATAACTATGGAGATCCTCTGTATCGCTATATATATCGTAACCCTAATAACACATAGCTCATGGAGCTCATTACCTTCTTATAGTGTATTCAGTCTTTATATGTTTTGCATTACCCTTTTAACCTTTGGTGAGTATTCTAAAGATGGGAAATTACATATTTGCAATTCTGGCATCTTCTTTATGGACAAGAAAAGAACATTTATTGTTGACTGTTAGTTTAAAGTGGACAGTTTGAATTCGATGTTAGTTTTGTATGTGTTAAGTTATAAGATATGTCTAGTGAGAATTTTTTTTGCATTTAGGTTTATTGTCTTATTGTTAATTCTTTGTTAGCAGCGATTGTGATCTTTGTTTCCCCGGTTACGGTTGGATGATACCATCTTGACTTTTGCTTCTTGATTTGTGAAATAGTTAGTGTTGTAAAGTTATTAACCTTCTTGGAAATATTTACATTCTTCTATGTTTATCTTAGATTATACCCGATTAAGGGTTCACCAATATATGTGATTGTTTTGTGTTATGCTTTAAATTCCTTGATGATCATTTTAATCATGTGAAATGACATCCTTGGAATTCTGAAATCATGCATCATAGGTTGATGATTATTATTGTGCTCGGTTATATAAACAAGATAAAACCATCAATTTATGATTAAAATTTAAGACAACGATTGTGGTCGATAAGAAATTAATTATTTTTATTACATTTTGGTACATAACAAACTAATTCAACAAATAAACAAATATCTTCCATATTTTTTTTTGTTAAATTATTTTTTTTACTGGTTGAGACAATAATAGTAAACCTGAGATTTATTAGCCATATTTTTAATGTTAACTGACTAATTATTATTTTTATTTTTTTGCAAGAACGGTTTCGATTTTGATGAAGGAAAGGTGACAATGAAGAACCAATTGCAAAGATAGATAATGCATCAACCTCCGAAAGTGTTACATGCTGATTTTTTATTGATATCTTTGATTGTCGAGAAAAGAATCAGTGTGTAACACTTTGGGCGGGGTGATGCATTATCTATCTTCGCAATTTGTTCTTAATTGTTAGCATTTCTTTCATTAAAACTAAATTCGTTCTGGTGAAAGAAAAAAAACTCAGGCCATTAACATTAAAAATATGTGATTTCATGTGCTAATAAAACTTAGGTTTACTATTATTGGCACCTCATCATTTATGCTTAAGAAATTGAAACATCATTGTTAATTTTAAATTATTTATTTAGTTTATTATATTTCATATTATTATACTTTAATTCTCTCAATAATTATCATCCGTTAATATAATGGTTTGAGGTAGAATTTAAAAAGATACTATTTTATAATCAAAAATAATTTATATATAACATAATTTTTATTACTTTATAGACCAATAGAACGAAAAAATCTGAAGCAGTATTCCAAAAATCATTTTGCTTTTTAAAATGAGCTTATATAGAAGAAGATTTAAGACGTCAGTTTTTTTCTTCAAAAAATATCACAAATAATTATGGGAGGCAAATGTGATTGCATCTAATTTTGGCAAATTTAATAGGAAGAGAGAACTGATATCCCTAATATATTAAAAGAGAAAACACTAACTAAATAACCTTTGTCCATTGTGTTATTAACAAGAGTGCCACTGCTGATGTGTCATCACCAGGTTCATTCTCAGCCCAATTTCTAATTAAGACAAGCTTTACTAGAGAAATTACAAATTTTGCCATTGCATATTATGCTTACCATCCCTTTATTATTATTTTATTTCCTTAATTGACAATTACGAAAATAAGTAAATAAGGAAGATATGAAATTCAATTGAATTCTATCATAATCATTTTTTAAAAATCATTATATATCTCCTATCATCTTTGTTCAACTTTATTTTATGAAATAATACGAATCACAATATAAAAAAACTAATAAAGAAAATCTAAAGCTTTTTCTGTATATGTTATGATTTGAATTTTTAAAAACAAAATAATGTAAATTGTTTAGTATATAACCTCATTTAGTAGGTATTTAAAGGTAAATTATTATTTTTATTCTATTTAATATGGTTTTAATTAAATTCTATAATAAAATTGAATAAAAAACTATTTTTATAAATTTAGTTTGATTAAAAATTTAAATATTATTCTATCTGTTTCAACTTTCAATATAAAGTTAATTATATTTTTGTTATTTTAACAATTTAGATCATGCATATTGTCTTCTTATTGGTTAAATTGTTTTGAAATTATAATGAAGCATGTTTTAGTTTTGAAAGAAAGAAAAAAATAGTTCTAATCCATGTTTTAGTTTTGAAAAAAGAAAAAAAATTGAATCCGTGTTTTAGTTTTCAAAGAAAAAAAAATAATTCTAATCCGTGTGCACACAGCTAAGACTTCTTATTTTATGAAATACAGTATACATTTTTGTAAAGAATAATGTTTTATTTTCACTTTTTTGTTCTTTAAACTAACTTATTATACTGTAGTCATTTGAGTTTCATGTATCTCGCTTAAATCTATCATATTTAATATATGGCTTTAATCTATTTACCTTTTTTTAAATAGTTTAAAATGCTTAATTTTCATATTATAAACGAATAAATGAGGACAATAATCTAACAAAGATTAAAAATCCGTCGCATAAATTTTGGGATATTTAAATAACCAAAAAAACATACTTCCTCCGTTTCAAATTAGTTGTCATTTTGGTAAAATGTATCTGCAATTATTTGGATGTATCTGCAATGCAAACATGTCCAAATACGTCCAAATATTTGCAGATACATTTTGCCAAAATGACAACTAATTTGAAACGGAGGGAGTATTTTAATAAAAATATAAATTCAGAAAATTATCACCCCGTGTAGGGCGCGGGTCAAACCCTAGTTGTATGTAAATTGTAAGATATAAATAACTTTCTAAAAACATAGACAAGATAATGAAATCATGCATCATAGGTTGATGATTATTATTGTGCTCAGTTATATAAACAAGATAAAACCACCAATTTTGTAATTATAGTTTAAGACAATGATTGTGATCGAAAAGAAATTATTTATCTTTCTTCCATTTTGGTACATAACAAACTAATTCAACAAATAAACAAATATCTTCCATATTTTCTTTTGTTTAATTCGTTTTTACTGGTTGAGATAATAACAGTAAACCTGAGTTTTATTAGCCATATTATTAATGTTAACTGACTAATTATTATTTTTATTTTTTTGCAAGAACGGTTTCGATTTTGATGAAGGAAAGGTTAACCATGAAGAACCAATTCCAAAGATAGATAATGCATCAACCTCCGAAAGTGTCACATGTTGATTTTTATTGATATCTTTGATTGTCGAGAAAAGAATCAGCGCATAACACTTTGGGCGGGGTGATGCATTATCTATCTACGCAATTTGTTTCTATTGTTAGCATTTCCTTCATTAAAACTAAATCCGTTCTGGTGAAAGAAAAAGAAAAAAACTTAGGCAGTTAACATTAAGAATATGGGATTTCATGTGCTAATAAAACTCAGATTTACTATTATTGCCACCTCATCATTTATTATTAAGAATTTGAAACATCATTGTTAATTTTAAATTATTTATTAGTTTATTATATTCCATATTATTATACTTTAATTCTCTCAATAATTACCATTCGTTAATATAATGGTTTGAGGTAGAATTTTAAAATATACTATTTTATAATCCAAAATAATTTATATATAACATAATTTTTATTACTTTATAGATCAATAGAACAAAAAGAATCTCAACTATGCAGCATTCCAAAAACCATTTTGCATTTCAAAATGAGTTTATATAGAAGAAGATTTCAGACGTCAATTTTTTTCTTTAAAAAATATCACAAATAAGATGGAGAGAGGGGAATGAGAGGTTTGCCAGAAAAATGTAAAACACTTAAAGAAAAATATATAGGTGAGACGAATAGACATCTAACCCATATTTGAGAAAAAAAATTTATAAGTATCAAAATGTTCTAACATGTTCTAAATGAAACTATGCAATTATCCATGAATAATTCTTCTAGTCATGAAAGTTAATAGCAATACAAAGTTATGCGTGAACCGTAGATCGGCTCTCTAGTATATATAAGAAGAATAAAAATAATAAGAGAAACAATGATCAATAAATTTAAAAACTGGAAAAATCATATTACCAATACTAAGTGAGATATCCATATAACATATGTCTACGATATATTTTTCTTCATACCTATTTTAATTATTTTGTAGTTAAAACTTTACATACCTAATCCCGACCAATTAACAATAAAACTAAAATACTGAAAATATGAAAATGATGAGATAATCGCAATAACATTAAACAAGTACTTGAAAAAATGACAAGAAATTAAATAAAAATAAAAATCTAAGAATATATTATTAATAAAAAAATACCTTTGGTTAATCGTTAACCGTATTTGAGATCTTTTCGTCCATGCCACCAAAAGCTTCTTTGATTTTTTTCTCTTGCGGCCATGAAAAATTTAGAGAAAAAAAGACCCTTATATAAAACAAAAAAAAAATAACATAGATGTAGAAATAATTAAAGGATGTCTCATATGCTATCGATCCTTAGTTCCTTACACATATAATGGCTTAGGTTCATTATAAATATAATATTGATTGAAAAACATATAACCAAAGGCATTTTAAAACATAATAAAACAAAAACAAAACAAAACAAAACAAAAACAAAAAAAAACTCAAAGGCATTGAAGACTAATATCATCTTCAGTTTCTCCAAAGTATGTGTTTATAGCTCATGATATTTATGATTAAAAATCACTTTTGCACCTATGAATCTATTGCTTGATTTGTTCTCACCTTTGATTTTGAAATCTAGTTTTTATTCATGTTTCTCTCTGACTAAACTGATTTAGCTCTGGCTTATCTACCAAAAATTATTGCTAGAGGAACTAAAATTTTATCTAGCGCATTGATAGTATGTTAATCAAAAAACCCTTTTGACCAAATTTGATAAATAAATTTGACAAAATTCCTAGGAAAAAATAATAAGACCTCAATCGAATTAAGTTTTTTTTGTTAATGACCATTATAGCAAATGTTAATCCTGAAACATGTTTTCTACTTTATTTGTTAATTGAACATTTCATTAACATAAATGTAGAAAATCCATCCATTTATATTAAAACCAAGAAATAAAACATAAATAAGAGAAACAATGAGAATAAGATTTTAAATCTGGAATGATTATATTTACCAAAATTAAGTGAGATAACTATAAAACATATGTTTAAATTATAATTTTCCTATCATACCTATTTTATTATTTTTATATATAGTTTCATATATCTAATCCCAAACAACTAACAACAAAATAAAAATACATAACAAATGAAAAAGATGAGATAATTGAAGAACTAATAACTGAACATAGAACATTATTCAAGTATTTGAAAAATTGACATAAACTCAAAACAAAAATCAAAATCTAATAATTTATTCAAGTGTTTGGTAAATTCTTAACCAGATTTTAGATCTCTTCTTTCATGCCATCAAAAGTACCTTTCAGTTTTTTTTTTGTCTTACGGTGAATGAAACATGTGTAGAAAAATTTAGAGTATGTGATTCTTATATAAAACAAAAACGAAATCTATATGTAGAAGAACAAGTCATACCTTTTGGTGAATCCTTCACTGGATTTGAGATATTTGTTTTTAACCATGCCATCAAAAGTGCCTAGCTATGATTTTTTTTTTCTCTTGCGGCGGAAATGAAACTGTGGAGAAAAATTTAGAGTTCATGATTCTTATATAATACAGAAATAACCTAGATGTTAAAGAAATAGAACGACGTCGCATGTAATATAAATATACATCTTTAACAAAATGGTGTCATATTTTTATTAGAAATAAAATACTGATTTAAACCCAAAACTATAGATGGGCCTCAGATTTTCTTTGTGAAAGTTTTTAGAGCCCTTTTTTAAGCTTAAAAATGACCATATTTTTTAGTTTTGTGTTGACTCCAAATATTTCAGTTCATATGCTACAACCAGCTTCATGTTTCTGTGGTGAGAAGAGGTAAAGATTCATGGTTTATGGATATCAGTGTTTGTGGTTTTGTTAGTGCTTTCAAAAGATAAGTCATTATCTTCTCATTTCCCATTTCACTGGTTTTCGCAACATTCTTGAACAAATTTGAAAGAATACTTTAGTACAAACATGAAAGAATACTTTAGTAGTCACATATCACTGGTTTTCAGAATGTTATAGATGGTATAAGATTTTTTATGATGGTATATATGATTCATGTTATTTAGTATAACATTAGTGTATCAGATGATGAGTTTAATATGTTATTACCTTGGTCTTGTTGAGCAAACACGAAGATATATATACAATTTTCAGTATAACGGACAAGGGAAAGACTCGAACATTAAAGAAGAAAGAGTTCAAAGTTAGAGGTCAACATAAAAAAATGTTTAAGCAACCCTTGGCGGCAAGATGTTAGTATAAGACTTGATGTTTTGTAACATTTGTTTTGTATAATTTTTGTATAATACTAGTTTTGTGTGATTATTCTGAACCAAATTTCATATATAATTTTTTTTAATATATTTAATATAAGTTTAAAATTTTTAATGTATCTAATATATACAATACTTCAAAATATAATAACTTATATATTACAATTTTATAAAGTTTTATTTTTCACTTAAACAGTTTTAGTCATTAATTTATCTATAAAATAAATTTAATATTTATATCTAACAGATCAGTTTTGAACTATTGTATATATAAACAGAATATTAGACCTAAATTTCATCTTTTTTTCTTTTCTTTTTGTCAACACCTAAATTTCATATTTTTAGAACAAATTTGTAAAGAAAATTCATGAAAACTTAAGTATTTTTTTCCTTTTAAACTTCCAATCGTCTAACACCCGTTTCACTTATTTGTAATTTATTAGTCTTTATCTATTTTCTATTTCTATTTACCATTATTTATCATTAATGTTATTTATTTACTGTTATTGTTTTACATCTTTTCAACTTTTAAAATCATATTTACCAATAATGATATATTTTTGAACTCTCGATCACATAAAAAAATATTTATTGTTGTTTTTCATACTACATTAATGCAAATACATTTGAAATAAATTTACTCAATATATATGGTTGACCATATATCTATATATATAAAATTCAAGTTATTCTCTTCTCATGCTGCCACCTCAACAAAAGAGGGTGTCTAGAATTGCGACACATCAGCACAAATATTTTAATTTATTATATTTTCAATTTTTTTGTTCATAATAATTATAATTCATTAAATAAACTTCACAAAAATATGAAAAGTCATTTTAAAAAAGGGGAAAATAATATATAAATCTACAAAAACTATTATTTAGTAATTTTATCTTTGTCATATTATATAGTTTATGATGATATCAAAATATTATAGAAAGAACATTGTTTAAATATACTGAGACGAAATGAAACTAGACACAAAGAAAAACAGAATGTGAGAAGAGAGGAATTTTGCCTGTCATTTTGAAAAAGGGGAAAATAATATATAAATCTAGAAAAACTATTATTTAGTAGTGGCACACCCTTCTTTAAAAGAAAAAAAAATCAGAAAAAATATTTCGCATCCAGTCCTCCGAAATTAGTTTCATTACAGAATAACCCCCAAACACTCAAAAATTGCCTAATTCGGTGACAGTCCTTATACATTATTTTTTAACAAAAAAAACCCATACTCATTTCTTTTTTTTCTCTTCCCCCTGATATCGCCGTCACTCAAGCGCGATCGCCTACTCGCCTCACCGGATCTCCGCTTCGCCGAGCAAACACCACAGAGCCGACCAAAGAAAAACTGTATCTCGGATCTCAGCCGTCTCCAAACGCACGCGTTTCATCTCCTCTGTCTCTCCTCCGACAAATCAGTTCTTCTCAGCCGAAACTCCTCAATAAAACCCTAAAACAGATATCGCCTGCAATCACCCTAGAGTTTTCGTTTCCTGACTGCTGCTGATTTGCGAACCCTAGAATCCTTTTTCGGTTGGCTTTCTGTTCTCGATCCATGTGTTCGTCATCAGCAGCAGAATCCGTCGCTTGCCAATCGTTGGAGCAAATGATCGTCGCCGGCGGCAATTCACAATCACGCCATCACTAACGGCGGTGGCGGTGGTGTTAATGGTTTATTAACATCAACGCCTGCAATCACGCTAGAGTTTTCGTTTCCCGACTGCTGCTGAATTTTCTTCTGTTTTGTCTTTTTTTCAGGTAATCAGTTTCTCGATTACTTCTTCAGCATTAGAGTTTCTCGCTTCCTCTGGACAACCTTCTTCCACCTTGGGCTCTTTCCAAATCAGGTAAACCCACTGTAAAACCCAGTTTGATTTCCTCATTTGTCAATCCTGAGCCCATTTTTTTTCCAGTAATTCCGAATTGATTGTTTATTACGGTTGTGAACGTTACAGCGCTCCTTTTTCATCAAACGATTTCCCTCCCCTGTAACGGCTTACATTGCAATGCACAGAGGTCATGTCTCTTCGTCTGGCCCTCTCTAATATGTCTTTACTTTACCATTTCGTAACGCTGTGTTAAATGTCATTACTCACATCCTCTCAGCTTGCCTTAATATCGATATGCCTATTAACACTTCTCCGTTCTAAGCTGCAAATTGGTTTTTGGGCAGACTAAATTAGTGAACGATCTGATTATTTTTCAGTGTTGATTTATCTCTATGACTACTTGCTTTTGAGTGATTGTATTTAGTCATGGGCAATTCTGAAAATTTGGAATTTGCGATGGTTTGATTTATGATTTGTCTTTAGAGTTTTGATTCAGTTTTTGATCTCTGATCCTGAAGTTTGTCGATATGGGATTGTAATTTACCTACTTGTAAAATTGATTGCTGGGTTTGGAGTTTGGATCTCAAAGTTGACTTTGAATCTCCTCTTGATTTTTTGCAGGTACTGCTCTATGTACGGTCATGTGGAGAAATTGGCTGAAGAAATCAGGAATGGACTCAAGGAGCTGCTTCTATTGAAGGCGTTGAAGCCAAACTATGGCAGGTGAAAAATTGCTTATTACTTACTTCTCTTAACTCTGTTGATGAGCTTGATTTTGAGTCTTGAAAGTAGCTTGGACACATTTTAACATAAGCTTCCAACACTCTTAGAGCCATTGCCATTTCCAAGTTTCTCGATTTTGGATTCTTGACTGATGATTTCATTAACTTAGCAAGTTTGCCAGAATCAAAATTGTCTGGATTGTTTAGTTTGTTTGTGGCTAAGCTTTATGTCATTAAGTATTGAACGTGATGATGAACTTGTTTGTTGTCCACAGGTACGTGAGACGCTTCCAGAAGAGGCACTTTCTAAGATGAGCGCACCACCAAAGAGCGAATCCCCAATCATCACTCTCAACGAGCTGATGGTTTCGTCTTTGGATTCCCAACAAGGTTCGGAATGATGGCTGCTCAGTTCAAGGCCTTCCTAGGCGCAACCGGTGGACTCTAGAGGACTCAGTCACTCGCCGGTAAACCAGCTGGTATCTTCTACAGCACTGGCTCTCAAGGTGGTGGCCAAGTAACCACCACGTATGTTCAAGAAACAAAACCACTTCACGCCATGTAAGCTGGTATCTTCTACGCCATGTCCAAGAAGTTGGTTTCAACTGTGAGTCCCTCTTCTTGATCCAAAGATGAAAACTTAACGTCCTCTGAGTTTCTGATTGACAATTTGTGTGTGCAGTCAAAGAGAAGCATTGTTGATCTGCAGAATGAGTTAAGGAGCGTTTTTGGAGGAATGGATGATGAGAAGATGTGGAAGTTCGTATCAGTGGCATTGATTCTTTTATTGCTATTCCACTTGTTTCTATTTGTAAACGCTAGAAGAAGAAGAACCAAGGTTAAGATGTGACGATCTTATTCCTTCTCACTTTCTTTGGGCCAGTTCAGCAAATTTGGAGGATCTTTTGGGTCCAATTGTAATATTCTCTTCTTTTCTTTTCAACTTTTCGTGGAAATGAAAAAAGTTTTGGGTGTTGCTTTTACACGTGGAAAAAGGGAAAATCACAAGTAAATCTATCTCTTTTCTTTTTAAAAGGCTACAATTTTTTTTGATAAATAAAAGGGATTTTTTGAAAAATACCCTATTTATGTTTAAAATTTTGACAAATATCCTAATTTTTTTTCTGTTTTGAAAAATACACTTTTTGAATTTAAAAGGCTGTTTTGTCCTAATTTAAACAAAACATTAATAAATAATTACAGTTAAATATTAAAGATGAAATTCAAAAATAAAAGAATTAATAAGTTTTTTTTTCAGAAAAATATAAATTTTAAATTTTTAAAATGGATACATCTATATTCCATTTTTAATGTTTTTTTTAAAATTTTTTAATATTTTTAGAACTATATATAAACAACTTCAATCTCATCTCCATTCCAATCAACAAATGAAACTTTATAAATTTAAACTTTATAAACTATTAAAATTTTAAAAGTGGATATATCTATCTTCCATTTTTAATGTTTACCTTTAAACACATTTAAATATTATAAACTATTAAAATTTTAAAAGTGGATATATCTATCTTCCATTTTTAATATTTACCTTTAAACACATTTAAATATTTTTGAAACTTTATATAATAAAATTTAATCTCACCCTCATTTAAACTGTATATAAACAACCTTATATTTTTAAAGAATTTTAATAAAGTCTAAACAGATATTTAGGATTGTTTAGTATTTTAAAATGAAACAAAATCATAATCAAAGCTTAATATTTTATATTTCTTATTTTAATTTCGTTTTTATTAAAATAGTTGAAAATTTTTAGGATAATTAAGTCATTTCACATATAAAAGGTGTATTTTTCAAAACTAAAAAAAAAGTAGTTTTCAAATTAAAAACTCATTATAGAGTATATTTCCAAAATTTCTCTAAATAAAAGGCTACAAAATAAATACAAAATAAATTAAAACTGTTGTTTTTACCAATATTAGTGATTTTACACCTTTTAGTAAACTTCAGAAATGGGAGCCTTGATCTTCGCTAAGATGTTGGATGACGATGATGAACATATCTAAAACTTAGTAGTATGTATTAGTGATTTTAGAGTACTTGATAAAATGATGTATAATTTATAAGAAGCTTATTTTCAACAAGCAATCAACTCTTAATAAAGTTCATATGATTTCGCATTTTTCAATGCTCTAACTATTTTCCTCCAATCGCTATTATTTTCTACGCGATTGGCTGTACGATTTATATAACTAAATAATAAATACAATCTTGTACAAAATGTAAAAAATATTACCTTCACATGATATTTAGAAATTACAACAGTTTCCTAAATCAATTCAAACTTTAAGATAACTGATTTATTAACTGAACATGCGAAAATTTCACTTATTTTAAACTCATTGCCATCCATACAATTTTGTCAAATCTATATATAATGTCCAGAATTATGGTCCAAAAGCTACAAAAGAGAGGAATCAAATCCTATAATGAAGTTGTTCCATCACATGAATGGTAAAAAAAAGCTTGAGAAGTTAAAACAACAACGGTAGGAGAGACTATTTATTATTTTAAAACAAGTTTTACTAATATTAAAAAATAAAAAAATAAATAAATAAGTGACAACACCACCCGCGCATAGTGCTCTGGACTACCGAATCATATCCTACAGCTGAAAATCAACACACCAATTCTCATGATGAGAAACATAGATGTTTTAAAAGTTGAGTTGAGATATTAATTTCTTACATGCATATTGTTTAAAACAAAAGTTTTAACAATATCATTGATCATTTCTTTTATCTTAAAACAACATATTTGATTTGAATTTTATTTCTATGTTCCTTAAATAATTTATAACTATATGAATAGAGTTTAAAAAGGATAAATATATAAACATAGAATAAATGTAATAATTATGAAAATCTGACTTTATATATAAATAGTTTGATACACACAATACGTGCATCGCGCGGGCCAAACCCTAGTATATATAAAGTTCAAGTATACATGTTGCCACCTCAGTAAAACAGTGTGTCTGGAATTGCGATACATCAGCACAAATATTTTAATTTATTATATTTTCTAATTTTTTATTTTAATCTATACTATATAAAAGTTGAGGCTATAAGCCTCTAAGAGCGTAAACGAGATTTGATTGGTCCACATAGACATCTTCAAGATTAAGAAATTTTCTAAATTTTAAACAATCAATAGTATTACTCCAAATCATCATATAAAATTTGGTAATTTCCTTTATATTTCCCAAGAAAGTTTCCTAATCTAAATATTATAAATGTTTTTGATTAAAGATTTTATAATTTTTTTTTAATACCAACAAAAAAAGATACTAACTTAACATGTATAAGTTTTTTTTATTAAATCTAATATATATGACAGCAATCAAAATCTAACAAGATTTAAATTAAAAACATCACAAATCCTAAAGTTGAGGCTATAAGCCTCTAATAACGTCCTCTGATAATGTAAGCGTTTTTCAATATTAAGAAACTTTCCAAATTTTAAATAATCAATAGTATCAACTTTTTAAATTGATAACGTCCTCTGATAATGTAAGCGTTTTTCAATATTAAGAAATTTTCCAAATTTTAAATAACCAATAGTATCAACTTTTTAAAATTAAAAAGTTATATTTTTAAAAATAACTTCCAAATTTTAAATAACCAATAATATCAACTTTTAAAAATATTCCACATCATCATATAAATAAGTTATATTTTTAAAATTTAATTTAATCAACTTTTTATATCTCAAGAAAGTTTCTTAATTGAAAAATAACCAATAATATCATTACACATCATCATATAAAATTTAATATTTTAATTTGATAGGTCTACAATTCTACATAAGCATTTACATGACTAAAATAATTTACAATTTTTAAATATGTAAGAAATAAGGAAATTAAGTATATATGATTTTAAACAGCCAATAATATCATTCCAGATAATCACTAAAATTAAGTTATTATTTTCCTTTTTATAGAAACCTTCATCATGTAATCACAGTCTCTTTTCAAGTAATTTAAATACTTTTAAAAAAATTTAAAATATTTTCTAATTACAACAAAAAACACTTTGTCATGTAAATTAGTTATATTGCTAAGACAAGAACCAAATATATGAAATAAAAAAAAATCACATAGGAGGAAGAAAAAAAGTATAAGCGAAGATGAGTGAAAATGAATAAAACTAAATAAGAATAAAGAATAAATAAGAAAAATTAAAGAAGAATAAGTAATAAAATACTAAAAAAACATAGTAACGAGAGTGAAGAAGGAAATGAAACCAAACAAGAACACAAAGAAAGAGTAAAGAAGAGTGAGGACGAAGAAGAGCAGAAGCCAAACAAGAACAAGAGGGAGGAATAAAGAAAAGCAAAGATGAAGAAGAGCAATATGAATGAAGATAAATATGAAACCAAATAAGAACAAAAAAAATCAAATTAGAAAAAGTTGAAGAGAATCAATAAATAAAATTAAAAAACATAGAAACAAGAATGAGTGAAGAAGGAAATGAAGAACAACGATGTGCGTCCGTTAGCTTCTTTTCAAATAAATTTTATACTCCTAGAAATCCAACATAAATTAGCTTATCTACAATAATATTAGCTCCTCCAGATTAAATTTGTTAGGCGTACATTTTATTTTTCTAAGGTTTAGTTAGATAGTGAAAATTTGTTTCTATCTAAGATTAAAGAGGTCAATACTAAACATATTTAAAAAAGTATTGTCATGGAGAATTTTAAGCTATAGAAGAAGAGGAAGTTGGAATAAACAAACTATAGGGAAACCTAACATTTTCGATGGAAAAATAAACCATAAAAGAAATATAAGAATAAGAACCATAAGAAAAGCAAAAAAACAAAACAAAAAGATTAATAAATGCGAAGACGAAGATAGCAAGAACAAAAATATAAATAAAAAAATCCAACATAATATAAGACTAAACCAAGAAACTAAATAAAAAGATGATACCAAATAATATGAAATTGATCAATATATGTGTGAATATATATATTTGTATATCTCTAACTTTATTTTATTTCTATGAATCCTGTACATTTTTAAGTTTGATTAAGTGTATCAAATAGTGAAAATTTTATTTTACATAAAATTAAATTAAATTAAAGAGGATTACGAAAAAAGAATATTTCTAAAAGGGATACAATGTGAAAAAATTCCAGCAAAGAATAATCTAGAAAAGAAAAAAAAAGCAAAACTCTAGCAACTTCGACCGTCTGAACTAATCATAGAAGAAACAGAAGAATAAGAAGGAATATAAAAAAAAATATCAAAGAACGAAAACAAAAAGTAAACAATAGATGAACAAAGATGAAAAAGCAGACCAAATAAATAAGAAATCGCGAGGACGAAGAAATATAAAAGGAGAGTAAAGATGAAGAAGAAACCAAAGAAAAAAAAAGAAACCAAACAAATGAGAATAGATCGAAGAGTCATCATGAACATGCTACTAACGACAAAAGTTTATGAATAAAAATATTTAATCAAACTAAAAAACAGACCCGCCCTTGCGCGGGTGAAAAACCTAGTTTTCATAATAATTAGCATTCATTAAATAGACTTCACAAGAATATAAAAAGTCATTTAGAAAGGGGAAAATAATATATAAATCTACAAAAACTGTTATTTAGTAGTTTTATCTTTGTCATATTGTATCGTGTACCGGTTATTAATGTTGTTGTAAACCGGGAACAAACGCAAATATAATAGATCCGTTGTAACAAGAATTCAATACAACATAAATCATTTTCTCTCTCTTCTCTCATATTCTTCACCATTTCTGGTTTACGATAATGTTAAAATATTATAGAAATAACATTATTTAAGGATATTAGGACGAAATGAGATAAGACTCGCAAAACGAAAGAAAAAAAAATGTGAAAAAAAGGAATTTTGCCTACTTCTTTTATATTAAGTGAGGGACGACGAATTATTGAGTCTCAGAGCTTTGATACGCAACGACATCTTGCTAGCAATGTCACCGGCAATTTGAAGAATATCTCGATAAGAAGATCAATTATTAAGATTTACAAGGTTGTCGGCCCAATTAGCATTAAGTTTGGGGTCAATATTACATTTTCTAGATTTAATTAAGATTTCTCTTATGTACTTCTACTATCGTTTTATTCAACGAAAACTTTGTTTACCTATATACTCAAGGGCAGATCCAGAAATTTGTTTTTATATGGGACACAATATTTTCCTTTTGGCGCAATATATTTTTAGTTACTTTTGGCGCAATATATTTCTAATTAAATTTATGAAAATGACTAAATAATTTTTATTGTGTTCAATATAACTTTTTATATGCACACAAAAGCATATCTTTAGTAAAATAATAAAAAGGTTAAACAAAAATTAGAAGAAAATTATCTTATGTAATTTTATAAACTTTTTGGAGAATTAATAGAAGAAAAATGATAAAAATAAAAATACAAGAGAAAAGTATACCATAAGACGCGTCAGTAAAAAAGGAACAGATGAATATCATGGGAAAATTTGGAAACGTAAGGGTGTGAGAAAGCATCGAACGTGAGAGCATGGGGCATAATCGGTCAAAGTTAACCAAGTATGTTATAATTAGTTTATACAAAATGTATTACAAAGGAAATAAATAGTTGAACAAAAAAAAAGTATTACAAAGGAAATATTATAAACTGCATGCATGTAGCTAACCAGTAGGCCCTTTAACAAAAAAAAAAAAAAAAAAATGTAGCTAACCAGTAAACATTAACGCTACTTGATAAGATAATTTTTAACTGATCGAAGTTCGATCATCGAACATAAACGCTACTTGATAAATCATTTTTATGTGATCCAACATATGTCTATTTAATGATCAATGAAGTGAGCAAGTTCATATTTCTCTATACTGTTTTTTTTTCAATAGTAATTTAACCAGTCTTTTGTAGTGTGGTCCTCTCTATCAAGCATATGAATTAGTAACAGAAAATTCATGAAAATATGATTTCACAAACTATCTTTGTTTCTAATAGCAAAAAGAAACTTAAAACAACCGTTGCTCACTAAAAAAACAAAAGAAAAAAAAAAAACCCAGTAAGATGATTAGAACTAGCTCTCTTACAAAGCTTGGAGTTATGTTGTCCCAAACACTCAGCCAAGCTTCACATCACATGATCTAGAAAAGTGTGAACTATGCAATGCTTAAACGCATCCATTCCTTGGATATCAACTTTTGTAAGAGTGCTTCTCTCGGGATTGTAGTAGATAAGGAATAAAAGGTCGGACGAATGTAATGGAGAGAAGACGATTTCACCTCCTCTGGTGACTCCAACAATGTCCAATGTAACATCTGCAACTACATCGTTCCACAAAGCGGGCAGCACGAAGGTACGCGTCGACCATTCATGTTTCTTGCGATCTTCAAGGACGCACAACTCCAAACTATTACTTCTTATTACCATCTTAAAATCATCGTCCCATTTGAGTATAGCTAATTTACCCATGTAGTTTAACAACTTAGATGGCAAGAGTTGTTTTTCGATAAACTTAAACTTCTCAGACCTAATATAAAAGCAAATTATACCATAACGGCATTGAAAACGGCTTTGAAACCTATAGACCTCAGCTTTATAATACAAAACACCATTGATACATATACCATCACTTAGTGGATAATGGGGTAAGCTACACTCGATCATTCTCCATGACAGTTTCCTAGTTCCTCCTAATGTCAGAACTTGATGGTGCTCGGTGGTCCTCTTGTCTCCTCTAGACCTTAACTTTGTCATTGACAAGACCTTGAATTTTTTATCAACCGGATCATACCCAAAAAAGCTGCACACATCAACCCTAACTGTCTTCACTTTCGGTAGGGTTAAGGATTGCCCTGAGCTAGGGTTGCATATCTCCATCACCCTCTCCTTCGTTTCCTTCTTATAGTACTTAAGAATGATCAATCCATGAACAGGACGAGAAAGTTTCCTACCATCACCACAAAAGTTGAAACTCGACTGATAATCGGCGGCTATAGGAGACGAGTTCTCATCCGGATTTTGAGGCTGAGATGACGAAAAGAAGCACATGTTACCGTCTCTTTTGCACGCGAACAAGAGCTTTGATCTGGCCAATATCGACTCTGTGAAATGTGGAAGGCGAATCGTGGAGTCCCATAGCTTCGATACGCAACGACAACTCGCAATGGATGCCAGCGGCAATTTCAAGAGTATCTCGATAATGAGATCAACTGGGATCGACTCAGCTGAGTTTTCTCCTTTGCTCGCTAAGGTTGAAGATCATTTATTGCTGCGCGGAGAGACGGTTTGAAGATCTCCCGAGACGTACTGCTGCCGCCGTGTTTTCATGACGGGTTACACAGTGTTAAAACCCTAGAATCGCTCTACGAAACAAAATCCTTCGACTTTTTGTTTTTTTTTGGAATATTTGAAAATGTGAGATAGTGTTGTAGGAAAGATATTGAAATTACTTAAGTTTAGGCCTCTATTGCACAGCCTCTAATCTATTGGGCTCTTTAAATGTTTTTCTAATTAAAAAGAAAAAAAGGATTTTTGAAAAACAAAAGACCAATCAAATTGTGACATGTGGCCAGCTTGTGTCAGAGAGACGATTCCAAAAACTTTTCTAGGAGAAACGTATTTGCGCTTTAGCCTTGCCAAGTTGTAAAACTCTTGCCAACTGTATAAATTTTTTTTTTTATCTGCAACTGTATAAAGATACTTGGTTTAGCGTTAGACATTAGTTTCGATACATTCAGTTCATTGGTTCTTTTCTATTGATTCCTTTGTTGCAGTATAAGCGCAGAGAAACTCAAAGTGGAGCTCTATTGTTTCTACTGGAGGAACTGCCTCTACATTGGAGAGTGCTGAAGTCTCTGTAACCAAAAAGGAGACGCTCACTCATTTTCCAGAAATGGCAAGTTTTGTTTCTTTCTCTTAAGCTTGCAGCTCTTGCTTAAGTTTTGGTTTGTGTGCTAGTGTTGATATTCTGTCAACGATTTTGACAAACAATAAGGCTGATTTCAAATTGAGTTGTGACTTTCTCAATGATTATGCAGTTGAGTTTGGTATATTAAACTTAGCTTATGGTGGTGACGATGAAGCTTTCCTGCAGAAAGTAGTGACTCCTATATACAAGACAATAGCAAAGGTTACTTGATTCAGTTATTATAGCCGTGGCCATATTTTCTTCTTGAGCTTTCGTTCAATTTCAATCTATGTACTCTTGTTTCATCTAGATCTTTGTGTACTACAGGAAGCAAAGAGAAGTAGAGAAAGAAAGTCGAAGCATTCTGTGTGGAGAAACTATGATGACTTGAATGAATATTTTTGGTAAATGCAGATGATCATCTTATAACCTTTTTGGAATGTCACTGTGGAGCAATGATCTGTTATGTTATTTGATGTATCAATTCTTTTTAGGCAATGATCGCTATTGCATGTGTCAAATTCGGGTTAAACGGGCATCCAACCTAAAACCAATTGGCAATAGGTGGAGAGGCCCTAACCCTTTATATATTAGTTAATTATTTCTTCAATTATCGATGTGGGACTTTCATCATTAACACTCCCCCTCACGCTCAGAGGTCATCATCTGAAGCGTGGGCAATTGTGGGAATAACATCCACGGAGTGGCCCAGAATGTGAAATCTCTCTTCCTTTCTGAAAAATGGGCATCTCTTTCTCGATCCTTGTGATCCGTGTATAAACAAAATCTCTAACTGGCTTGACGAAAGTAGCTTGTATACATAATCTCAAGAAGAATCTCACGGCTCTGGTGACATCCATGGAAGAGCTCAAGGCTAAGCGTGATGATTTGTCAAGAAGGGTCACAAGAGATGAGGATAGAGGTCTGCAACGGCTAGCCAAAATTCGATGATCTTCTTGATGCTAGAGATGATGAACTTCAAAGGCTTTGTCTTTGTGGGTTTTGCGCTAAGAGTTTAAGATCTAGTTACCGTTACAGGAAGAAGGTTTTCTTGACGTTGAAGGAGGTTGAGACACTCCATAGTAGAGAATTTGAAGTGACTGCTGAGCAAGCTCAAACATCCGAGGTGAGGAAAGACAACTTCAACGACAATTGTTGGTCAAGAAACAATGCTCGACAAGGCATGGAAACATCTCAAGGAAGATGGAGTTGGTATTATGGGTATGTACGGTATGGGCGGAGTAGGAAAAACAACGCTTCTCATGCAAATCAACAATAAGTTCAGTGAAGAGAGGTGTGGATTCGATTTTGTGATTTGGGTTGTGGTGTCTAGAGAGTTACATGTAGAGAATATTCAAGATGAAATCGCTCAGAAAGTTGGTCTTGGTGGAGTGGAGAAAAGCCAAAAGGCCGATCTGTTATACAATTTCTTGAAGAAAAAGAGATTTGTGTTGTTTTTAGATGACATATGGGAGAAGGTGGATTTAACAGAGATTGGAGTCCCATTTCCAACAACGCAAAACGATGCAAAGTGGTATTCACCACTCGTTCCCAAGATGTATGTGCGCGCATGGGGGTTGAAGACCCGATGGAAGTCCAATGCTTGGCGAAAATGAAGCATTTGATTTGTTCCAAAAGAAGGTTGGACAAAGAACACTAGGAAGGATCCGGAGATCCCTGAGCTTGCAAGAAAAGTTGCTAGAAAATGTGGTGGCCTACCATTGGCACTCAATGTCATAGGCGAGACCATGTCATGCAAGAGGACGGTGGAAGAATGGCGTCACGCGATAGATGTTTTGATTCGTACGCTATAGAGTTTTCTGGCATGGAAGATAAGATCCTTCCTCTTTTGAAGTATAGCTACGATAATCTTAAGGGTGAGGATGTCAAATCATGTTTGCTGTATTGTGCTTTGTTTCCAGAAGATGATAAAATTGATAAAGAAAATTGATAGACTACTTGATAGGCGAAGGTATTATAGATGGAAGTGAAGGTATAGAGAGGGCTGAGAACAAGGGGTATGAGATCATTGGTGATCTTGTTCGTGCATCATTGTTGATGGAAGAGGCTGAATGATGGAACAAGAATAGTGCGTATGCATGATGTTGTTCGCGAAATGGCCTTGTGGATTGCATCTGAATTGGGAAGAGAAAAGGAGGCTTTCATTGTGCATGCAGGTGTAGGGTTAAATGAAATTCCAAAGGTTAAGAATTGGAACAGTGTGAGAAGATGTCACTGATGCGGAATCAGATTCAGAATCTCGCCTGCAGTCTTGAATGTCTCCAACTCACAACTTTTCTAAACCAAAAGAGCGACCTGGTAAATATCTCGAGTGGGTTCTTCAAGTCCATGCCGAAGCTACTTGTGTTGGATCTATCATATAACGGATTTCTCACGAATTTACCACATGGAATATCAGAATTGGTTTCCTTGCAATATCTCAACTTGTCAGGTACAGGTATACGTCATCTCCCTACGGGTCTACAAGAGTTGGAAAACCTCATTCACTTGGATCTCACAAATACACGTCAACTTTCGAGTATTGTTGGGATATCAAATCTGCAGAGTTTGATGATACTGAATTTAGTTGGAAGTGGTTTTTCATGGGATTGCAGGATAGTGGAGGAACTGGAAACCTTGGAGCATTTAGAAATATTAACCATAAGAATCGATATTCATCCACCTCTGGAGCTATTCTTTAGCTCTCCTAGGCTGACGAGTTGTACACGATATATGAGGATCTACGATTTGAAAGCACCTGAGGTAGCGATTCCTGTAACAATGAACAAGATTCGTTTTTTCATCATTATGGACTGCAGTATCTCTGAGATAAAGATGGGACGTATATGCAACAAAAGCAAGACGGTTTCTCCTCTTCACAACCCGAGAGAGCCATGCTTCTTGAGACTCTCCAGAGTCAATATAAATAATTGCAGATGCTTGAGGGAGCTGACATTTCTGATGTTTGTTCCAAATCTTAAATATCTTGAAGTTATATATGCACATCAACTAGAAGATATAATAAACAAAGAGAAAGCTTGTGAAGCTCGAGAATCAGGGATTGTTCCTTTTGAAAAGCTGGTTTCTCTTAAGTTGCAGAGTCTACTGAAGCTAAAGAGTATCTATTGGAGTCCTCTACGCTTTCCATGTCTGAATAAATTGAGTGTAATCAGATGTCCAAATCTGAAAAAGCTTCCATTGGATTCTCAAAGTGGTATGCGTGGAAATAATGGACGCCTCTTAACATACACTGAGAAAAGTTGGATTGCAGATGTGGAATGGGAGGACGAAGCCACCAAAAATCGCTTCTTATGATCTTACCTTCATAAAAATTGGTATAGGGCCTGATTGGTTGTGTCTGTAACTTTGGATTTTTTGCTGTAGAATTTAGGCTGTAGATTTTTTTGTTGTGGCTGTAGATTATAGTGCTGTCGAATTTTTATTATAAATAATTTCTTATAAAATATCATAAATGTATCATTAAAAATAAATAAAAGAGATAGATAGGAAAGAAACATTAGAAAAGGAATATAGAGAGTGGGATTAACGAATGAGAAGAGAAGAGAGAGAATTCTCAGAGTTCTTAAATTTGTGCTCTGCAGAGCCAAAATATTTCGATATTTAAAGTTATAGCTCTCAACTTAAAAAATGAAATCAAAACTTGATTGCTTTAACACTTCTAGAAAAAATTATTGCTCCACAAAGCACTCAGAACACTTACCAATCACACCCATAGTCTCTAGTATTCTTTTTTTTTTATTTTCATAAGATTTTTTTTTTCTTCAGGTTATGAACTGGTTCCATTTTTTAACGGCTTTGTCTTTTTTTTTATGTTTCAGTATTAGCTTGGATTGTAGCCACAAGGTATAACGCGTGTCTTCTGATGCCATTTGCCTTTGATCCAAGAGAAGCCTCTCTCTCTCCCTCTCACACACACACACTATCAAATTACTACCACTCTCTGTGTGTTGCTCTTGTCAGTTCTTTTTCATATTTTAATCAACATTTTCTTCTACAATATTTACGTTTGAAGTTTATAGGTATGTTTTTACATGCCATCTGCAATATTTTCCCCTCGCGCATTCCTCCAATGCGTCCACAAACCAGTTAGTTGGTTGGTCATATGCAAGCACCTTTATTATTCTTGTTCCAATTTTTATTATATTTGCTGACACATGTGATTAAAGAGTTCTGTTATCATCTAAGAGTTTTGTTACTATAATATAATCTAAACTAATAGTCAATGGGGAGGGAGCTGGAAAATTTATTTGATTAATTAAGAAAACTACCCGCGCATCGTGCATATGACAAACTATTTATTATATATCATAATTAATATATTTATTCTATGTTTTTATATTTATCATTTATAACACTATGCATATAATTTAATACTGAAAATTAAATGTCTCCTTGAAGCATATTTCCTCCCTTAAGTCTCATTATCTTACACCTACATCCTCATATCTCTATCTATACATTTGCATCTTCATTAGGGCTTGCATTGCATATACATTGCATTTCAAGTCTAAATCAGGTACTTAATGGAGCTTTGGAGTCATTTGGGGAGAAGGAGTGTTGGAGACGTTAAGACCAAGAGCAATCAGGATGTGAACCACGATTAGGAACCGGTTTGTCACCTTGTAAGCTTTCCTTGACCAAGAAGAGAGTTGACCATGCCTAAGTGAAACGCGGCGTTTTGGAGCTTTAATCTTGAGGAAGGAAAGAAGAAGGGTTTTAGAGAATCTCCACTATATAAACTTAAAAGTCCTAAATTTTTAGGCACCTGGTAATTTGTCTTTCATTTTGCCACCAAGAAATCCTCTCACATTTTGAGATCTTAGACTTTGTAAGCTTGGATCTTTTTCCTTAATCTAATCACGTACTTGCGTATTTTGTAGATTGTTTTCTGACTCACTTGCTTAACAACCTATCCTCTCTTGGAATCGGTTTATTCATCAAGCATGAGTGAGTAGTCTTTAGATCGTTTTAGGTGTTGCGGTTTTGAGAGCTTAGAGGAGAGTCTGAGCTTTAAGCTAAGACCTTTAGAGTTTCTCCTTCTCTTAGTATCCTTAATGCCTTGCCATTTCTGATCATTCTGGCTCGGATCTCAAGCTCACAACGCAGCAAAAGTGCGCTTGAGAGCTAGAAAATCTAAGAAAAGAGATCTACTCCTCTATCCCGCGATAGCGGTTTGTTTAGAAGGTTCTTTGGTGTTGGGGTCTGAGTTTAAAGCTTTCTCGCGTACAAGCTCACTGACGATAGTCAGCTCTTGAGCTTGAACCTTGCATTCGAGCTTACTCACGATAGTGATAAGCCCTTGCTTTCGTTTTCCTTAGCCTAGAAACTCGGTTTTGACTTCTAAGTCTTAAAGTCTCTTCCTTTAGCTCGATTTCCATCCGCAATCATCCATTTCCTTTCATAAAGTTCAAGTCTTTTAGCCCAAAGTCGAAACCTTTGCCTTTGAATTCGGATTTGGACCGTTAGTTCACTGTTCCAAGTTTGTATTTCACTATTTAACGTTCGGATTTCATAAAAATCAAGTCTTTGTTCTTGGCTTGAAGCTTTCTTGCATTTCTTAAAAACCCAATCTTCTCCAAGATTTCGATTGATACCTTAACTACACTGCGATGATAAGAGCAGAGATTTGAAGGTTTGGATCTACTAAAAATCTTGTTTTCACTCCTCCATATAGAAGAAATTATGAATTGTTAATTCTACTGTTAATACACATGCAAGTTTCTCACTTTTCCCCACACAATCCTTTGGTTTTTCCTTTCTACTTCCATACACTTTTTTCGTTCACATTTGGCTCAACTTCTCAAAATGAAATCTCCTCTTTTTCTTCCCAATGTTCTGACGCTTTCTGTTTCATTATACCGGCTTAAAAATATATGAATATATTTTATCTTCTTAGTAAAATTAAGTGATTACATGCATAACAAAAAGACACAACTGTATAAATAATCGATTATAAGTGAAAAGCTACAACGGTAAAATACATTTATTTAGAATGGAGGAAAAATGTTATGAAAGTATTCACACGACGATATGATTTTTAAAATCAAAGATGTAACCCAAAAAATGGGAAAAAACTATAATATCGAAAGTCAAAGTGACTGCATATACATCATATGTACTTAGACCATCTCCAATGGTTCATACCATATGTTATTGCAAATGGCAAAAATATAGCAATAGCATTGGGTTTCTCTCCAATGGCTCATGCTATAATTTTTTTTCCAACTTATTATCAATTGTTAAAACTATTTAATTTCTTCAAATTTTACAAAGTGAATCATCTGTTTTTCTTTTTTTGCAAAATCATCCATAATTATAATATTTTATTATTTTATTATTATAATACTAAAACAATATACATCACACTATATAAAAATTATAGAAAAAGAAGATTTATGAGTATTGTTTTTTATGTTTTGTGAATTTCAGTATTTTTAACAATAAATTTTAAGTTTATTATGGTTATGTTATTATATTTTCTATGAATATTATTTTTATTTTGAAAGAGTTATAGTATTGTTTATTTATTTAAATAAATCATAATCAAAATAATTAAACTGTTAAGTTAAAAGTATTTATAAATTGAATGACTATTTTATAAATAAAAAAAAGTTCAATGACAAAATAGCATATTGTATAATCTCATGCCAAATATAGAAGCAAAAATATCATGATGCTATTTTGCAATAACATATGCAATAGGGTTAGAGCAAATACTATTACAAAATAGCATATATGTTATATTTAGCATGGAGTTGAAGATACTCTTAGAGCATCTCCATTAGTGATACCCTCATATGGGTATCATAACATTTTTAATTGATAATTTTTTTTTTCTTTTTTGTTTAAGGGATTTGCATAAATTTGTAGGTTTTGATGTTTCATTGGTGATACCCTATAAAGTATGTTAAGAAAAAAGTTGCTATGTTTTAAAAAAAATAATTATCAACTACACATAAATCATAATCAAAATAATTAAACTGTTAAGCGTCTCAATTGAGGTGAGACGTCTCGTAACAAAGAGACGTATCAGGCTTATTAACACATTAAAATATTATTTTTGAAAGGTATTGACTCAGAGACTCACCTAAAAACTCTCTAAGAGCATGTGCAATGGAGAGCTTGATATACCTCTAATTTACCCACTTTTTATACTGTTTTAGCATTGTTTTCTAATGGTTTTTGGCAGGTTTTCTATCTAAAAAGGTAGTTTTACTGTGTTTATAGTGTCTAGAGTCTAAACAGGTGAAATGATGCATTTTGGAGCAAAACCATAGGATTTGCACTTCAAGCAGCTCCATGCACAAGCACCAACTTTAAGAGGGCCCAGAAAAAGATCTACTCAATGGATTTCATCAAGACCAGTTCCCTGCGTGCTCTGATTGAGTTAACTTTCCAACGCAATTGGAATGGCCTCATTTGGATGAGTAGAAAAGGAGTTATAACCAAAAGAGTGAGACTGTCCAGACGGCTCTATCGAGAGAACAGCGCCCAACCGCGCAGTCCGGCTGGCCGAGAACTATGTTCGCGCTCGGCCAAAGTCACATCCGTCCGACTGAAGTCTCGGCCAAAGTCCAAACCGACCGGCCGATCACGCAACGACCCGGGAAACATTGTCCCGCGGTCGGCCAAGCCAAACGCCACGCCACGCCGCGCACGACCAAAGCGCGCGAGCCGGGAAACAAGCCTCGCGGCCGCGCAACCCGTTCCGCGTGCCACGTCCGAGCCGGGAAAGAACGTCCCACGTCCGGCCGAGAATTTCATCGGCCAAATCTCATCCGCTCGACCACGCCGGCCGACCGCGAATCCGTCCGACCCCGACCGTTCCGACTCGCCCACGACCCGACTGTCCGGCCGATCGTCCCGACGACCGTCCCAACGCCGCGGTCGACCCGAAGCCCTTTTTGAAGCCCAAACTTATGTTTTCAAGCCCGGCTTAACCCTAAGCCGCCTCTAAAAGACCTAGCACTATATATATGGATTTTTAGCCTCTTGAGAAAGAGAGCCGCCCTGTATTTCGATTTCCTACTCTAAGTTTTATTGCAATCATGTTTTCTTCATCTCTATGTGTGTTTGCTTTGATCATGTCTGAGTAATCCACTAGTTAGGTTGCTAGGGTTACTATTCAATGAGTTGCTTGCATGATCTTTGATTTCAATGATTAGCTAGGGATTATATTAGAGTCTTTGTCTCGTCTTGTGCACTTAACTAATGCTGATTGCTTTACCGCGCATCTAGTAATCCGATCTTAGGTTGATTTGAGCCTCGACAGTGCTGTATCATTCGCCGGACATATTCTTTGACAAGCTAGGTTTCTTAGACTGCGAAAGTTGATCTATCTATATCTAGTGAACTGTATCAGAACCTATTCATTCTAATGCTTGATCTAATCACCTAGGGACATACCAAAAGTTTAGCGACTAGGTAGATTAGCAAAGGAGCCGGAGCCTCGAAAGTGGAATGGTTTTATATTCGTGATCTGTGTTCTAGATGGTTCTTAATATCCCAATATCCCTAATCAATTAATCTATCATTGTTTCATTGATCATTGCTTGCTTCTCTGCGATAGCCCCTATGACCTAGCGCTTTTCCTTTATTGCTTACAACCTCGTTATACTTGCTAGTTCGGTTCACCATTACAACCTCAATCATACTTTTGTTTTAGCTTGATCCAAAATCCATAGTTACAAAGTGTACTCAATAGCCAGTCCTTGTGTTCGATACCCATACTTCCGCGATCTGTGCACTTGCAGAGGTCTAGGAGTTTGGTAAAACCTGACTCCGCATCAAGTTTTTGGCGCCGTTGCCGGGGACTGCAGCAGTACCTTTGGAACTCGACTAGGATCTAGTCTAGAACCTTTTCCTGTTTTACTTTTCTTTTGCTTTTGAATTTTTAGTTTTTGATTTCCTTTTCTTTGATTTTTACTTTTGTTTTTGTTTTTCCCTTTTGATTTAACTTGTTTCCAAGACTCTTTTCAGGTGCATGACTAGGAGGTCCAACAAGGACAACCTAGTTGAACATCCAGAGATAGACAAGCTTGAGAAGCAACTTAGGAAGCAGAAAGCCCAAGAGATGGCCGACGAAGCAGCTCGCGCTCACGCCGCTGAAGTGGCGCGCGCTCAAGAAGAAGGAAGAGATCCACCTCCTCCTCCTCCTAATCCACAAGACCCTGCTGGAGATGTGAATGCACAACCCAAGCTGGAGCACCTACAATCGGAGACTATGACTCTGCCGATGCTTTCTTCATGGATAGAAACCCTATCCATCCACCACCACCTGCAAGGAATGACTATGAGATCAAGCCTCAGATCATTGCATTGGTTAGACAGAACCAATTCAATGGACTTCCAGCTGAGCACCCTCTTGATCACATAGAAAACTTTGAAGAAATTTGCAGCACTACAAGATCCAATGGAGTCTCTGCTGACTACCTTAAGTGCAAGCTCTTTTCATTCTCTCTTGGCGACAAAGCTTCAAGATGGTTGAAGTCTCTGCCAGCTCACTCCATCACCACTTGGGATGAGTACAAGGCTGCATTCATCAACCACTTCTACACCAAGCAAAGATCAATTTCTGTAAGAAACAAGATCTCCACTTTCGCCAAGCCAACAATGAATCTTTCTATGAGGCGCTAGATCGATTCAAGGAGTACATTAGGGACTGCCCTAATCATGGTTTCAATGAGGGAAACCTATGGAACATCTTCTATCGTGGCATAGACCACAAGTACAAGCTTTCATTGGACACAAGCAATGGAAACTTCATGACCAAGACTGTTGATGAAGCTAAGGTTCTTATTGAGAATCTTGCAGCTAGTGATTGTAACAACTGTCCTGATTATGACCGCTCAAGCCGCACCACTACTAGCTCCCCTGATTCTTTTCAAATGACTGAACTCAAGAACATGATGGCTCAAGTTCTTAAGGGACAGCTCAAGCATATCAATGCAATAGAAGGGATGAGTGATGCTAATGAAGATTCATCAAGAGAATGCATGGGAGATTTCTCTAATGAAGCCAATGAAGAAGATGTGAACTACATTGGAAACTATGGGAACAAGGGATACAATCCAAGCTATCGCCCAAACCCCAACATGTCTTATAGAAACCCCAATGTGGAGAATCCTCAAGACCAAGTGTATCCTCCAAGGTATCCACAACAACAAAGACCTCCTTACCAATCTCAAGGAAGTCAATTTCAGCCAAGGCAAGGATATGAGCAGAGATCATCATATCCGCCCAAGGAGCCATATGCTTCTTCACCAAATCAAGCTCCTCCAAACCAACAAGGTGGGAGATTTGAAGGAATCCTCCAACAGATCATGGATGGCCAGAAGAGAAACACTAAAGAGATGTATGAGAAGATGGACACTTTGTTCAGCAATCTCAACACCAAGTATGATGCTGTTGCCACTCATGTGAAGAAACTAGAGACTCAAGTCACTCAAACTATGGAAGCTGTTAAGAGACAGGAAGCTGAATCCAAGAAGTCCTTTTGCAACTCAGCCGCCATAGAAGAAAGATTTGAAGACCAAGTTCCAGAATGGATGCTTTCAAAACCTACTGTTGATTGCATGATTTGGCCTGAAGAGAATTACCCAGAGAGAGAGTCCAATCGAGCTAGAAAGAGAAGACTCTTCCCAAAGATTATCCCCAAGACAGATAACTCAGGAAAGTTTGTGTGCCTTGTATCATCAAAGGTAACATTCTTGAGCAATCTTTGTGTGACACAGGAGCCAATGTGAACATCATGTCTAAGAGGATAGCTGACAAGATAGGCCTCACCAAGATAGAGCCATCATCCATCTCCATCAACTATGCTGATTCATTCTCACAAACCCCTATGGCTTTGTGCCTAATGTGATGGTGCAGATTGGAAATTGCTCTATCCCTACTGATTTCCAGATTGTGGAAATGAGAGAGAGTAGCCATAGACCTCTCATATTTGGAACCCCTTTCCTGTCTACTGTGGGTGCCATATTTGATTTCCCCAATCAAAGAATCTCTTTCAACAAGGTGAACAAGGGTATGTTCTTCCCTATGTGTTCAACAAAGAACTCTTTTGTTGACATGGTCCAAGAGGAGAAAGCTACTTTGAAGCCACCCCAAGAAGGAGAAACTGAAGAAACAATCAAGGAAGATCCCATTCCTAAGCCCAAGCAGCTTGCCAAACAAGCAAGGAGTAAGACTAAGGCCCCTACACCAAAACCGCCCAAGGGATCAACCAAGATTGAAGATGAGGCCAAGCCAAGAAGGAAGGTTAGAAAACCTAGGTCTGGCCGCAACATGAAGCTTCTATTCCCAAGGAGCTTATTGATGAGAATCTAGAAGGATTCAAGGAGAAAGTGACAAGAACTCTAAAGCTTTTTCCTAAGGCAGTAGTGCCAAGGGACATTCATGGAGAGATTGTCTATCCAGCTGTGAATCACCCACCAGATACTCATTGCAAGGAGAAAAGACTTGGAGGATCAAAGATGCCTCTTGTCTCCATCTTCTCCTGAGCGCCAAGCCTTACAGTCAAGCTAAAGACTTAAAACAAGCGCTGCATGGGAGGCAACCCATGAGGTACTTTTACTTTTCTTTCTTTAATTTTCTTAGTTTTTGTTTTGCTTTTGTGTTTTCTTTGTTTTAAGATAGGATAGAAGGAGAAAAAGGTGTGAAAACACAATCCGCGCCAAAACATTGGCCGCGGACGCGCAAAAGAATTTTGGCCGAGCAATTCTCATCTGGCCGACCGTACGGTCGAGCCGGGAAGGAATAGCCGTGCTCGGCCGGATCACTATTGCGCGACAGAAACCGTTCGCGCGACACGCACGAACCGGGAAAGAAGGCCGCGATCGGCCGAAATTTTCGTATCGGAACGGACCGACCGTGCCGGTCGATCCGGGAAACAACGATCGGCCTCGGCCGAAATCTCTCGACCAAACAAAATTTGGCCGACCAAATCGCTCGACCGCGACAAAATCCATCGGCCATCGGCCCAAAACTTTTCTAGGCCAAGGTAAGTCCCCTTTTCATTTAATTCAAACCGGTTTTAACCAATCTAAACCAACTTAAACCGGTTTTCAATCAAAATTCGAATTTGAAAAGGAAAATTGATAGGATTAGATCTTATTTACTTTACCTTTCCCTTGAAAACACAAGAACCTCTCTTTCTTCTCCAAAACCCTAAACTCCATTAGAGGAACTCTAAGAGTTTTGATTTCAAAACTTTTACTGTTCATAACTCTAAATTGGAATTTACTTGCTCTTGCAACCTTATTCACTTTTCAACACACAAGGTATGTCTTCTAACTCTAATCCTATGTTTATGCAAGATCGAAAATTCAATAAGTTTCATGTTTGGTCTAAACTCTTGTCTAGACTTGAAATTAGCATCCTTATAGTCTTGTAATGAACTTTGCTAGGTGGAACCTAGGTGGTTTAGAGTTAATTTGAAGTTTAATTTCACAATTGAATAGTTTTTCACAAAACTTATTGGGCATTCCAAACCCCTTATTCAAAGGTGAAATTGCTTAGGCATACTTCAATTCATTAGTTTATCTAGTGATTACTTGGATTAGAAACTCAATTTCTCTTGATTTGCTGAAAATTTTGATTTTAAGCACCATAATCTTGGGATGAACAGTAAAATCCGAAAATTAATTTTGAAAAAGTGAAATTTCTATTTTGTCTCTTTGATTCATGATTAAGCCTTGAGTTGTTCCTTTATTCCATATCATTATTGCAACTCAATTAGCTTATTCTTCTTTTGCATTAATCACAAACTCATATTTCTTCCCAAGAATTTGCTCTTGTAGGTACACAATGGCAAAGACAAAAGGAAATGAGAGTATGAAGAAGAAGAAGAACCCATTCATGGAACCACCAAAGAAGCAAATCAAGCTAGGGAGTAGTAGCTCCAATGCAAGAGCAGCAATACCAACTTCACCACATTCCATTGATGCAATCAAGAACATGTGGAGAGTCCAAGAAGAGGAGAAGATGATTGGGCACTTGTAACCTTTGTTGGAGAACAAAATCAAGACCCAAGAAAGTGTAAGAAGGCAATGGAGAAGGTGAACATCGAGCCATGTGTGAAGATGGACACCCAAACCCTTGATCTTCTCAAGATAAGAGATGATGTCACATGGTACATAAGGAAGCTAGGCTTGAGCAAGCTCTTCAAGCTAGAATGTAGTGAGTACTCACAACTCACCAAGGAGTTCCTCTCTACAGTAGCTCTTGCCTTTCCCAACCACAATGGAGACCAACCAGCTGGTGATGGACTCCTACTCTTCAAGATAGGCGATGCCAATGGGCGCATCTCATCTCAGCTCTATGCCAACTCTTTGGACTTCCCAATGAGACAGCACATGACTTCAAGGAGAACTCAAAGAGGAAACAAGCTGCCTTTGCTGATTGGACACACTTTGCCAATGAACCATTCTTGCCTTCAAGGTCAAAGGTGTCTAGAATCACCCATCCAGCCATTCGCTATGTGCACCGCCTCATCTCCACCACTTTCCAATGCAAACAAGAAGCCAACAAGGTCACAACTGATGAGTTCTACATCCTCACCACACCATTCATCAAGCATGAGTACAAGGCCAACCTTGGACTTTTACTTGCCAAGACATTCATCAATGTGAGGAAGCTAGCTCAAAGACTTGGAAGGCAACAAGAAGCTTTGTGTTCGTTTTGGGAGGCTTATCACGGCCATAGTACTGCATGTGGGGATTGACATTCCCAACTATGAGCCACTACCCAAGCCAACCCCTTTGGATCTCCATGCTCTTCAGCACATCCACTTCCTAAACCGTTGGACTAAAGACCCAACTCGGTTTTGCTATGAGTTTCCAATTGGTCCAGCCAACACTTCCCTTGTCTTGCTGCCACATGAGACATCCCAAGCCTACGCTCAGGAGTTGTCACTTTCCAGCCCAATGAGGAAGAGTTCTATGTTCCATCAAGTGAGAAACCATCATTCCCCATGCTCACCTATCGCACACTTCAGCATGCAGTCAAGACTCAACGCCGCATCCAAGAACGCCATGTTCTCACTACTGGCATGGCTGCGCACCAAGCTCTAGACCGTGTTAACAAGCTGGAGAAGATAGTGGAATGCCAATCTCGCTTCATCTCACGCCTAGTCCGCGTAGTTCGCCACATTGCACCGGAGAGACTCTTTCGCCCTTCTTCCACCGCTAGAGAGCCATATGAGCCTGACCTTGGTGAGTTCTCACTAGACTCAGAGCTTGGTTCAGAAGGCGATGACCCCATAGATGAGGAAGAGAGTTCTTCTCACTGCCACACATAGTCATCTCAAGTGGTACTTAGTGCAATGGACACTTACAAATCTCCATTTTCTATCCCTATCTCATTTTAATGAATTTTTCTTTATTTTTCTTTTACTTTGAATATTACCTCTCACCTTAATGTGATTTGCTTTCACCGGGACGGTGCAAGTTAAGTCTGGGGGGAGTTTTATTGTGTTACTAATGCATTTTTCTTTCTTTTCTTATGTTTTATTCACTTTGTTTCATGTTTTTCAAAAAGTTTTATTGAGTCAAAAACCAGTCCGGAAGTTATGAACTTGCTTTGAGAATTGAGAGTGTTATGCTAACAATCCATGACCCTAGAGCAGAAACCAGCTAAAGGCACAAGCCTAACAGAAGCTCTTACAGTGGATCGACATGCTAGCTCAGCAAAATTTCTAAGGTAACCAAGCAATCTAGAGTTAACCTCACCTTAATCAATCTTAATTACTCTTGTCAAGGGGGTTGGCATACATGTCGACAGTTCCTTGCTTGATTTTCAATAAGATTTGTCTAATCTTTAAAGAGTTCTCCTCTCTCTCCCATCCCAAATGGTAAGTAATGTATATGAGAAAAAGCTCAAAGAGCACAAGGAAAACAAGTAAGCATGAGGAATGCATATGTCTGTACCTTCATGTCTTATGGAATACCTTAGTCAAACAAGGAACAAGCTAAAGACTTATCCTGTGGTTGAAAGAAGGGTCAATAGAAAAAATAAAATGATACCCTAGAAAAGTAGGGAGAAATTGACCTTTCAAAGTTCTGATGTGAGAAAGAGAGAGGAAAAGAACTCATTGCACTTAAAGAGGCAATCTTGGAGAAGATCAAGTGGGTAAGAACAAGTTCAATTGATCGATGTATAAAGAATTCACGCTTTAAATTTATGCAAGAGGTTAGCAATAGAGAGTTTGGATTGCTGGATGAGACTAGTTGGGTTGGTATTGTTCGCTAAACTTGCAGGGTGTATGTGAAGCTAACCTTATGTTGTCTATGTTCATAGTGGAATACAGGAAAGGAACCTTTCACAGGATATTCAAAAGAGCAAGGGAGCTTCCACGTTTTCAAACCTCTTTCACGGATTTAGATTCTTTTTGCTTGAGGACAAGCAAAGATCTAAGTCTGGGGGAGTTGATATACCTCTAATTTACCCACTTTTTATACTGTTTTAGCATTGTTTTCTAATGGTTTTTGGCAGGTTTTCTATCTAAAAAGGTAGTTTTACTGTGTTTATAGTGTCTAGAGTCTAAACAGGTGAAATGATGCATTTTGGAGCAAAACCATAGGATTTGCACTTCAAGCAGCTCCATGCACAAGCACCAACTTTAAGAGGGCCCAGAAAAAGATCTACTCAATGGATTTCATCAAGACCAGTTCCCTGCGTGCTCTGATTGAGTTAACTTTCCAACGCAACTGGAATGGCCTCATTTGGATGAGTAGAAAAGGAGTTATAACCAAAAGAGTGAAGACTGTCCAGACGGCTCTATCGAGAATCAGCGCCCAACCGCGCAGTCCGGCTGGCCGAGGAAACTATGTTCGCGCTCGGCCAAAGTCACATCCGTCCGACTGAAGTCTCGGCCAAAGTCCAAACCGACCGGCCGATCACGCAACGCGACCCGGGAAACATTGTCCCGCGGTCGGCCAAGCTTCAAACGCTCCACGCCACGCCGCGCACGACCAAAGCGCGCGAGCCGGGAAACAAGCCTCGCGGCCGCGCAACCCGTTCGCGTACCACGGCCGATGCATCCGTCCGAGCCGGGAAAGAACGTCCCACGTCCGGCCGAGAACCATCGGCCAAATCTCATCCGCTCGACCACGCCGGCCGACCGCGAATCCGTCCGGCCCCGACCGTTCCGACTCGGCCCACGACCCGACTGTCCGGCCGATCGTCCCGCACCGACCGTCCCAACGCCGCGGTCGACCCGAAGCCCTTTTTGAAGCCCAAACTTATGTTTTCAAGCCCGGCTTAACCCTAAGCCGCCTCTAGAAAGACCTAGCACTATATATATGGATTTTTAGCCTCTTGTGAAAGAGAGCCGCCCTTGTATTTCGATTTCCTACTCTAAGTTTTATTGCAATCATGTTTTCTTCATCTCTATGTGTGTTTGCTTTGATCATGTCTGAGTAATCCACTAGTTAGGTTGCTAGGGTTACTATTCAATGAGTTGCTTGCATGATCTTTGATTTCAATGATTAGCTAGGGATTATATTAGAGTCTTTGTCTCGTCTTGTGCACTTAACTAATGCTGATTGCTTTACCGCGCATCTAGTAATCCGATCTTAGGTTGATTTGAGCCTCGACAGTG